GAATTGCATTTATTGATTTGCATATATTAAGCCATCCTTGCATCTCTATAATAAAACCAAGTTGGTCATGGAGTACATTCTTCTTAATATGTTGTTGAGCATGCTTTGCTGATATTTTATTAAGTATCTTTGCATCTAAATGCATTGGGTATATTGCTCTGTAGTTTCTTTCCTTGGTATGTTCTTATCTAATTCTGGTATGAGTGTGATACTGGCTTCATAGAATGAATTTGAAGGTGTTCCATCCCTTTCTATTTCATGGAATAATTTGAGGAGTGTTGCCTTCTTTAAAGGTTTGGAAAATTCAACTGAGAATCCATCTGGTCCTGGGCTTTCCTTTGTTGGAAGGCTTTTAATTACTTCTTCTATGTCATTATTAGTTATTGGTCTGTTTAGGTTTTCTGTGTCCTCTGATTCAGTTTTGTCAGTTTGTATTGTATACAAGTAGAAATGTTTCAATTTCTTCAATTTCTTTGAAGTTTTCCAATTTATTGGAGTATATATTTTCAAAATAGTCTATAATGACCCACTGGATTTCTGTGATATCTGTGATTATTTCTCCTTTTTCATCTCTAATTTTATTAATTTGGATTTTCTTTTTCTTTTGGTTAGTTTGAGCCTCGAGATGCATCATTAGGATGTTTATTTGGGATCTTCCTGATTTTCTTATAGGCACTCAGAGTTAAAAACTTTTCTCTTAGAACTGCCTTCATAATGTCTCAGAAGTTCTGCTGTGTTATATCACCATTCTCATTTAAGTCAGAATTTTTAAATTTCTTCCTTGATTTTGTCAATCACTCTTTCATCATTCAAAAATGTATTATTGTTCAATCCCCATGTGTTTCTATAGATTCTGTAGGGTTTTGTTGTGTTGATTTCTACTTTTATTCCATTATGATCTGATCAGATGCAAGAAATTATATCAACATTTTTTTCATATTTTCTAAAAGTTGCTTTGTAGGCCACAAAAAAAAAATGTGATCTACTTTGGAGAAGGTTCCATGAGCCACTGAGAAGACAGTGTATTCAGCTGTTGTTGGACAAAATATCCTATAGATGGCTGTTAAATCCATTTTATTTATAATATTTTTCAGGTCCAAAGAGTCTTTTTGTTGTTGGTGGTGGTGCACCAGGGATTGAACCCATGGGTACTTAACCACTGAGCCACATCCCAGCCCTTTTTGTATTTTATTTAGAGACAGGATCTCACTGAGTCATTTAGGGCCTCACTAAGTTGCTGAGGCCGGCTTTGAACTTGCAATCCTCCTGCCTCAGCCTCCCAAGCCACTGGGATTACAAGCATGCACCACTGCACCCAGCTTCCAAGAGTCTTAACCATGTCTGGATAATCTATCCAATGGTGAGAGAGGTTGAAATCACCCATCATTATTGTAGTGAGGTCTATCTGAGGCTTCAATTTGAGCAGTGTCTCTTTTATATCATTACTTGAACCCATGTTTAAGACATAAATATTGATGCTGTATCTTCTTGTTGTATTGTTTCACTTATCAGTATGAAATTACCTTCTTTGTCTCTTTTGATTTAATTTTGATTTCAAGTTTGCTTTGTCTTACATAAGAACAGCTACTCCTACTTGTTTGGGGACGCCATTTTCATAGTATATCAATTACTATCCTTTCACTTTCAGCCAGTGGCTGTCTTTATGTGGAAAATGCATCTCCTGAAAACATAATAAAATAGTTGAGTCTTAGTCTTTTTTAGTTAATCTTTTTTGATTGTTTGTTTGTTTCATTGTTTAGGTAATCGGAATTAAATCCTAGTATGTGCTTAACCACTGAGCCACATCCCCAGCCCCCTTTTTGTATTTTATTTTGAGACAGGGTCTTACTAGGTTGCTTAGGGCCTTGCTAAGTTGCTGAGGATGGCTTTGAACTCATGATCTTCCTGCCTCAGCCTCTAGAGCCACTGGGATTACAGGTATGGGCCTCTGTGCTCTACCCAAATATCTTTTCATTTCTTAATTAACTCTTTACTGACAACAAGAGCATGAGTGGGGGTTGTTAATCCCTTTCTCTTTTTGTGTTGCTCTCAGAGCTGCCATTTGGAATGGCTTAATATTGAAGCTGACTGAAATAAGTTTCAGCTTCCTTTCTTACCAGTATGAGGTAATATGGAATGGGAAGTACTATCACTTGAAGTTTAGTCTGCATGAACCAGATGGATGGACTTCCAGTGTGGGGCTGCTTAACAGTTATGTGGAGGGAGTTCTGGTGGGTGGGACTTAGGACTTATCAGTCCACAGGGGTATTGGGTAGTATCTGCTCTGGAGAGATTAGATCAACATATTTCTAAGACCTGGCAATTTCAGATATCTGCCAGGAGTCTGGCTCTCAGAAATCTCACAAAAATTCTATTCATGGGGCAAGAGAGCCAATCCTCCAAACACTCTGCTGCCTAAGAATACAGTCTTCCCAGGCTTAATCTCTGAATGTATTCACACCCATCTGTTCAGATTCCTAACCCATTTTAGTTGGTCACATGAGCCACCAGAGTCCAAGGAGAAGCAAGTTGGGCTCACGTTTGCTTTAGTCCCCCTGGATAAATTCTTCTCTGTGCCTGTTTCATTCATGTTCTGCTATGTTCCCCATAGGCCACATGGTAAGCACTTATTGGTAGAGTATGGCAGTGTTTGCTCTGATCTCCTGATTCCCACAGAAGCAGCTGTGGCCTCCTTAAAACAGCTCCTGCTTCAGCTCTCTGCAGCCAGTTTTGAAACAGAGCAAATGTACCCAAATGAGTCTCTAAGATACTCTGAATCTCCAATATTGAATTTTAGTGAAATCCCTCTTTCACCCAGGTCTCTGAGAAGCAGTACTCCTAAGGCTTGAATCTCAAGCCACAGACAACTAGGAATGCAACCTTCCTCTAATCTGCCATCTTGAATCCTCTCATAACCTGCTGTTTTTCAATTGGATATATACCACGAACCTCTCTCTGTCATTATGCAATCTTCTGCATCACTGTTTTGTATACCATACTGTAGAGGTACAAAAAAATTTCAGCCTTGTGATTGGGCATTAATGCCAAATTTCCAACTTGGCATTACTATAAATAATATTTCAATGACAATTCTGAGGAACAAATAATTCCTGATTTCCACACTCTTTGTGTTAATTTCTAAGCAAACTCACTGGTAGTCATCAAAGGATAAGAGTATTTGGAGGACACATCTTGCCAAACTGTCCTCAATAAGGATTTGCAGATATCAGACCCTCAGATACACCCACACTCTGATTTTATTGTTAGAAATATCTGGCCTGGGGTTGAAGTTGTAGCTCAATGGTAGAGTGCTTGCCTTGCAGGTGTGAGGCCCTGGGTTTGATCCTCAGCACCACATAAAAATAAATAAACAAATAAAGATGTTTTGTCCATCTACAACTAAAACAATATTAAAAGAGAAATCAACTGGCCTGACTGGTGGGGCTGAGGTCACTGAGAGAAAGGAACTGGATTCTGGGCATATGGGAATAGTGATGGCAACTTCCAAATGAGTGAAGGGGCTGATGGAATGCAGGTTCTCCCTCCTCTCCCTGGGGTCAGTGCCCTGTGACATGGCTCTGAAAGAAGAACCTACCATAGTTTCTAGAAGAAGAACAAACATTCAGACAGTTACATTATATTTCACCTTAGTGAGCAGTGAGGCAAAAAAGAAAATCATTTCTTCTTCCTTGTATTGCCTGTTCACATTTTTAACTCGGGTGTTGTTTTTATTAATTTGGGTTACATATCAAACTTTGTGTTTTTGTGGCATAAATATTTTTTTGCAAGTTATCTATTTATCTTTTCGACTTTTTAAATGGTGGTTTTTAAATTGCAGACATTTTAAATTTGCATGTAGTCAGACGCTCAAATCTACCCCTCTTTTCCATTGTGGTTTCTGCTTTCTATGTTGTACAGGAAAAGCCCTTACCATCCTCACATGGCATAACATTCAACTCTATTTTCTTCTAGTTTGTTTTATTTTCCAAATATTTAAAATGTAGTTTATTTTGCACCAAATCTTGACCTTGCATGAATGGGGAACCTATGCACAGGTGTTTCTTTAGGAACCTGGAGGTGCTGACCGCTTGACCAGTACTAACTCCCAGCCTAGTGGACTAAGAACAATTTCAAAATGCTTTGTCTTTCCATGGTTCAGAGAAGCATCAGAAGCCCTTCAGTTGTTAATTGGCCTTTTAAAAGGAAAAGGATCTTATTAATTGTGACTCTCTCTCAGAGAATTTTCATTAAAAGAAACATTCCCAAATAAGTGGGCTAATTCCTGTCTGACAGTTGGGCAAAGGCATTTCCATGAAACAATTGCATTCCATGTGGGCAAGATTTTTTGTTTGTTCACTGTTATATTCCCAGAACCTAGAACAGTGCCTAGTACTGTGGGGACGCAACATTTACTGTTAATATCACATGTCTATTTTAAAAATGTAATTAAGTAATAGTATGGGAGAAATACTTAATTGTCAAGTTTTTAAAAAGCATATGGTACTGAATAAACAATATTTGTGTTAACTTTTTGTCACTATGACAAAATACCTGAAAAAATCAACTTAAAGGAGGAAAGATTTATTTTGGCTTGCAGTTTGAGAGGTTTTTAGCCCATAGTCTAGTTCCCAAGGATCTACTCCCTTTAACTAGGCCCACCTCCTATAGTTTCTACTACCTTCTAAATCCATATAAATTATGAATATATTAATAGATTGATGAGGTTAGATATAGTCACTTGCCCAAAGCAAGTAAATACTGCTCTGCATATTGCTACCTCTGAATATTGCTGCATTGGGGACCAAGCTGTCAACACATGAACTGTCTTTGGGGGAGAGTCCAGATCTCAACCATAACAGTATCTACCATTCATTCATTCATTTAATAAACACTTATTAAATTGTGCAATACAAGGATAGAAAACAATGTTTATGCATTAAATGTGTTAGCATATTGTCTTGTTCTGCTAGAAATTTAATAATAAAATACCACAGACCGGGTGGCTTAAACAAAAAAATTTTATTTACACACATATCTGGAGGGTGGAAATCCAAAATCAGTGTGATGTCAGAGTTGGTTTCTTTTGAGACCTTTCTCCTGGGCTTGCAGATGACTTCTTTCCCTTGGTGTCCTCACGTGACCTTTATTCCTGGTGTCTCTTCTTATCAGGACAATAGTCCTTTTTTTTTTTTTTAAAGAGAGAGAGAGAGACAGAGAGAATTTTAATATTTGTTTTTTAGTTATCAGCGGACACAGTATCTTTGTTTGTATGTGGTGCTGAGGATCCAACCTGGGCCACACGCTTGCCAGGTGAGCGCGCTACCGATTGAGCCACATCCCCAGCCCACAATAGTTCTTTTGTATTAGTGTTCCACCTTTATGAACTCAGTTAACCTTAATTGTGTCCTTAAAGTCTCTATTTCTAAATACAGTCACATTGAGGGTTAGGGCTTCAACATCTGAATTGAGAGGAACACAAGCCAGTCCATAACATGTAAAGTGTCTAGAAATAATGCCTGGCATATACTAAACACTATATAAATGTGAGATGCTATTGTTATCAGAAAATATGCAAAATTGTATTGATTATTATCTTTGGGGGATAGAATACAAGTGATTTCAATTCATATTTTTTCTATATTTTCCAAATTGAAAAATGTTATTAATCTTTGGTTGGGGTCCATGCATTGAGTGTTTACCAGTCTCCAACCATTTCATCTTGTCTTCAAAGCCTTTGCTCTAGACAGGGCAGCTATCTTGAGTAGATTCTTTGCTGAATTTCAAGATTTGGGATCAGTTCTCTAGATTTGTGGTTGTCAAAATAAAGGAGAGCAAAGATCTGGTTTCACCAGCCAGAGCCTCCAATTACTAGTGTATGCAGTTATGGGGACAGGAGATGTGTTGTGCTGTGTCCCTAACCCTATAGCCACAAACTCTAGAGGGCTTAGCAGTGAGACAGTGAGGAGGTCAATCTGAGTTCTGGACCCTAAAAAACAAAATCCTATTAAATGACTGTTTTAAGCAGAAAAGGAGCATGCTAAATAAAGAGTGCTAGGTGGTTCACAGCATTTTGGGAAGGCTCAAGAAACAGCCTCAAGCCAGGTGTGATGGCTCATGCCTGTAATCCCCGCAACAAGAGAGGCTGAGGCAAGAGGATTACAAATTCAAAGCCCACCTTAGCAACTTGATGAGGTCCTAAGAAACTTAGTAAGACCCTATCTCAAAATAACAAAATAAAAAAGGGCTGGAGATGTGGCTCAGTGGTAAAGTGCCCCTGGGTTCAATAATCCCTGGTACTGAAAGAAAGAAAGAAAGAAAGAGCCTCAAATTTCATCTTTCAGTAATAATTCCCAGAATCATCTGTCAACCATTGCTTCTGCTACCATCCTTGTGCTAAGATGGCTGCCCTTATTTCTATATTGAATATAGAATATAGCACTATATTGCTATATATAGCACTATATTACAAGCTTTGGGATCAAAGACTCATGGAGGCATCTCACACTGAAAAATTCTAAGATCCTTAGGAAGGGCCAGCCTAAGAGAGGCTGAAAAAGAGAATTTTCTGAGCTTCATTGGAAAGATATAATTACAATGTGAGACACTAACAAAATATAAGTGTTCAAAAAGGCCTGGGAGATACAAATAACTGAGCCCCCCGACAATGTCAGAGAAGAAAAATGACAATGTCAGAGAAGAAAAATATTTCAGATGTTGTAGGAGCAGGAAAACCTGAACCCATAATGGCTGAGCTCATCTTACGCTGTTTCTTAGAGCCACTAACAGACAGAATGCAGTGGACACTGTGTCTTTCAGGCCTAGAGGGTGACCATTCAACTGTGATGATAAAAAAGGCAGCAGAGTCTTGCCTAATGGGTTTTGAAGTCTCTGGATCAGCACTTCCTTGTACCAATGAACACAGAAAGGGGCAGAAGCTTACCCAGGGCTGCATGGCATGACAGAAACAGACACAGGTCTAGAAATGGTATACTCTGCCCCACTTTGAAGCCTGGCAAACTCTCACACAAATATTTATGGTTCAGGTTGAATATTTCCTCCACTAGGAGACCTTGCCCTGGTTAGAATAAGATCAGTCCTCTGTCACCAAGCTCACCATGCTAGACTACGGCTATTGTTGTTTCTGATTTGTCTTACCTGCCTCCAAGTTCCAGCAGGAGGCCAGACAAAGGGTACCTAGAGGTGGACATAAGCTAAAAGAATGAATGGATAGGAGGAGGCCAGAACTGCTCTGTGGCCTGAGCAGATGTTCTGCCCTGCCAAAAGGGATAGTGGTCTCTGTACTCACTGGGCCAGACCCTGAGCTAGGGTTGAAAACAATTGCTAGCCCTCAAAGATGCTAGTGTGGGTGGAAATAAGTGTGAACAGAGTTGCCCACCATTGTTGCTGACCAAGAGGAATGTCTAAGAGGCCGCCTGCTCCCTCCACCCTACAGCATGACTCTAGGTTCCTTCCTGCTGGGTTCCATGACTGTGGCACTCAAGAAGTCTAGAAGCCTCAGAGTCACAGCTGCCCATAGATGGTCCATGAATGGAGAACCCACAAAGAAGGAAGGAGACCTTGGGAACCCAGGACAGAAAAGAACAAATCTCCTTACCCACTGGAGAGGAGAGAGACCTGGCCATGATCCCACAGCCAGGCACAGGACCTTCCTGTTTCCATCCCTCAGGAGAAGCCAAGTCATACTCAGGAAAACAGAAAAATACTCAGTTAAGCTGTAATCAGTCACAGCTCCTACACAGGTTTTTGAATCAAAAAATTCGCAAGGAGCAGAGACATCTGTAGGAAAAGTAACCGGATGCGACATTCTGCAGGAGGCCAGGCTAAATGTGTCCCATGACATCACTCTGGAGAGGAGGCTGCCAGGAGCCACCCAGGGGCTTGGAGCACTCCTGCAGTTCTCAGTGCCTGTGACTTCTGCCTGATCCTGGGCCCCTTACTCTGTGAAGAAACACTTTATTGGTTCCCTGGCCTAAGGAGAAATTGTCTGCCAAAATCCCTAGGCTAATCTGATTTGGGGAGATACATTCTTTCTGCCCAGTCTTCTGGTTTCTCCTGAGTGTCCTGATAACCTCTGGGTCTTCAGTTAGTCTGCTGCCAGTGGGAGTGTGGTGTTGGGGGAGGGATTCTGACAACTGTGTCACCTGCTGGGAGGGATCCTGTCACACAGCCTCTGACACCTCTTGAAGGAACCCTGCCAAGTTTGAGATTTCAGCAAAGTCCTTGCCAGGCTGCGCCTGAGTTCAAGCAAGAGCAGCTCTCCCAGGATCCAGAGCCTGTGAAAAGATTCTATTTTAAAGACTGAAAGTGACACATCTGCAGACTTGTGCCTTTATAAATTGCACACGGACAGACCTGGGTGCACACATGCCAGATACTCATGCTATGGATATAGGTCCCCACACCTACCTGCTAAGTTGTGGGCTTACATGCACACAAGGCAAGTGATCTCATCTGTCCACCATCAGCTTTCTGATATCTGTTCTCTAGTTTCCTACCCTTTTCTTCCTGGGTTCTTAACCGGTTCCAGGGTTGATAGGGCTGCCTGTGGAGAGGGCAGGGCTGCCTGAGCGCTGTCCTCGGTGCTGGAAGCTTAGTAGACTTAGCATGTTTGAGAAGCAAGACCTTTGGGAGGAGGTGATCCTGAAATCGAGGTGTAAATGTCTGAGGCCCTATCAGGATGCCTGCTCTTATTTCAAAAAAACTATGCAACTGGGCTTCCTCCTTTTAGTCTCAGGCACTGAAATGATGTCCAAACCTCAGTCAGCTGTGGGGCCATTTGAGACTGAGTGGCTGTATGGCCTTTCATAGTAGTTAATGAAGGGCTTGAGACCTCATGTGCTCCACACTGTTGTGTATGAAGACCATGAAAGTCTCTGAACTCATGCGACATCCGTGATTCCATGTGGCTGCCTGTGACTTCATGTGGCATGCTTATAACTGGGGACCACATTTGGCAGCCCAGGACCACATGAAGCTTCTGCGACCTTGTGCAGCCCCAGACCTGACCTGATGCATCCCCAAAAGATCTGGGCACTACTTTGCAGAACCTAGGTAGACCCTTATGGCTCCCTCACTGGATCGCAGATGTGGCACCCACAGGCTGCCAGTTCTTCAAACTAGGTCCGACGGCGGGTGGGCGCTCAGTGGGCACTCAGCCCATCAGCTTTTGCAACTCCTCAGACAAGTGACTGCGACTCGCTCCCACCTGAGCCTGCCTAGCAATAAAACCCAGACCGCCGGGTCGCGCGGAGGTAAGGGTTGCGCGTTGGTGGGGTGGGTGACGACTGCTCGTCGCCCGTGCGCCCCACTCCAGCCCGTTTCCTCAGAACGTTGGGGGGGGGGGGCGGAGGCCGAGAGGGTTGTTGCTCGCTGCGACCCCTCCCCCGCCCGGGCTCGGCGGTTCCGAGGCGGCGGCGCGGGCGGAGACCCGACCCGGCCAGGCTGCGGGCGGGGAGTGGGGCTCTGGTGCGGAGCGCGCGCCGCGCCCTCCCCCTCCCGCCCAGTCTCCGCAGCGGCGCGGGGAGGCGGGGAGCTGCGGAGCCGGGAGGCGGGGGCTAAAAATACCCAGCGGCGGCGCGGCAGCGCGGCTACAGTGGGGCTGCGGGGCTGCGGGCCCTGGAGGCCGTGCCGGGCCAGGCTGGGCCCGGCTGATCGACATGCTGACCTTCTTCCTGGTGTCGGGGGGTTCCCTTTGGCTGTTAGTGGGTAAGTCCCTGCGTCGTCCTTGTTGGTCCCTGACCTCCATCTCCCGTAAGCTGTGCTGTCTTGGCCCAAGGTGCGGGTGTTACACTCCCGTGGCTGTGGAGTCCCCCGCCCGGGCTGCTGGCTGTCCCTTCAAGGTCTCCAGGTCGCCCCCAATTCCGGCGGGCTCTGTGTGGGGTTTGGGAAGCAGCTGGGTTTGTGGAGATGGGGGGGCCTTGCTCATTGCGACTCCACAACAACCTCCATTGGCTTCTAGCGCCCCTCTCCCCTTATTGTGAGGACCTACTGATCAGATTAGGCCCTGAGCCAAAGTGGGGACAGACTTATTGCGTCCTTGTTCATTTCTTGGGACCAGAAACCAAGGATGTTGGCTCGCAAGGTCCCGCAGTAGGTGGTCAGTGTGTAGCCGACTGATCAGTGTTCTGGATCCCTGCCAGGGGCCTCCTTACAATCACTCCCTGCTTGCCCTCCTGCCAGAGTAGAAGATTGCTATAAAACTGGGTTCATCTGCCCCGGCTCTGCCTGGGGCTGTGTCCTCACTGCTTTCACTCCCTTCTCTTTCCTCTCATAGGAGTCAGTCTTTATCCCTGCACTCTCTTAGCAGTCTATGAGTATCCCTGTTGGATCTTTGCTAGGCGCTTCCTTCAACCCCCATACACCCACACCTGGGTACTGGCCTTTCTCTGACTGAGCCTCTGGGTCCTCCTGAGTATAATACCCCATCTGCAGTCCCACCCCCATGTGCAGATTCTGCTCAATTACTTATGTGAAGTGCTTACCCTTAAACTGGGCCTTCAACCTGATCTAGCCTGGAGCAAGTGTCCTATGAATGTCGGTGTTTATTATTATTTTACATTTAAACATCATCATCATCAGAGATGGTGGTGAAGTTTTTACTGAGCCAAAAAAGGTGAAGAAGTTGACCTATTAGAGATCCTTATCGATGATTTTGCATGTTATTTAATATTCACAGAAAATCCTAGGGGGTTGGTCTTATCTCTTATTGAGATTCAGAGGTTAATCAACTTGCCCAATGTCACATGGATAATATCTAGTAGACTGGGATTTGATCTGAGGTTTGAACTCATCAACCAGTGCCAGGTGTTTGATTGTAACTGGCCTGAACCTGAAGGGTTGATGGTCCAGGTAATCACTTCCCCCTCCCCCACTGCTGTCCTGAGTTAGGCCACAGGGATACTCCCCCTGTGTTGGGGGAGTAATACCTCCCTAATCTCTTCAGCTCCCTAAGCTCCTTCTGTCTGCCAATGTCTGATGACAGGCTGTGCTCGGCCTCTCTGGTCTTGATACACACCCAACAGCAAGGACAGTGCTAACACTGGGGTCAGGCATAATCAAAACCTTGATGGTGGTGGTTGTGGTGATGATGATGATGATAGTAATAGCCACCATTTATTGTCTGAGTGATGGATGGTCTCAGAGCTTCTCCCCTGTGCTAAGACCCCTTAGCCCTACCCACAGGAGGCCCCATCCAGCCATGGGTTCAAAAGAAGCTCTCTGAAAATCTGGTATTCTATAGATTCAGGGAGGTGTATAGGGGCTGCAAGACCACTTGGTGACAAGGGTCATCAACAGCTTGTGAGAAAAACCCCCTCAGTGTATGGGGTTCTTGTCTATAAGCCAAGATCGGTCGTTAACAACTTAAACTGGCCTTCTGTCCTGCTTCCTTGTGGAACATTTCCCAAAGTGGCCAGACGTCTCCTTGGATAGGAAATGAGGGGACTTGCCTTTCTAAGGGACTATCCAGGGACCTAAAAGTGGTCAAACAGGACAATTCCTGGGGGCAGATAATAGCTGCTTCAATAGAGACCAAACATTTCAAGGCAAAGTAGGAGGTTGGTGCTGGTGCATGGTTCTCATTGGATGGAATACCCCACAGACATAGTGGGGCTTTCCTAGGTCATGTGTCCACATTCCTTGGAACTTTACCTGGACCCCAGCCTTTCTCGGGGGGTAAGAACTGTAGATTAGTGAACACACCTGAGAATGCACTGTGCCTTGTAATCCAGGGTCCTGTGGCAACTGCAAGATATTCCTTCCACTCAGCCAACAATAGGCGGGGATCCCCAAGCCAGTGTCACTCTTTAATACAGAGTTTTGTACTTTTTTACTTCCCAGTCTGGAAAGGATGGAAACATGGTTGGGCAGACAGAAGACCTCAGGGTCTTCAAGGAGAGAATGGTGTAAAGGAGGAGAGGGGAGTCACCTGGAAGAGGGGCTGTCAACCATGTGTTCTGGGCTACACTGAGTCCTGGGCCAGCCTGGGTCTTACCTGAGTTTTGTAGTAAACAACGAGACAAATAAAAGAGGTCCAGTGTAAGTCAGACACTATTCCTGTCATGAGAAAATGTGCCATAAGCACTCAGAGGACACCTGGGAGCAAATGGATTAGAATTTCTAATTTCCTGTGTGGCTCCTTTGTACAAAGTAGAAAGAGGCATCATTCTTGGTAGATAGATTTCTCAAAGGGTATCCTTAGGGTGTCCTAAGCTGATATAGTTCCATACCCTTGTACAGGGTCCAGTCTGCTCAATTGCATACCTGATCACTGGAATATCTGAGTAGGCTTCTGTGGCATACTGGAGTGTTTTTCAGAGGCTAGTAGAGAAAGTCAGACCAGCAAATGTGTGCAGAGAAAACCATGGTAGTGTATCATTGTGTGTGTGTGTGTGTGTGTGTGTGTTTGTATGTGTGTATGTTTGTATGTCTCCAGCATCTTGTGCCAGGGCAACCTGATTTGTAGAAGGAGGTCATGGAGGAATGGGTTTTATTTGGGGTGAGAGATGGGTAGAGGAACCCTCTATTTAGCCACAGTGGCCAAGTTGAGCCATGGGGTGGAGAGTAGAGGCCAGGAATGGGATGGAAGCCTGTTATAATATTATGGGTAAAAGTAGATATGGCCTAAGTTGAGGCTAAACTCCAGAAAGGGGAAGGGATGAGGCCCCAGCCCTGGTCGTCCTTATCCTAGGGGAAGTGGAACTGGCCCTGGTGGGATGAGGCAGAACTGCCAGTTCAAAGACTGGAAAGGCAGGCATCTGGCTTCAGTTGCCAGGGCAGGTGCAGAATTGCACACCCTGCTCAGCTCAGCCCCATCAGATTCTACCCCTCCCCCCAGGCTTCCACTAGCAGGGAAAACTAGAATGAGGTCTAGAGCCACTCAAGGAGGCCCAAGAAGGCAGCCAAAAATTGAGACAGATGGTGCTGGAACTCCAGGCAGAACAGACAGCTGTCTGGTCAGCTAGGGATATGCCTCACAAAAGAAGAAAGCCTGCATTGGCACAGGGTCTGTCACCCTGTGGGAGAGTCTGACCTCAGAAACATTTCTTCTCTACAGCCTGGTGGTGGTGGGATGCTCCTGCCAAAGCACACTGACACCAGGGGGCGGCAGAACCAGCCATTCCACTCTTTAGCTGTTTTTCTCTCTTGTGAGTATAAGGGCTTTTAGGATGACCTTCAGAAGGCTGAATTTGGCTCAGCTACAGCACCAGATAGAACCAGGGCTGTCCCATGCATATGGTGAGGTGAGTGAGGATGAGATTCTGACTTGTTTGCAAAAAGAAGTGAAAATTAGGCTTTTGAATAACAGAAGCTATGCTGTGTATGTGGCCAACACTGGCGCATGTAGTCACTCAGATGTTCATTGAATGAAGTTCTGGGTGTGTATATGTGTATGTGTGGGGAGCATTGTTGAAAACTTAGCTACTTTTGGAGGGGGATTCTGGGGATTGAACCCAAGAGCACTCAACCACTGAGCCACATCCCAGCCTTTTTTGTATTTTATTTAGAGATAAGATCTCACTGAGTTGCTTAGGGCTTCACTAAATTGCTGAAGCTGTCTTTAAACTCTCACTCCTTGTCCTCAGCCTTCCGTGCCACTGAGATTACAGGTGTGTGCCACTGTCCTGGCTGATTTAGTTACTCTTTTACTGAGCAGCTACTATATTGTTAATAACCGTATTCTGATTCTTCAAGTTATCCTTCAGTCTTCCTACAGCCCTGTGGCATTGTTAGCCTTATTTATTAGAAGAAGCACTGAGACCCAGGGAGATTTAATGGGGAAGCAACCTGCAAGAGCTGAGTCATACCCATATCCTTACACTTCCAGTCCATGGACGGTCCAGGATTTCAATATGCAAAAAAGGAAGTAGGGAAAGAAAAGGCATAGCAGGCAGAGGGATGGGTATGAGAAAAGAATGGCAACAGGAATGAATGAAGTTGAGGGACAAATTCTGCTTGCCAGCGAGGTTGCCAGGCTGGGCTCCATAGGCCTAGAATGCCACGCCACAACATGTTGACGTTATTCTGTATGGTAACCATCAGGAGATATGGCTGGAACTGGGAATGTGGATGGCCAGAATGATACCATCCCTGTGCTAGACAAGCCACATGCATCTCTTAGTGACACATGTTCCACTGAACAGCAGTGCTTGACCTTTTCCATAAGTCCTATGATCTCCTTGAGGGCAGAGCCAGGATGTCTTATCTCTGTGTCCCCAACCCAGGGTTAGACATGCAGTGTACACCAGAGTTTATTGTGTAAATGAATAAAAATAAAGAATTCCCTGGGAATAATTTATTTTAATAATGATGTAATTATAAGTAAAGATGAATTTATTTTATAAGCTGTTTTCTCACCACAATAAGTCAATCAGCAAACAACAGACTTTTAGCGTACGTCTATTAAAATGCCAAGCTCTATGCTAAGCTGGAGGACGATGTCAATATGGTGAAAGCAACAGGGAAAAGCAGATGTGAATTCCTTGTTGGCAGGTCTAGGTCAGCCTTCACTGGATAACCTTAAATGCTGAGAATGAGTGCAGCCTGGAACAGAAGCAGTGGCAGGAGCTCCGAAAGGGCTTGATGAATGAAAGAATGAATGAACGAACGAATCAACTCACAGCTTCAGGAGGAACTCGTTATGGGGAAGGTAGTCTTCTCTGAGAACTGTTGTTTCCTTAGAGCTCCAAGGTTCTGGCCTCCTGGCAAACTTGGAGTTCTGGCCACTCTGTCAAGCATAGCCAAGAGGAATGTCCAGTCAAAGTCCTCACCTCATGGGTGTCCTGGTATGATAGCCCCATTCCTTGTGTTGGTCTCACAGGAGTTCCCACCAGCCAGTCATTGGGCCCAGAATTGGTGGGGGAGGGGAATGCTGTGGGTGACATCCTGCTTTAGTCCCAGGGGTGTTCCCCATCATTCACTCACCTGTTCAGTTATCTCCCTGGCAGTGTGCTTAGGTTCTTTGTGTAACCCCTGATTCATGTGAAGCTTGCAGTCTTTGATAGACAGAAGTGGGAAAGTGGGAAGTAGGATGGGAAAGTCTGAGCCACTCTGAGCTATTTGGAGACCCAATCAGTAATCTCTGAAAGATTTAATATTCCAAGTAGTCCCACCTGACTATTCACCTAGTTTTCCCAGAGACACCCTTCCTTTCCTCACACTTAGTCCAGGCATTCAGCTAGAGTTTGTCGCGGTGTCCAAGGAGAATTGGGGGTGGCTACTTCTGGCTTGCCATCTGCCCATTCAGGCCTATATTCCAAGATAGTTTCCTTCTGGGGCTTTAGAGCAGAAAGTTAGGACATTTTGCAGACCTTGGGACAAACAAATCTGGATTGGCACCTGTTGGGACCAGGGACAGATCTCTAGGACTGGCATAGGAGGAATGAGAGAGAGAGTGCAGGCAAGTCCAGGTTGAATGGACACCTATGAGACAGTCCCCATTAAACAGTTCCTAGGATCTTGCTGCACTCCCAGAACTGTGTGGCCCATGTATATAGAAAGTGGGGGCTGAGGTTGTGGCTCAGCGGTAGAGCGCTCGCCTAGCATATGTGAGGTCCTGGGTTCAATCCTTAGCACCACATAAAAATAAATAAACCAAATAAATGTATAAAAAAAAAGAAAGAAATTGGACCCTGAAGGACTAAGTAGGACTTGCCCTGCTACAAAGCCCCGTTTTCCCCTGCAGTGTGTGAACTGTTGTTGAGCCTTAAGCTCTTCTGTGGAGTTCTACCTGCCCACCCATCCCAGCCTTAGCTATAGACCACTCTGGACCCTGATCAGAGATCCTACTAAATAAGAAAAGCCAATTGATAGTGAGGTCAACCAGAGATTGGACAGAAAGGTCAGACAGAGGCCACACAGCAAGGACAGTTAGAGCCGAGACAGAGCAGCAAGGTAGGATGTGGCCAGCCAGTGAGAGTGGACGAGGAGGTTGGCTGGAGGCTGGACAGTGATGTTCCCAGGTCTATGAGAGGGGACAATTATCAGAATGGATAAGGGGGACACAGCTGAGACCCTTTCGAAAGAGTCAGCACTTCTGGCCTTTTTGTTCTGCTTCTAGTGCTAAGGTTACCTAAAGTCACTTAGGACCCAGGATCCCGCTTAGTGGTCAGAGACCTTCGTAAGTGTTGAGTGACTTTACCTTCCAGACCTGGATATGGTTCTCTGGAGGACACCCTTAACTTACCATGCTCAGCCCCACTCTGCCTCAGGGCACCTCCTCCCAAAATTTTGAATCTGTCTAGGGGGAGGCAGGCCTTCCCTTAGCCTGTGGGCTGGTGGGGGATTTGGGTACATGTGACCCTGATCTCCAGACAGCAGGGTAGGTGGTGACCTGTGAAGCCCGTCAACCTTTCAGAGCTGGGCCTTTTATTTGGGTGGAGGAGCTGACAAGTCCTGTCTCCCTTGAGTCGTGGGACATCTATTCAAGCACCCACTAGCCTTCCTGTTGGTTCTGAATTCTTTCCTAAGTGGTTTTGTCCTAGATGTGCTCTCAGGCTAAATGATCTTGCTGTGTCATTGTCTCCCCTTAGTCCAAGTCGCATCTGTGCTCCTGGGGTACAAGATTTATGCAGCAATTAATGGACAGCTCCTGGTGACCCTAGAGTGGCAGAAAAACAGCATTTCTAGCAGCTAAAAGTCTGAAAAAGATTGGAGCCTGACCTTGCTGTGGTGCTTCTATTGAAGAAGGTATCTGGGCCCTGGACTGTCCTGGAAGCTTGTGATCCCATACACTGGGCTCTGGGTTACCATAAACTCCTCTCACAGCTTGAGGGCATGGTGTCAGCAGTGCTGTGGGCGCCTGGCAGGGTATACATCAGGTCTCCATTCTTAAAAGTCCTCTGTACACTCCAAGGTGTTCTTGTTTAGCAGCACCTTTTTTTTTTTTTCCATTTCTTTCTCTGTATTTATCATGAGCCCCACAAGAATCACTGAAATGTCCTTCTCCAAAAAAGGCTGCTACCTCAGTCTCAGCCATTCATATTTTTGAAAAGGATAATGCCCACAGAGAGCCTCAGAAGGGGTGACCCTATTTCTTGGTCCCACCCACCCTGACCTTACATGGTGCTCTTCTCTGTGGCCACAGAGCTCCTCCAGCTCCCTCTGGAAAGATGGTGGGTTTCTTTTCAGTGGGTGAAAAGTGAGAATTCAAGTGATGGGTGCTCTCCTTGGGTCAGCGTGAACAATGTCCAATGGCCTTCCTGGGCCAGCTGGGGCCTCATTTTGCTTTGGTCTGAAAGAGATTTTTGTTTTCTGGTGAGAACAGCCCTAGCCTGGCTGGGCACCGGAGCCAGCAGCAGGAGTACAAACCCTTTCATGTGACAGGCCCAGTGGAGTGCTGCAGGCCTGCCAGCCACAAGCCCTCCCCTGCCCTCCTTGCTCCGGGAGGCGGCCATTTGCATATCCCCCATTCATCCTGGCCTTGAAAAGGAGGCCTGAGTTCCCAGTACTCCCTGCCCAGCTAAGGGCTGGGCTGCTGGAGCCTGGTGTTAACCCTGTGGTTGCTCTCATAGGGGTACCATAGGACTTGGTGGTTGCTGGCAGGAGGACCATGTGAGACTGCAACTACCCCCTTCAGCCCTGAGCCACAGAGGGGTGACTCAGGTGGGTGCAGATTTGCTAAACTGAGAGAAATTCAAATTTATTCCTTCCCGAGGCAATTGAGAAGAATTTTGCCAGTGTATGGGACAGCCAAGAATATTAAGCTATTTACCAAATTTGCCAGAAAATTAAGCTATGTATCATGTTTTCCAGGAAATGTACCCTCCACCAAAGGCAAAACTGTTTTGCTCATTGTCTAATGCACACAGAGGGACAATACACCTGGAATGGTGGGTAAAAGAGCCAGGCAGGCTCCTGGCTATAGTGGTAGTCCTTTGGCAGGGATAGAGGGACACAGCTTGCCTGGGGTGCTTTCGTATCCCCAGTTCCCAGGATGCTAGGTCAGGTGAGCTGGTGGGCATCATTAGCTTGTGGGCTGTGGCTTGGAAGGAATTAGGCATACACATAGTACCAACCACAATCTTTTGCCTTCTACAGCTAAATGCCATGCTGTGCCTCTTTCCCTCTACTGTGTAAATGCTCTTCTCAGGTGCCCCAAAGTCTTACAGGCTCTTCCTGTGCCTTGCCAACCCACCGTGTCACTCTGTCCTCACCTGGCTCTCCTTCCCTTCCCACCCTGTCTCCACTGTTACCTTGCTCTCACTCTCTGGATGGGAGGATGTGTCTCGGATTCTGTCTCATGAATTTCCTCCTGAGCAGGTGTTCCCAGCAGACCAGAAATGAAAAAGTAGGTGAGCAAATTCCTCTCTTGCTCCTCCCACCTCAGTAACTCCAACCATATCTTGCCAGGATCCTCCTACCTCAAGGAACTTCCTGCTAACTGCAGGAAGTTACACTCTATCCCACCTGTACCCTGCCCACGTGCAGGTGAACTCTTGAGAGCTCAGCTCTCCTGCCAGATGTGTCCCCTTCACTGGAGGCCTGTAGTGTGTCCACAGTTTGTGCCAGTGAGGGAACTGGATCACTGCTTCTGAGGCCAGGACGCCGACAGTCCTAATGTGGACACAGCTGGGAAAGGAAAGGATCATGTTGCAACCACAGGATTTGGCTTCCTGTACAGTAGGGCCTGGCCAGGTGGTGTCCTCCTGCCTGTGTGGTGTCCATGGTCCCCACCAGTATCCCTGGGGTTATGCCTGCTCTCCCGGGTCTCGGAATGAAGGAAATTGGGACCTTGGCTCCTCTAAGGACCATCAGTCCTGGTTATCATTCCCCGAAAATATTTCCAAAGAGCTGCTGCCATTGTTTTAGCTTCTCTTGTCCCTCTGCTCTGAGAATTTTGCTATGCCTGATTCATGGTAGGGACAAGCTTTATCTCAGAGCTTGGAAAAGATACTGTGTTTCTGTCTGCTCCTCTCTTCTCAAGGTTACTCATCTTTCTGAGTTCCTGAAAGTGCTGTTTGAGCCTGGCTTTCTGTTGTTGTCATCAGGAATGTGGGTCCATGTTCCCTGGCCAGGGCTTGGGTGAGTGAGATTTTTGAGAAGTTCTGTTGTGAGGATGGGGGCAAAGGGGTAGTGAAGGCTGCTAAAAGGGGCTATGTTCTCTGTGAGTTTGGGAAGCTGGAACACTTTAGGCCTTTCCATGTCCAGGGGCTTACTTCCACTTTCAGAGCTATAATTGGGCTCCACAGGGAGGCTCAGATTGTAACTCAGCAACCCAGTATCATGGGCCCTTTTTTTTCTCTAGGGGGATGTGCAGTGGGTATCCCCTGACGGTTCCAGAGTCGTGGATGCCCTAGGTTCCATCTCTGCCCCAATCATCTGTGGTTCTTTGATTGTAATTAAAACCCAAGAGGAAAGTGGAGAGAAAGCCCCTCACCCACAGGAGCTTGAATCCCTGTGCAGATGGGGTGGTTGTTGGGCTGAGTGTGGTCTGCCGTATGTGCGTCTCCACAGGTCAGTGGCTACAGGGTGCATGTGAGAGGTATTTTTTTGTTGTTGTTGTTTGTTTGTTTTTTTAGTACTGGAAATTGAACCCAGGGGTGCTTTACCACTAAGCTACATTCCTGGCTTTTTTTTTTTTTTTTGAGACAAGGCCTCACTAAATTGCTGAGACTGTTCTTGAATTTACAATCCTCCTACCTCAGCCTTCCTGCTTGGGATTACAGGTGTGCACCACCACACCTGGCAAGGTCTATGCAGTTCTTGACCTGGCAATAGGAACACATCCTCCATGGCTTTCCATCAACCAGGACGTTGCTGTGACCACTAAATTTCCTGGGAAGCACTAAACGAAGATTTAACGGTGTCTGGAGGAGAAAAGTAGGGTCCTGCGAAGAGGAAGGAGAAGGGCTGCGTGGGTCAAAATTAGGTCCTCAGGTATCTGTGAGTTTTAATTAGGGAGGACTGGAGATGGGGGGCCTAGTTCCAGGTGTGGGCTGCTGAGGCAGAAGGTGTCTGTATGTCTTGCCCCCGAAGATGGGGTGAGCAATGGAAAGTTTTTTCAGCCCCATGGAAGGTATTACAAGCCTGGGATTTGGACTTCCCAGACAGGTTGAGCAAACATCTCTCAAGAGGGAGCTTGGAGCACTAGGCCATGTTGCAGGGAGGTGGACTGGATTTGGATGAACAGTAGGCTGGGAAGTGTCAGGAACAGAGTGGGAAGTGCCCAGAAGTACCTGGTGCCGGGGTAGGGCCTCGGGTTGGTGTTGAACTGGGCCCTGTGGCCTGCGTGTGTCTTCCTCACTAGCAGGCATAACTGTGTGCCTTGTGTGTCCAGCCAGCTACATGTTAGCCAGGGAAGTAGGAGTGAAAAGCTGCGAAGGTCAGAGTGAAAGAGCTACAGAAGTAGTCCCACACTCTGTGGAGACTGACCTCAAAAGAGTGAGGCTCTCCCTGGGAGGCCTGGTACCTAGGTGCCCCAGTCTGGGAGAAGTGCTGCAGAGAGCTTGGCTTTGGTTCCAGCAGGAGAGGGTGTGGGTTCTGGCTCCAGGGTGGTCATCCCTGAAGGCCTCTTAGGGAGCAATAGGGAGGGGCTGATGTGCTGCCCTGGGGTCCTGTAGAGAAGATGAACTATCCTCCACCTTCTGACCCTACTCCCCAGAGCATCCCTGAGTAGATATTGTTTGTATCTGAAACTATGCCCAGTTTCTTTTCTCTCCCAAGATTGGTTGTGACCTTGTGGGGGTGGAGTGGAGGTGGCTCCTAGGAGAGGCTGGAGGCAGAGTGCCGGTGGATGGCGCCGCCTCCTTCAACATCAGAGATCGGGTATCCCCACCCCCTCACTCCCCATGACTTCCTACCACCCCTGCTGCTCATGCTCACCATAGGTCACCAGTCCATGCACAAAGCTCCTGGCCCCTAATCAGTGTCTCAGATGGATGTGTAAGGAGGCTTTGTCCTTTAATAACCCCCCCCTTGGTAGACTCCCCTCCAGGACTGAAGACAAGGTGGGGTGAGTGGAGGTGCAGAGGGGTGTGGGCGGAGGCTCTGGCAAGCTGGCAGAGTGAGGGTTAAGGCTGGGTTGCTTAGCTCCGAGCTGATCAGAGCCAGCACCGCCCCATGTACAGATGAAGGGGGGGGGGCAGCGGGGGCCTTGAGGGGCCAGTAGCTCCTCACAGAGCTGCTCTGTGCCCTGGTTCCTGCCAGACCTGCTCCCACAGCCACCCGGGAGCCACTGCCTCCACGGCTAACACCTCTCCACTCCCTGGCTTCTGAGAGCAGGCGGCTGTTACCATCAGCTGTTCCCAGGGACAGGGCTATCGCCACTTTCGGGCTTTGATCAAGATGTGGTAACTCTTTCCCTGGGCCCCACAGGCCCTTTAAAGGGAAGCTGGTTCTAGTGGGACCAGCTAAGCTACCTTCTCAGTGCCAGGAGCCCGCTGGAAAGGTAGGGTGTGAATGCATCTGCTTTTGCAAGTTGTCTTTGAGCTCCTTTGGCTGGCAAAGAAAGGGAGTAAATTGCTTCAGCTAGCTCCTGTCTACCCAGTGTTTCCTCTATTATGTACCTGGCATCCCACTTTCTGTCCATGAGATTGTTTGAGGTGAGGCCCAGAGGGGTGCAGTAATTTGCCCAAGGCTACACAGCTATCAAGAGTCTGAGCTAGGATTTGGACCAAGGTCAGTCTAGCACTGGAAACCACTTTGGGCCCTTTCCCAAGCTTGCTTGCTGGGGGTCCTGGAGCCTAAGCCCTGGGAGAGGTTGTAATTTTCTTTTTGGAGTTTTTGTCTGGGAATTGAGGATATTCTTTGATATCATAGCTTCCCCACTGTTTCTGAAGTTCTTGGGGGTTTGCAGAGACCCAGAATTCTATTATTTCTTTCTGATACAGAAACAAACTGGTGTGAGTCTAAGGGAAGGGAAGAATATGAGGAGCATAGAGGGCCAGCATGAGTTTGGCATTTAGACCTAAGGCAATAGGGAACCAGATAAAGTTTTGGAGCAGTGGCATGACATAGACACATTGATTTATCAGGAAAATAACTTTGGCATCAGTATAAGCATAGGTGAGAGCAAGAACCATGAGAAGTCTGGTATACCATTCTGGGCTGCCCTTGGTAGTGGCTGGACCAGGCCCAGGACTGGGTAGGTGGCGAGGAGTAGTCAGGCTTCAGAGATGTTTAGGAAGTGATCCTTCCTTGCAGAGTCATCCAACTAAACTGATGGCGTAGAGTGCTGGGGGGGGGGGCGTGGGGGCAGGGAGTTGTACTAGCAGAAGGTTCTTGGAGTCAAACCACTGGCCTCAGGGCCATTGCCACAGGGGCTATGCTCCAGAGCTTTGCCTCTGCCACCCTCCCACCTTGGAGCCAACATGCCACCCTCTATGGCCCCTTTCTTCCTGTTCTTTCCCATCCTGGATCACAAGAGCTATTGCTTTAACTATGTGCCCTGAGTCAGCAGAGGACATGGTAAGGTGGGAGGAAGCCCCAGTGCTCCAGACTGTGTCACTACTTGGTATTCTGAATGGGTCTATACTGGAGAAAAAGGCATGGGATGTGCTGGGGTTGGGAGCAAAAGGAGGCTAGCTCTTGCTGAGGGCTGGGTCCTCCTGCCAGGTGAATATTTATAAACACAGTCTCTCACCTGGCAACACCAGCACCACTGATCCCCATGGGTGCTGTCCACACACCATCCCCCTTCACAGCTGCTGCAATCCGCAGAACCTCTTGGGGCATAGAAGGAGGCAGGCATGGCTGGAACCCCAGGGACCACCAAGCCTCAGCCCATGTTGACAGAGAGAGGAGGTCAGAGGAGGCCAAGGCCCCCTGAAGTAATGAGAGGAGTCCAGACTTTCAAACCTAGTTCTTATCCTCCTACATGCCAAGGTCTAGATGGCGTGGCTTGGCTTTGAGGCCAGTGTCCTTAGAGGACCTGGACTTAACAGTTCTGCTTCTCAGTGGCTCCCAGGTCTGAATGGAATCTCAGAATAAATGCAAGCAATTTTTAATATCTGAGAAAGCCATTACACCTGGAAGAATGAGACCCCCTGGTTGCTGTCCAGCCACGAAAAGGTGCAGGCCCAGCCTCAGGGCCAGAGGAGCTACAGCCACTGCAGATGCCTCCTAAAGGGTGGGCACCTCACCCGAGGAGGAGCAGACAGCCAAGCCTTTTGCCCACTGGACTCTGTAACCCCAGGGGGAGGACAAGAACCCATCCAGGAGAAGATGATGAGTTTTTCATGTGAGGCCAAGAAGAAGCTTACACATGGTGTGTGCAGGGAAGACAACAGCACGTGACTGATCTGATAGGCTGATCCCCATGTCCAGGTTGTCTCAGCCTTACACTTGACCTTACCTCCTAGAAACTGGGCCTTGGCTCTTCTGAGCAGGCTGCAGCTGGCTTTCTGTGGTTTCAATACCAAGTTGAAGGAGAGGATGCATTGTGAAACTGGATCCAATATTGGAAGGTGTGGGGTGGCCACACAAGACAAAGGAATGATTTGGGGTTTGAGTCCTGGTTCTTTTGGCACCTGCCATGTTCCTCTCTCAGTGAAGAAGGAGCCCTGTATTCTACTTCCTCACAGTGAGTACGTGGAGGATCACACAGTGCAGTGTGATGGAAAGGGCTTCTCAGGCATCAGGAATTCAGGAAGTTAAGACAAGTCCTGCATTTCACCTCTGTGAGAACTATGATACTGTAACAACCCAGAGCTCAGCAGATCTGCAAGGCCGGCCTCCCAGACTTCAGTGCTGACCTTTGTACAAGTTTCCACAGGCTCAAAATTTTTATTATCTTGAACAGAAGATTCAGTTTCCTAAGCACTCTGTGTGCTCTTTCAGCTCCAGCCTTTGCGTAGTCGCTGCCCTCTGCCTGGGACACTTTCCTCTTCATCCTTCGGTCTCATCACTTCCTGTCAGAAGCCTGCTCAGACTCGCCACGCTGGAGTCAGGCGCCTTCTCTCACTCCCTCTGTATGATCACAGCTTGAATCCACACTTCCTGACTCTGCCCACTCCCTCATGTCTTCTTGCCATGGGACTGAGAGCAGGCCCAGCACTGATCTGTGGAGAGCAAGGGCCATGTGGGGGTCTGATGGAAGGATGGAAGGATGGATGGATGGCATGTTCATTCTGCTGTATGCTGTGACAACTCCAGCATTGTACCCAGTGCCACAAATACCCACTCTCTGGGGCAGTTTAGGGTCTGTGAGCAACTTCCAAGGGCCAGGGACTGGTGTTCATGAAATATCCTCCCAGGTTCTCTTTAGAACTTTTGGGTCCATATAGCTGAGGCCTCAGAGGCTGGGCAGGGACTTCTTAGGCCCATTGCCTCCACTTAGTCATCTGTCTGTCTTTCAGCTCACGCAAGAGCTACAGAGCATGTCTAGATTTTCCAAAGTAATGAGTCATTTATCTCATAGACCTGGCTGTGAATTGATCTTCCCATCTGCAATACAGGGAAGTCAATGTCCCAAGAATGCCAGCAGGGACAGCGCCCCCATAGAGGTTTTCCTTGTGAATCACTGTAATCCACAGCTAGGCTTCTGTTTTGATGATGCAGAACCTTAATTTGATTGCTCTGCCAGGAGTAGGTCCTTCCTGTGGGGTGCAGTCATAACTGACTCAGCTTAAAAATGCTGCTGACAAAATCAGACTTCAGACTCAGGAGAGCTCAGGGAGAATGCTCTGCCTGGCTGGGGGTTCACTTTCATTGGGTGCTTGGAGCACTCAAGCCTGTGGGAGGTTGGTGAGTGTTCCCAGGACTCAGCCTGTTATACACCTCTAGATCATCTGTTCCTTCTGTGGGGCTGCAGGACCTGGACCCAATGGCCTCTGCCAGCCATTTGGACCAGCATGGGCCAGGTCTGCCTCTGAACCCTTTTCTGTTTCCTATGCTGAGCAGCAGCTTGTCGGACAAGCATATCCTTTAGCCATTTCTTTGGTCCTCTGACTCTACTAAATGCAGTACAAGGAGCTTTACATGCCTAATACTATCCCATTTTAAAGACTGAGGAGTGGAGGTTCAAAGAGGTGGAATATGCGCAACTATCAATAGCTTATAAGTAAATGAGAATGGACTTTAACCAAGGAGCTTCTCTCTCTCTCTCTCTCTCTCTCTCTCTTTCTCTCTCTTCCTCCCTTTCTCCCTCCCCCATCGCTCTTTTCTCTCTCTCTCTCTCGCTCTCTCCCTCCCCTCCCCCTCTGCGATGACTTGCACAACACTGACCTCATAGTCCATGTGGTAATGTTACAGTTTAGCACAAATTCCATCTATTGGAATTTTAGCAGATCTCTCCTCCCTCAAGGGTCAAGCAATTGTTTGGCTCATATCCCAGGGCTGCAGAGTAGCCACTGTTGCATTTCTTCTTGTTTCCCAAGAAAGGAAATCACAGGAACCTCTTCCAAGGGCCCATGAGGAGGGTACCTGTGGGGGCCCAGTCTGCCATCATTGCGATGGTAGACCTGTAGGTGTTCTGGGGAGCTTCTTAGATTCAGGTCCCACTGGGATAATGACATGAAGGGATCTCAGTGTGGATGCCAGCATCTGATGTCTGGCTCACCCTGAGCCCAGCCTAGTTGTGTATCTGTTCTGTCAATACTTACTTACTTAGTGGCTAACAGGAAGACCCAGGATCACCCTGGGACCTGCTCTCTTGGAACCAAAATTGGTTACCAGTGCTTCTCATGGAAACCACATTGTCCATCCCTATGTCTCCCTGAAAAGCCCACTATACCACTTGGGCTGCAGTGGGTGATGGTGGCACCCTGGCCAGCACCCATGACATCCCAAGAGGTACTGGTTACCTTTAGGAATACACATAGCACTTTGCTGATCCCTCTCTTGCTGGGCCTTGGTTTGTTTCTCTTCCTGCCAGTTTAATACTTTCTACCCCCTTTTTCCTCTGGACATTAACTGAAGGAGTCAGGAAGGACAGCACAGAGCCCAGTCAATGGTGGGGCCAGCAGTGCCTCTTGGTACTCAGTGTGTGGCAGCACAGGGCTATAGAGCTCACATAGTCAGCTAGGTCACTGTCTTTGTGTCATCAGGCCTGTAGATACCTGTTCAGGCGAGTCTGTGAGCACTGCTGAACTCTCCCTCAGAATCAGGGCCTGGATTTGAGAGCTTAGAGGTGGAGCAGGCAGAGCTTATATCTCTCCATCCCATTCATCCTGCAGTATTCTGAGCGCTTCGGTTGCCTTTACATTTTCTCTACACCCTAGGAGCAATGATAAACACAGCCCTGTGAGCAGAGTCACACAGGAAAGGCAGAGTACCCAGGTCCTAGGGCCTGAGCAGCTCCATGACCAAAGCTGCCAGAGCACATCCTGGCTCCTGGAGGATGTGGAAGCAGCTGTCAGCCATGGCCCAGGGCCTGAGCATGTGGTTCTCAGGAAAACTGGGTCAGATTATATGACTGTCTGGTATGAGAGCTCTAGCTTCTCATGGAAAAAGGCCTTCTGAATGTGCACCTGAACTGTACACCCTAACTAGCCCATGGTCCGCTCTTCAGTATATTGAGCCAGAGCCTGGCCATGGTCAGTGTGCCACTTGTGATCCAGGATCCCTCCCCAGCCTGTCTACTGGGTCTCCTCCCTCATCTATCTCTTGTCTCCTACAGAGTTTGTCCTCTCAATTCTGGAGAAGATGCAGACACAGGAGATCCTGAGGATACTGCGGCTGCCCGAGTTGGGCGACTTGGGCCAGTTTTTCCGCAGTCTCTCAGCCACCACCCTTGTGAGCATGGGTGCATTGGCTGCCATCCTTGCCTACTGGTTCACTCACCGGCCAAAGGCCCTGAGACCACCATGCAACCTCCTGATGCAGTCAGAAGAAGTGGAGGTGAGCAGGGTGGGAGCAGTCTGGCTGTGGAAAGTAGCGGGCAGAGGACAGGCATCTTGAAGGTAGAAGCCAAACTTGTGGCTCATTTGACCTCAAGTGGCCCAGAAAATTCCAGTTTCCCCTGCCAACCAGCCAGCATGCTCTACAGGAGCCTTGGGCAGCATCTCCTGCCAGATGCTCCTCTCCTAGTAACTGTCCCATGGCAGAGATTGACCTTGACCTTGCATTGGGCATCTGGTTTGCCAGCTTCTCAAATAGGGGACCTTGGTTCATCTATGCTTCAGTAGGCTAAGCAGGTCCTGTGAACTTCAGGTAAATTCCCTCCTAAACTCTTCCTATGCCCAGTTCTGGTTAGTGTAGGGATCCAGACCTGAGCCTACCCCAGGGCCCTGCCCTCTCAGAGCACATGGCCCTTTATATGTAGAGCCTCTGTGGAGAAGAGGGTACAGTGGCCCAGCACACAAATGTGTTCCAGGCATCTTTATTAAGTTTATGGAATTTGGGGCCAGGGTTGTGGCTCAGAGGTAGAGCACTTGCCTAGCATGCTTGAGGCACTGGGTTAGATCCCCCGGCACATAAAAATAAAAACAAATAAAGGTATTTTGTCCACCTACAACTAAATGTATTATATATGTATATATAAAGTTTATGGAATTTATTTTGCCCTTTTACAATTTGCCTTTTTTCTAAACTTTAATTCTGTTCATTTTGAACAGGTAATACATTCACACAATTTGCAAGAAACAAAAGGACATATACTGAAAAGCTTCTACCTTCTTCCCCTGGTCTCCCAGTTTTCCTACCCTGAGGCAACTTGTGTTAATGATTATTTCTTAGCCTTGAGAATATGTATAGATAGCACCCCTGTCCCCCAGCTTTTAAATTATATCATGATACATACATTGTTGTGATTTTTTTGCTCTTGATGGTACATCTTGGTGATCTTAAACATGGCAATGTTTTGCCTGGTAGGGGAGGACATAGATCAAGATAGGCATCTGGATCCTAAGGACATTTTTCCAGAGAAGGAGTGATGTATGCAAAGCTCAGATGTGTGATAAAGCACATGGTTGAGTGCTAGGCAATGTAGAGGAGCTAGATTGGGACTAGCAGAGTATTAATAAAAATGGTCTTTGAGGGCTGGGGGTATAGCTCAGTCAGTAGAGTGCTTGCCTTGGATGCATAAAGCTCTGGGTTTAATCTCCAGCACCACATAAAACTAACTAACTAAATAAAAGGTATTATTTTCATCTACAACTAAAAATATTTTTTAAAAAAATAAAAATGGCCTTTCATGACCAGCAGTCCTGGGCTTGGAGCCTGGAAGTGCCTCACACTGTATGGTTCTTGGCAGTTTCTTTACTCTCTCAGCATCAGTGTCCTCAGTAATAAAGTGGGTAATAAAAAGAGCACCTGTTTTTTATGGTGTAGTAAGGTTTTTGAGAGTGGTACAGAGAGAGCACCAAGAACAGTTGTTTTTGGTTAAGCTTATAATTATAACTTTCTTGGAGAAGTCAGCCTGGACAGAAGCCCATGAACTAGGAAGGGATGCATGGTATGGGCAGCATGGATTTATTCTGGGTTTTCAATATAGAGACAGGGCCAATTCATGCTATGGAAGGGTGGCCATGGCAGGGGCAGGTATGAGGAGGCACCAGCAGGTGTCTGGGTTGCAGGTGATACAGTGATCTGGGTGGGGTCTGGTGGCAAGAGGGATGGCTTAGCTCAGTGTCTGGGGACCACAGAAAGAGTCAGCTTGTGAGTCTAGCTGAGAGGACAGGACATGGGACAAAGTCAAGTCTTCCCTTCTAAGGAAAACTGAGCTGGCCTCTCTACCTAGGAGAGTAGAGAGTCAGAGTGGCTGGAGTAAAGGAGGCAAAGAACAGAGGCAGGAAAGGAGGGAGAGAGGCAAGCGCAACATACAGGGCCTGGCAGACTTACTCCATATGCTGCTTGGTGAGAAACACAAATCAGATTGGGTCACTTTCCCTGGCTTCCCATGGCCCTCAAGCCAAAGTCCAGACTCCTTGTTTTGATCTGCAGCCCTTTCTGGCTTGCTGTCCTACCATATCCATCTAGAGCTCCATGAATTGCTCTCCAGTCCCCAGATGTACCTTTGCTCCTGCCCCACATCTGCATTTGCTATTGCCTGTGCCCAGAGTGCCATTCCTTGCTCCTTATTCTGCTCTGCAAACACCTATGCATTTCCAAAATCTGGCCTGGCAGCCACACCCCAACACACATGACTGCTGGAGCCTCCTTTGTCCCTAGCACACCATCCCCTACTATATCGTATCTGTCACCCGGTGCTAACCAGGTCCAAATATATGCCTCCAGCTTCCCACACAGGTCTTTGCTGGGCCTGGAACTTCAGAAGTACTGGCCAAACAGAACTTTCCACTTCAAAACAGTGGAGACCTGCTGTAGTTTTAAGTTTGCCTGTTCGCTCTGTGTTGCTCACAGTATTTCCTCAGACCTAGTATTCTAAGAAGTGGCAGGCCTGAATAATGCTTAGAGAACAGGCAAAGCTGTGGTATAAAAGAGTTCTGGTTTGGGGAGCCTGGGTGGGGTAGAAAGGAAGAAGCAAGGAAAGACACCCAGCTCCTTTCCCTTACCCCAGTGCAGAGATGTTCCTTCCTTCTTACTCCGGGTCTGTACTGCTGAGGGTCCAGTGTCCCACTGCCCTGCCCATCCCCATTGGACATTAGTGTAACTCAGCCTGTCCTCCGTCCTAGGCTTCAGTTCCTGGAAAACTATTCAGTACAGTCCTCAACTAATTTACACTAGTATGTGAATGATGGATGACAGCCTTCTTATCTAAAGACTACACCTAAATGATTCTTAACCTAGGGGCCTAAGAGCAGTTGATGTGGTGGGGATACCTTGGGAGGTTATGCCAGGAAATACTTGGCTCCAGCCAATGCTTCCTGTTCCATTATATGGATATATATGAAAAGTTACTGAAAATTCTGTACTTTTCATGTGTGCTGACTTGGTGTGTGAATGCAGTATTGTGTGTGTGTGTGTGAGAGAGAGAGAGAGAGAGAGAGGGAGGGGGAGTCACACATCAGTGTACTGGGCCTGTGCCTGTATTCACTGGCCAATTATGTTTGAGTATGGATACACACATATTGAGAGTATATAGTACAGGTGTGCTCACACAGCATCTCCCAGCCCTACTGTGTAAACCAGGTGTGCATCCAAGCTGTATTCAGCTTTGTGCATGCCAACTGTATACAGTTTTGTGACAGCCTTGCCTGCCTCAGCCAGCTTCTCTGGCCTATGTTTGGTTTGTAGGACAGTGGCGGGGCCCGGAGATCTGTGATCGGAGGGAGCCCTCAATTGCTTACCCACTACTATGATGATGCCCGGACCATGTACCAGGTGTTTCGCCGTGGGCTTAGTATCTCAGGTGAGAAGGGCTGTGGCAGGCATTGGGTGGGTATAAAAGTGGACAAGGAACCATGGTAACAGGCATATGGGCAGGTCAGCAGGGCCCAGGTTCATCAGAGAAGCCATTCCTAGCCCTCCTTTACCAGTCAGAAAAGCAACTGCATTACATGGCCAAGGGCTGACCTTAGCTTTTTTCAGCCCTTAGGATTCCCTGACTTTAGGCTCCGCACTGTATACACCATATTGTCAGCCCCTTGTGAGCCTTGAGCTGTCAGACTACTAACTGGCATGATTCTAAGCTTGAGCCTCTGAGATGTCTGGGTGACACAAGAGTATGAGGCAAAGGGGGACTGTCACAGAGAGGCAGCCTGTCACCTTTTCCTTGCCCCAGGTATCTGGGTCTTTTTGGATCTGTAGTATAGACGGTCACACAAGTTATGGTAGGGACAGTTATTGTATCAGTCCCATTCCTGGGCCTCCCTGATCTCTGAGAGATGCCATGTTCACATGCTTTATGTCCTTCTGGGTTAGGAAGCTAGGGGGACATTCATGGCCCGTGGATACCCACAGTGTGGGATGTCCATCCAGGTGCCTGACAGGCAGGGGTAGCATACCCACCCTGCCTCTGCCCTTGCACAAGACCTGCTTGTCTCTGCAGGGAATGGGCCCTGCCTCGGCTTCAGGAAGCCCAAGCAGCCTTACCAGTGGCTATCCTACCAGGAGGTGAGTGACAAAAGACAGGCCCCACCCTGTCTTCATGCAGAACTGGCACTTGGAGGGAGGGGCTTGTGGGCACCTTGCTGGGTTCTATAGGGTCATTTTTTATTTCTCTGGCCTGTAATAGCCTTGAGGGACTTTGGGTCTACCTGGGCAGGGAGTCAGGGAGGTCTGTTAGACCTATAGGAATCCCACCTGGGGGTCTCCCAGCTCCGAAGAGCCTTCGTTTGCCCATGTCCTCCCCGCATCTGTGTGCAGGTGGCTAATAGGGCTGAATTTCTGGGATCCGGACTTCTCCAGCACAACTGTAAAGCAAGTACAGATCAGTTTATTGGTGTTTTTGCACAAAATCGACCAGAGGTGAGTATCTGTCCTGACTGGTCTTTCTGTCTTAGCGGAGTAGGGGTTGGGCACTACATGGAATAATTCTGCTCCCACAATTTGTAGGACTAGGGTCAAGAAAATAAAAGGGAGACCTTAACACCATCCTCTATACCCCACCCCTAGCTCTGTTCCTCATCAGGAGCAGATACCCAGCAGAACTTCATCCATACCACTTCCAGACCCACAAACAGCTGTCCCTTGAGCCAAGGGAGAGGAAAGTCATGGTGAAAAGGTGCATGCATGTCCTGGAAATGGACCTTGGGCTGTTTGGACATGAAATCCAGGAGTTAATAGAATTCCATGGGTAAAGCATGGTCTAGAAGGCTGTGGGTGGGCAACCACAACCTCTCAGCCTTGTGGACTCCTTGCTGTTCAGAGTGTCAGGTATAGGGCCTAGAGCAGGCACTCTGGCTGCCGGGTTGGAAGGCAGTACCACCCTCTTAGCTCCTTTCCCCCCATCCTGACCTCTTGTTTCCATAGTGGATCATTGCAGAGCTGGCTTGCTACACATATTCCATGGTGGTGGTGCCACTTTATGACACCTTAGGCCCTGGTGCTATCCGCTACATCATCAATACAGGTGAGCCCCACTGCCACCCACTTCCACCATAGGCAGCTGGTCCCCAGTCTCTCAGGTTATGCCAATTGTTTCACATTCATAGGAGGTCCTTGCTTCTGCTCTCAGGAAACAATAGGGGCTTATACTTTGGCCCCTGAGTTGGCTTCCTGAGTCTCAGCTGGCCCCAGCTGGGCTTCACCTAAAGGTTCCTTGCACAGGGATGGAATGTCAATAAGAAGCCTCTGAACCAGCCTTTACACAAGGCTACAACCATTTCAGGTTCATGGCAGCTTGACATGGTTGCAGGAATGGGGGTAGGGTAAATAACACAGGTAGACCTGGGATGATGGGGGCTGAGTCTGAAGCAAAGGAAAGCTTGGAGTCTGCTAGTTGGGAAGTCTGGAGATTCCTGGGCCTTCTTCCCTTGGTTATACTCAGGACCCATGGCATGTTCCTTTGCACACAACACATGGCCCCCACAGCCTGTCTTGAATATTTATTTATTTATACAAGCTCTGGTATAAACAGCCCATGGTGCTGCTGTTTGGCATGTGTTGCTCATAGTCATAGTTTGCACCCCCATAGCCTGACTCTCCTTGATGGTCCCCACAGCGGACATCAGCACCGTGATCATGGATAAACCTCAGAAAGCTGTGCTTCTACTAGAGCATGTGGAGAGGAAGGATACTCCAGGGCTAAAGTTGATCATCCTGATGGAGCCGTTTGAGGAAGCCCTGAAAGAGAGAGGGCAGAAGTGCGGGGTGGTCATCAAGTCCATGCAAGCTGTGGAGGTGAGAATCTGCTTCTGGTTGTTTGCTGAGCCATAGATGGCTAGTCACTGAGTCAGAGCTACTGGTCATCTGCCCCTTTCATGTGCTGGGTGGCTGTTTTAGGTGTGTGTTGAGACAGGCCGGGCTTTGCAAGGGCTGGTAGAGGGAGGCCTGGATAAGCCACAGAGAAGACACTATGGCTGGCATAGTTAATGTCACCAGGCACCAGCAGGTGATGATGGTCGCCAACATGAGAAGCACTTGCACAGGCTCTGGAGCTTCCTCACTTCTAGCTAGTGTCAGCCTGTGTGTGTCTGAGGATAGACTTGAGTTCCAGGACTCATTGGGACCCAGATCCTCAGCAGCCTTCAGAACTGGCCTCCAGGATCTCAGGCACTGCTCAACTGACTTCTACTGTGCTCTTGGATCCAGGGCCCTGGGGCCTCCTGTCCTGCCTTTCTTGTCTGCTGCTCCTTGTATCCATATGCCTGTGCACTTGAACTCCTTCATGACTTTAGCAGCCACAGTTGCATTGGCAACTCCCACCTGTTGCCCAGCATTGAATGCTCATTCAGAAGCCTACACCACCCAGCCACTCTGTCTCACACGTGTTCCTAGATGTACTGTGAGCATCTTAAGCCCAACATGTCCAAACCCATTGTCATGTTCATAATGCCTAGCCTCTCCCCAGATCTTGGGCTCCCTGTCTGTATTGTATGGGGTGGGCCTAGAACCTCTAGGTAGTCTGCCTCTCTCCCAGGAGTTCCAGGCTAGACATATGTCTGAGGAGAGGCAACTCAGGTGGCATCTTCCACAGCAGCCCATGTTTAAGTACAGGATCTAAAACTCTGGGCTTGGTGCAAGAGCATGCCCAGATGCTGAATTTATTTTGTTCTGTTTTTAATTGATGAGAACTTGTATGCATTTAAACAGTATTTTCTTTTTTCAGGACTGTGGCCAAGCAAATCACCATGCTCCTGTGGTAAGCTAATCTATAAGCCGGTCTTTGTTGAGCAAGATGGTGGGTATGGTCTGTCTTCACAGAGCCCAGAGTAGAGAGGCCAGAGAAGCACCTCCATGTTAATATGCAAATCTTGTGCATAACTCAGGAACGCCTCCTTGGGGGTCCAGGACTTCTGTAGGCTGAGGGTCCAGGGAGGGACCTGGAAGAAGTCCGATGTTTGGGGAGGGAGACAAAAGGGCAGCCAGGCCTGGGTACCCGTGGCTCTCTGGTGAGTTTTTCTTGGGGAAGTCTTGTTTTTTTCCCTTTGAATGTAGTGAACACACCAGAGAATGAATGGGCAGAAGTAGCAACAAAACCGAAAGTGAACCCCTGGATCAAGTGACCTGTGGCATCTACTGTCTTTGCTCATCTTTCCCTTGTGAACTTTTCTGTGTGCCATCTCCAAATGGTCCTGCCTGGGGTTAGATCATAGCCCAGTGCCCTCTGGGCTGGGCTATGAGGAAGTTTTCAGGGTTTCAGGTTCCAGGCCTCTCCCTCTAGCTCAGTCCTTCCTACTCCTCAAGCCACAGTGAGAGAGAGAGAGAGGGAGAGGGAGTCCTGAACAGGTCATAGCCCTGCTTCCCAGGACCCTGCACAGGTGGCCCTGGGTCTTTGCTCATCTCCCATGCACCAGGCTCCCCAGTCCTTCCACATACCCTATCTCTTATGTCTCTGTACTTATTCCCAGCTAGTTTTTCTCCCAGAATACATGGTCTTACTTTATCTGGAAAAATTCTGTTTGTCCTTCCATCTTAACTTATATATATCACCTCCTCTGGGAAGCCATCTCTCTGTGCAAATAGACTAGATGGGCTCCTGCTGGTGATCCCAGGACCATGTGCCCAATGCCAGGGAAGCACCTAATGCTGAGTAGTCCTGGGGATTTAATGGGTAACTCAATTCCTGAGCCACATGTTGTATTCCCAAGACTAATTGCAGGTATCTGGGAGAAAATGAGAAGGAAGGAGAGAACTGGGTGATACCCACTAAAAAGATGAGGGGTATTTGGTAGAGACCTGAATGTGACCACTGTAGCCCCACTCCATCTAAGAGAGCTGGGAAACAGCAGACCAGCTGTGAGGTTGGTGGGACAGATACATGTCCATCATGTAGCTTCTTTTCCCCTTTCCTGGGAGCTCAATTCCCTACTTTTCTAACTGCAGCACATGGGGGCACTCACACATGCCCAACACATACCCCCACCTGTATAACCCATATACACAGCACACATGTGAGGCTAGGTGGTGGAGGGATCCAGGCATCTTGGTCCCTGGTAGTTCCCACTCGGGTCTCCCTAAAACACTTCTCTTCTCATTCCTGCAGCCCCCACAACCTGATGACCTCTCCATTGTGTGTTTCACAAGTGGCACAACAGGTAAGCAGTGGTACCCAGATTACCAGCCATGGCCTCCTGCACCCTATATTGGCAGCCTGGCAGGTGATTTCAGGAATTCTGGTGCCCTCTGTGAGATGGGCTGAACATTGTCTTGTGGGTGGTTCCAGATGTTGGTCCCTCCTCCTGCTGCTGGTATCCAGCACTAGACGAGTCCGGAGTGGCCAAATGGAGAGATAGTATGGACTGGGAGGTGTAGATGGGGTCCTTGGAATTTCCCATAGCTGAGCCAGTGAAGACTGGGACAGCTGGATTATGTGCTGGAGAAAGGACTTTTCTCATAGTTTCGTTTCTTTATGGGAAATAGCTCTTACCCCTCTGCTTCCTACCCGCACTTGGTCTATGTATCAGGGACTGAGGAAGGAGTCTGAGGATATCTAAGACTCCATCAAAGGATGTCTAAGAGGCTGAGTGTGAGTCCCATCCCCACCACTTTCCTAGAGTACTATGAACCAGTTACTTCTCTGCCATTACTGTTCCCAGTTTCTCACCTGTGAAGAGGGTCGTTAATAGTGCCAAGTAGGAGATGGGGGTGGCATGTGAAAGGGCAGACTGTCAGGAAGAGGACACAGTCTGTGCCTGGCACTGACAGAGTGGCACGTGTATCAGCATGGGCAGAAGTAGTCAAGGAAGGCTTCCTGGGAGAGACAGAATATACATGAGGACCATGGCAAAGACATGGCACTTTGCAGTGTATAGTGCCCTGTCCACCCTGTCACTGTGCTGCTGGGGCCTCAGTACAGTTGGTGAATCAAACAAGTGATGACCAGGCCTGCTCTCAGGGGACACTACCAGCAAGAGGAGGTGACAGGACTTGTGCCCTGCTCCCTATCCAGAGTTGTTCTCATTGCTGTCACTCCATCTCATCTGATGACTTGGGAAGTCATTTGATTTGCTCTTGAATGGGTAAGGAGTTTCCAGCCTTGTATTTCTAAGACTGGCTCACCTTGATGACAGTTCTTAGGGGACAGTGAACTGAGGCTTCCCACACCTTCCACAGGAACAACCTCTAAGGCATTTGGCAGACCTTTGCAGGATTATCCACATCATTAGATCATGAGAAATTGGTTTTACTAAAAGGAGATGGATGTTTACCATTCGTTTAAGTGGGCTTAAAGATTTTCCATTGTACTCTACTAAATCCTTTCAGAAAAGAAATAGAGCCCTTACTCTTCCGAAGCTGACATCCAGAGCCAACCCCAGAACTCAAAAATGCCCTTCAGGTTTATGTTGCTTTTTAAATAGAGCTTTCTGAGGTCTTTTTGACATGAGTTTTACAGCATGAATTTTTGGTGACATGATTTTGAAGAGCAGGTCACTGCTGTGGCCTCTGGCTTTGGACCCCTGCCTTCTAAGTGTGCCTTCAGGCTTTCAATGGATACTTGGTCACAGGTATTGCCCCATATCTGGAAAGTACTTCATGATGCAGAACAGTGCTGTTGCCCCCTGGAGAGGGCACACCTCATGTCCAGTGTTTTCCAGACTGTGCATTCACTGTCTAAAGCCAAGGCACCCTACTCAAGCTCTCTGGTGGAAGCAGAATGTATGGGGCCTAGAAAATGGGCTGTGATTTAGTGTCCCAAGCCTCCTACTCAAATCTATGGCTGGTGCCAGGGCACAGCTGAAGCAGTAAGCAGACCTTTGGCCTGATAGCACCCAGTCTGGTCACGTACTTGGATTCCTTAGACTTCAGGCTAAGCCCGTGCTATGCTTCTTGTATCCATTCTCTTTGTCAGCACATCAGCCATGTGTGTCCTCAGTGTCACAGCCCAGCTACAGCTTCCCTTGCATGCCCAGTGTCCTGGCTCAGCCTCAGCCAGGGCTACATTGTTCTTTGAGTGGGAAAAGGTGGGAAATATAATCTAAACCTGATATTTGGCTCTTATTCCTCTGGTGGAATAATTCCAGGAAGATTTCCTTCCACCACATGGTGGACACCCTGTAGAATCAGCCAATGCTTGGAGCCCCTAGTCAGGCCAGGACAGTCTGCAAGGAAGTGAGAGATTATGCTTATTTTATCTAGCAAAGTCTGATGGGTGAGTATGTGGTTCGTTGTTCATTTCAAAATAACCACCAACTGGACAGAAATCTGACTCTGCTAAAAAAAAAAAAGATAATTTGTGGGTAAAACTACCCTTGAATGATAGTTTTTATGAGTTAATATAACTTCTCTTCCCAGAGAAGAAAATATAATAGCCTTAGGAAACACACTCTTCTCAGTCTATATGTCTTTGGTACTGTTTTCTTATTTATGCATATTAATTTAATCATTTTTTGAAAACCCACTGTGCATCAGACCTGTTATTGGGGGCTGAGGACATGGGACATAGCCCTGCACTCATAAACTCACAATGCATATCAGCAGGCAGTTCCAGTACCATATGGTCACTGCCCAAGGGTCTGCATCCTAGGCTATATAGGGTACCCAACTTCCGAGTCATCAGGATAGCAGGACACAAAGGATTCTCAGATCTAAGCAAGTTCTAAAAGATTGATAGCTGAAGAAGAAGAGAGGGAAGGGTGTTCCCAGCAAAGGACCCAGCATGCACAAAGGATCAGGAGCAAGATGGAAAATGTTGCTTTGAGGGAAGGTGGAGGGGGCCTGGAGCAAGGCCTGGGGACACTGGAGTTGGAGGTATAATGATGACAAAGGCTTTCCAACTGAAAGAGCAGCTGAAGAGCCAGAGAAAAGATTCTGTCAGCATTGTCTGTGGCTGATTTACTCAGAGGATGTTGTCATAAAACCATCTGTTGGTGCTCCTGGTACTTCCTAGCACTCCTGCTGTATAACTTTAGAATTACCTGACTTCTCTTAAGCCTTGATTTTCTTGGGTATTAATCAAATACATTTAGTGCTTATGAGTGGAAGGCAGAAATGGACAGTAGTGCTAAGACAAAGTGCTAAGAAATGTGAGGCCTGAGTGGCAGTCCCTGTCACTGACTTCACACAAGAAAAAGGGAGAAACAGGAAAATCTGCCCCTGGATTCTGCAAAGTTGATTGTACTTAGATCCATGTTGAAAGATTTATTGCTGTTTCTCCATACCAGCAACTTGGAAAAACTTCTATATCATGTTTAAAGGAAATGCTGTCAGGGGCTGGGGAATTAGCTCAGTGTAAAGTGCCCCCTGGGCTCAGTCTCCACTACCAAAAGTAACCATTTTTAAGTGAATAATTCAGGGACGTTTAATACAGTATTCTCTTAGTCTCTCCTCATTTAGCTCTTTTATTTCCTCCTTCTTGACAAGGGTTTCAAAATTAACATATTGGTTTATTTGATATTTCCTGTGTAACTTCTGCATGTGGTCTGGCCCCACACATTTGGCATTTCATGGCTATTACATCTGCTGCCTCAGTGAAAACATATAATTTAACATCTTTTGTTCATGGATTATGTCCTGTGACCTTATAAAAGCCCTGTGAGATGGGAACTATTGTCCCTCTTATACAGGCAAGAAAACTATGAGAGGAGAAGTGGCTTAGTGTTGTCATGCTGGCTAGGATTTAAGCTCTGTCAGATCTGTCCAGTAGCGACATCAGGGTTGCATCCACATTGATATGAAATGGTGGCCACAATGGCCTCCCTCCCCGCGTGCTCTTTGCTGGGTCCCCACCTACCTCTACCCCCTGAATTATCTAGCAGTACCTGATTTCCTCAAGGGCCCTCAGGACCAAGACCCACAAATCATAGTGGAAGGTTATCTGAAGACAAAGTAAGAACATCTATGTCCCATCTTTGCTGATGAGCAGGTGGCAGGGGCGGCCCAAACCCCAGAGACCTCCAGCCTGACCTGAGCCAGGTACCAGCTGTAGCAGGAAGTCCTCTGCCAGCAGAGATAGGTCAGGCCTAGAGAGCAGCATTGAGCACTGGAAGTCTGTGAGGGGACAGGAGAGGCGCAAAGCCTGTGCTCCCAGAAGGAAACAGGAGAAGATACAGAGCCTCAAGTAGTAAGCCCTTCAGGCTGAGGCACTCCATCTATGCAGTCGTGTCACCTGCCTCCTGGTGCCATGCCTCATAGCGGGCTCTGAAGGCCTATAGGATGGAGGTGCCTGGAGCAGCATTCAACTTCCTCAAACTCTGAGGTGGCTGAGGATGAAGGCCAGAGGCTTGGGTGGACAGGTGGTGTTGGGGACCGCTAACATGGGCACTATTTTCAAGGAGTGGCCCTTGAACTCCCAACTGACTCCTCTTCTTGCCTTCTATTTTCAGGGAACCCCAAAGGTGCGATGCTCACCCATGGGAACGTGGTGGCTGATTTCTCAGGCTTTCTGAAAGTGACAGAGGTGAATAAAGTAAATTTACTATACAGGTGTCTCTTGAGGACATCCTCAAATCAGTTTCATTGTTTTCTGCCCCCTGCCCCCCGATACAATCTGGGCTTCCTGCCATTCCCAGACATGAGTTTCTGTTCTCAATAGAGCAGACCCACTTTTAAAGCCCCTTTCAACCCCACTTTTAAAATCCCTTTCAAACATGGAATCAATCCATACCTGACAAACACTTAATTGATTTCTTTTTTTAATTTTTATTAGTTATTGATGGACCTTTATTCATTTATTTGTTTATATGTTTATGAGCCACACTCGAACCCAGTGCCTCACACATGCTAGGCAAGTGGCCTACCACTGAGCCACAACCCCAGCCCTTAATTGATTTCTAAGAGCACTAAGATATTGGAAAGAAAAGTTTGCAAACCCATTTTGCATTTTTAACCTCAAAAATTGAGATAGCTGTGCTTTTGAATGTGTACCTTTATTCAGCAAGTAGCCCGTATTAACTTGGTTTTCAAGTAGGTCAGGGTTTAATTCAGTCATTTTGTGTTTAATGACTACTAGAGTCTGAGAAACAACCACAACTGCCAATTTATAAGGCTGTACTTAAAGGTAAACCTAAAATCATAAAAGCTTGAGACCTTGGCCTGACGAAAGCATGTTAGTGTTTTATAACCAGCTAAGAAAGGAGAATCCCCAGCGTGGTGAGTATGCTTTGCAGTTTCCTTCAGGAGAAAGGATGGTGCCTTTTCATAGAAGTTAGGCCTTGTCTCCACTGTGGAGACATCTCTCTCCAGGTAATAGTATGGAGGCTGCCTATGCCCCTGTCACATACTTTGATAGACAACTGTGAGAGATGGTTGGTGACTAAGCCACATTCCCAGGGTTTGTCCAAACTGGTCCAAAAAGGCAACCCAGAAGAGCCAAGCAGTCCGGCAAAGGAAACCCTCCTTGTTCAGGCCCCCACCTGGTCAGAGCAGCCCCTGTCCCTACCCTTAGTCTCACCTGTGTTGGAGGGCTGCAGCAGGACCTGTCAGCTTTCCCCTTTAAGGCCTCAATCCCTGATTGTGGCTTGAGAAGCCAGTTTCCGCCTCCTGGTTTGGACTTGGCCTTGTCTCCTCCTCTGTCCTGGGCTCTCTGGGCCCCTTTCTCTGAAAAAGGACTAGGAAGTGCTGACAAGCCAAGCCCCAGGGAGACTGGGTAAATGGGGTCTGGGGCAGATCCCACAGTTGTGGGGAGGAAAGGGAGAGAGCCAGGCTGGCGCCGACTGACTGCAAGTGAGATGCAGGCCCTTCCCTGCGGAGCCCAACTCTGCTGGTTTATGTGTGCTTCATTTGGCTCTTTGCTTCTGCAGATAACCTAGACCCACTGGCGCTGCGACCTAACACTTCGCTTCCTATGCTGCCCTGTCTCTCTCTCTCTTCTCTCTGCACCTTTCCTCCCTCCCCCACCACCCTCTCATTTTCTCTCTCATATATCACTCTGTCTTCACACCCTCCATTCCCTTCCCTTCCCTCCCTCCCTGTTCGCCCCTCCAGGACCATTTCTCTTTAATGTTTTATGACTCTCTTGTTGTCTTCCTGTCAGTGTTTCTTTCCTTTCTGTCTCCCATGCCCGTCACCTGCAGAAAGTGATCTTTCCGAGACAGGACGATGTGCTCATCTCCTTCCTGCCTCTGGCTCACATGTTTGAGAGAGTAATCCAGGTAAGACGCCCACCTGACTGACTGGGATTTGCCTGGGCTCCTTCTGTTTTCTTGCAGAGTCAGTGGGCTCCCACTTGTGCGGATGTGCACTTTTCCTATTTGCCTTTAGCACACATGTTTGAGCGAATGGTGCAGGTAAGGCCCTGGCATTAGAGAGGCACAACCCATGCCTAGAACCCATAACCCTAGCAGGATGTCATTTGTCACTGGTGTTATGAAGTAGGACCAAAAAGCCCTATGCTCAGAAGGTACCACAGGGGTCAGAAGGGTCCAAGAACCTTGGTCACCCTATCAGTTCTCTAGGGAAGACCCAAGCTCATAACATCTGCTCTGAGAACATTGCAACTTTGCAGACATTTGCTTTACCATCCAAGCTCTGTGTCGTACCACTCCATGTATGGCCAGCACACTCCTGTTTCACGACTCTCATAACTCTCAAATTCCTAAAAGAGAGAACAAGCTGTAAAGAATCAAACTGTCACAGCTCCTCGGGCTGCAGATGGGGACTGGTATTAGCTTGAGTCTGAGTCAGGCCTGTAGGGGTAAAGAGAGTGAGGGTAGGAAACCATATGTGATTTAGGGACAAAGAATTCTCAATGCATGTGTCACTCAAGGTTCCAGCCTATAAATAAACTGCATCTTTTAATCCTTTCCGATTTTGCCTTGAGAGAGATCTGGCATAATAAGGCAAGCTTTCCAGCTTTCTTGGCCTGAATTAGAATGCCAGTAATTACTGTCAAGTAGTTTTTTAACCCCGGGTAAAGTGAGCTATGCATTTTTAACCTGTAAAGGGGGTGGTTAGGAATATTACCTCACTTGTAGGGTTGCTATAAGCATTAAAGACAGGAGCACATATAAGGACCCTGATGTGCTCTTAGTCCCACTAAGAAATAGTCAGCCTCCCTCTTTACCCTCTCACCAAACAGCATCCATAGCCAACTCTAGCAGTAGCTCTAGTACCTGTGGGGATAACAAGTCCTTCCATCATTGCAGAGATATCCCTGGGAAAATCCGCATAGTCCAGGACCTGAAATAGACCCATTAATAAGCTATACATATCTCAAAAAGACCTAGTTTCCAGCATTGGACAGTGGGTGTGGGAGTAGGCATCCATGAAAATGGCTATTTTGGCATCTCCCCAAAGCTCAGAATCCCACTCCTCCTCCTGTGCCTTCTCCCTGCATCTGAGTGGGACTTAGTGTGAAGATATGGGATGGGGAAGTCATTCAGATAGCATTCTTTGTGTCTTGTGGCAGCAGCTAGAGCTGGGTTTGGGTTATGGGTGCCCTTTATGGAGTTTGGGATGCTCTGGATTGCGGCCAGTTGTGACCTGCCCATCCTAATGGACTCCTGTCCTCTAACTTCCAGTCTGTTGTCTACTGCCACGGAGGGCGCGTTGGCTTCTTCCAGGGAGACATCCGCCTTCTCTCAGATGACATGAAGGCTCTACGGCCCACCATCTTCCCTGTGGTCCCACGACTGCTGAACCGGATGTATGACAAGGTGAGCCCTGGGGGAGCCAGGCTGAGGTGCTGCTTATCTGCTTATCTAGACAGTCTGTCCTGAAAGAAGTTGCTTCTTTGCATGTATTCCCCAACTCTTTTTTTTGCTTTTCCTTCTTTAATTTTCTTCCTCTTCTCTAAAATCTTGGTTGGGAGGCATTATTTTAGGAAATTCCATTTCCACAAGATGCCCAGACTTTGGCAGAGTTAACCTTCAGCTTGATGTCACACATTCAGTGACCTTCTGCAGGGGTATCATGGAGCGTGGCTTTTCTGATGGCCAGTCTGGGCCTTCTTCCTTGGGGACATGTCTAGGGAAAGGCCTTCAGACCCTTACAGATGTTTGCAATGTGTGTTCCTCAGATCTTCAGCCAGGCAGACACTCCATTGAAGCGTTGGCTGCTGGAGTTTGCAGCCAGACGCAAGCAGGCGGAAGTCCGGAGTGGAATCATCAGGAATAATAGTATCTGGGATGAACTCTTCTTTAATAAGATTCAGGTAAGAAATGAGCAAGAATGACACCTGTGTCCAGTGGGTGATCTTACAAGAGAACTAAAGAAGTTCATCCCAGGAACCTATAATCTTATAGAATAATAACTCATGAAATAAAAGTTTATCTTACAATTAAAATTTTAAATGACCCATGGTTAAGTAGTTCTCTTGACCTCCACAGGCATCAGGGTAACCTTGCCCTTGGATAGTCTAGTATGCTTGATACTGCTCCATCAAGATGCTTCTAGAGTCTGAAGATTCTCTTGCCTTTCAGTGTCACCCTGGCCCCATGGGTTTTTCAGCAGCACCAGGTTCTAGCTAGATGCTCAGGAATATTCTTTTCCTTTCCTGTTTCGTGTCCCTTCATCCTCTCCAAACCAGTCCAATCCAGAATTGCACATTTATGTATGTTTGTATGAAGCCTTCAAGCTCTGTATTACCCAAGGAATCTCTAGCTAATTAGTAGAATTACTCATTTTTTCTTGCTATTCTATTTTTAGCTATGAAAATTAATATTTAAACTCTCTTGTCTCAACTTACAGAAACAAAGTGTTTCAAGTGTTTTTTGTCCTCTGTAGTGCATAGTAAATAAAGCATTGTATTGATTTATACATGAAAAAAAGATAATGTCATTAAAATGGATGTTGGAAGAAATTTCCCTAAGTAAATTGTTTTGGTTGCTTATGAATGATGGAAGAGTGAGAGAGCAGCTGTATATTTTAAGGAAAGGAGAACCAGTATCATAGAATGCCACACAGACTAGTAACACTTATCTTAATAAACAAAAGAGTTGATCAAGGACCTACGGGTTTAGCACAGTGTTAGAGTTGTTGCCTAGCATGTGCAAGACTCTGGGTTCCATTCTCAGCCCCCTGCCAAAAACAATGTTTGGTTTTATCATGGGTTAAGTTGTGTAATTGATTGGGTGTATCATTTGCAAGGGGAAGGGACTTCATCAGTTCATGGTCTTCTCTTTGTTCAAAATCCTAGCATCCAGTAGAATATTGGACCTGAATGAGGTCCACATGGGCAGCACACTATCTCAGGTATCACAAATGTTGGCAGATTCTTCCCTCTTCCCACAGGCCAGTCTTGGTGGACGTGTTCGGATGATTGTTACTGGAGCAGCCCCTGCATCACCAACAGTCCTGGGATTTCTCCGGGCAGCTCTCGGGTGCCAGGTATTGCCTTGCATGTCCTTACATGGGGGCAGAGGGATGTGCATCAGGGATGAGATCTATTTTACCCTCTACTATACAGGAAAAAATCCCAGGAACAAGATTTGTGGGATAGATCTCCCTTTTCCAAGGATGCAGAAAAATCCCAGAGCCAATTAAAACCAGGATACCCTTGCCCCATTCTGGAAACACATATGTATGCACTCTGAAAAATTCCTTTCCCTGAGCCCTTGGAAGGTTTTTGCAAAGGACAAAGGGATCAGATAAACTATGTATGAATCATCAATGTGCCAGAGAAGCTGTACCCCACCTATACCAATCTCTGTATTCTCTAGCTCACAAAATATCTTCCCAGTGTCTTAGAGGAGCACAAGAGTGGGGATGAAAACCCAATTTTATGTTATTTGATTCAGTGGTTTTGTTATCTCTAAAAATTTACTTCTTCATTTGTCCATTCGATTAGTATTTATTAATTTATTACATATGCAGGGTATTGTAACATGGTTGTGGCTGATGGGTTTCAAGTCAAGTAAATATGTTGTTTCATAATTGTGCATGACTATATACTTGTGCTTTAGAAGCCGCACGGTTCTTATACTATCCTCCTATTCCACATGGCATTGGACCTGTTCTAAAGGCAGGCTTTCCCATGTGGTGTATTCTTACAAACAAGAAGGGCTCTGGAGGTGAAGATCTTACAAAGACAAAATTAAGCATGGAGTGAATTCTGAAATGTGTATCTCTAATGCCCATTTATCCAAATAAAAAATAGAGTCAATATTTGGAAACAGGCCAGAAATCTTTATCCCAGTCTACATAACATTAACTACTAAGTGTCTGTGAAAAAAAGTAGCACTATTTTTAAGCAAATGAGGCTATGATTGTTGTCTATATTCAGCTTTCCCTGGAATTTCCTGCCTCTAGAGCACCTTCCCTTGACCTTCCTTACCAGGAAGCAGCCCAATGGTCAGTGGGATGTTAGCTGACTAAAAAGGGCAGCCAGTCAGTTCTGGGAGGGTGTGTGCCCACAGTGATTTTCAAGTTTTTCTTGAAGGTCTATGAAGGTTATGGCCAAACTGAATGTACTGCTGGATGCACCTTCACCACACCCGGGGACTGGACTTCAGGTAGGATGGGCTAGAGGTGTGGGAACAGCTTGCAGGCCACTGTTACGAAAACAGCAGGATCTAAAACTCCCTCCTGGAAATTGAGTTTGCATGAGTCATTTAGGGAAAAAAATTAAAAGGAATAGAAAAAAAACATTGATGCTTATGTACAAGTTGTGATGTTATGGGTCTGTTTTCTTTGTTGTGAATTTTTTTTTGTGTTTTCCTATTGTTTTTATGTTTTCCCATTTCCTTCATAGAAGAATAGACCAGAAGATTACGATTCTAGGTGGAAAAATGCTTATAGTATCTTTGTATTTGATTTTATGAATTCTAAATATCACACAACCTTGCTTGAAGTCATTTCAGAACTAGGTTTTAGAATAAAAGAAGGCTATGAATTGGATATAACTTGTAAAGGAGAAGCATGTTTATAGTGAACATGCTCTCTCTCTCTCTCTCTCTCTCTATATATATATATATATATATAAAATATAATGTATATAATCTTTTTCTGGTACATTATAAGTATTCGTAATTACAGAATTCACTTGTCATTTATAATATACATACCATAAATCAATCAATCACATTCCCCAGTAAATTCCCTTTCCTTCTTCTCCTCCTCCTCCCTTCTTCTTATTGCTTGTTCTATTCTACTGATCTCCCTTCTATTGTGTGTGTGTGTGTATATATATATATATATATATATATATATATATATACACACACACACACACACACATACACATGTATACATATATGCGTACGCATACACACACACACACACATACACACACACACACAGGGATTGAACCCAGAGGCACGATATCACTGAGTGACATTACCAGTTCTTTTTATTTTTTGAGACAGGGTCTCACAAAGTTGTTGAGGTTCTTGCTAAGTTCCTGAGGCTGGTCTCAAATGTGTGATCCTCCTGCCTTAGCCTCCCAGCTCATTGAGATTATAGGCATGTGCCACTGTACATAGCTTATTAATATTTTATTTTTTAAAATGTTTTTTAGTTGTAGATGGACACAATACCTTTATTATTTGTTTTTAGTTTTATGTGGTGCCAGGGATTGAACCCAGTGCCTCACACATGCTAGGCAAGTATTCTACCACTGAGCCATAGCCACAGCCCCACAGCTTATTAATATTTTAATTGGTGCATTACAATTATATAAAAAAGTAGAATTCCTTGTGACATAATTAAACATGGACATAGCATAATTTGGTAGAGATTTTGTTCCCCAGTATTTCCCCATCTGCCTTCCCTTCTTCTCAACCTCCTTCCTCTGCTCTATTGGCCTTCCCTCTATTCTTCTGAAAGAGAACTGTTTCTTAAGAGTGCTTTTGGGAAATATGGTCTCCTAGGAAGCAGTGGTACCTTGATAAGGAGCAGTTCCCCTCCACACTCCCATTCTGAGGAGATTTGTCCCTCAGGTGTGTGGGTAGTAGGTCTGTGATAGGTAGCCCATCTATCCTTCACCAGATTTAGACCAGATACTGGAAGAAGCTGAAAAACAACAAATCTTCAGGATAACAACTTCCTCTGTGAGCCTAGGCCGCTGTTTGTGCCTGAGTTTGCTCAACTCCAAACTGGAAAGTGGGGATGATGTACATGCAAGAAAAATATGCTTATAAATACAACATTATTTTCAGAGTACCTTGAGATAATCTGTAGAAACATGACAGGAGGATCCTAAACAAAATCATATGTAGCCAGTCCAAGTATTGGAAGTTTTATATATTTTTTAATTCTGTCTCTTTAAACTCTAGCCAGATAAAGCCCATTTACAAAAAATATTTTTATTCGTTGTAGTTGGACACAATACCTTTATTTTATTTATTTTTATGTGGTGCCGAGGATCAAACCCAGCACCTCACACATGCTAGGCGAGCGCTCTACTGCTGAGCCACAACCACAACCCCAACCCCAAAGCTCATTTTTTATGGTTGTTCCTTAATCACTCTGTCAATGGCAAATCTTCAGGAATCATCTTTAGAGGTCCTGGCTCACTAATTTTTTTTCCTTATTGGACACATATTTTGTACTGGGGAATGAACCCAGTGGCGCTTAACCACTGAACCACATTTTCAGCCCCTTTTTATATTTTATTTAGAGACAGGATCTTGCTAAGTTACTTAAGGACTCACTAAGTTGCTGAGGCTGGCTTTGAACTTACTATCCTCCTGCCTCTTCCTCTGAAGCTGTTGGGATTACAGGCATGCACCACCGCACCTAGCCAAAATGTTTGATTTTTTATTCCTTTGTACCTTAAAAATCAATAAAGTTATTGGATATGAGGGAGTTTGATATCTTTGTATAGTACTGTAAAAGGTTCAGCGGCCTTTCTTTTAAAAGAGAAACCAAAGTGTCACTGCTTGTTTTTCATAGACTAGTTTACTTTTCTTTCAGGACCTTGGCTAGCACCTGCCGTAAAAATCCTTCAACTTAAAACCACAAACAATGACTAGAAAATAACAGATACAATTAGGTGGTTGGAGTATATATAAGACCAAGAAAATCTGGTATCTCCCCACCCTAAGAGGGTGAGTTACCTCATTCCAGTTGTCTCTTCCCTTTTTTTTCAAAGCGTCATGTGTAGACCAGCAGCAGCAACATCACTCACCATGGTGCCTTTAAGAGTTGTAGAGTCTCATGCCTCAACCCAGACCTACTGAGTCAGAACCCACAATTTAACAAAATTGCTAGGTCCTTTCTATGCACCAATAAACAGGTTAGTGGCTAGAGGAAAAACAATGATAGTTGTATTGTATAATCCCCAAACCAAGATGAGTGATCTGACAATGTGGACAATGTTTTAATGTGGACACTACTGTAAAAGCTCCTGACTCCCTCCATTCCCAGGCTCCTGTGCAGGTTGGTGCTAGACCAGGTGTGCCTTTTTCTCTCTTTTAAGAATCAAATGTAAAATGAAGTTCCAGGTGGAGGTTGGCCTTTGCTTTCTCCAGAACTTTGTTTTATCATCAGTGCTTGCCTGTGACAAATACCTTTCTAAAGCTGCTTTGTTTCGATCCATAATTCCCCACTTTGACCACTTAGGAGTTTTACAGCCAAGTGGAGCATTTTCAGTACTGAATCGGATCTGAACACTGATAAGTGCCATCTTACTCTGGTGTTCTAGGGCATGTGGGGGCACCTCTGCCCTGCAATCATATCAAGCTTGTTGATGTGGAGGAGCTGAACTATTGGACCTACAAAGGAGAGGGAGAGGTAAACTTAAGGATATAGCCATTTATGTCTGTGAGTAAAAACAAGCAAATAAAAACAATAGGAATGAAATTATTTTCCTTTCACCTTGTATATACAGTCATTGTAATTGATTAATTTGACTTCAAACAGGCCCCCTTGCTGGGACTGAGTAGGTCTAAATCAATATTTTGAACTCCCAAAATTTGTTTTAAAATCCCCTGGTTTTTTTTTTCCTAACTGTGGCCTGGCCTGCTTCTGTGTAATCTGTCCCCAGAAGAAATGGCCATGTACCAGATGGGGTGGGTTGAGCTCTGTGCTTGCTCATTCCATGGGAGGGGTGGGAGAGCTGACTGCCTGGTAATGAAACAAGCATCTTTGGCAGAATCAGCCAATCATCAATATCTGTGATGATACCCCACTGAGTGTCACAAAGCAGCCTATGGTCAGGGCCAATGGGGCTCTTGCAGAAGAGATGGCAGAGGGAGAAGGGTAACCAGAACAGGGGGGAACATGGGGAGGACCCTGCTTGAGAGAAGACAAGGAACAGTTTAAAAGACAGAGAGAGCTGGCAAGTGTTCGGTGTCCAATGTTCCCATCACTGTGATTTTCCTAGTGGGTAGCATTCCTCATTCTCCCTATGCCTGGTGACGGCTTCTCATTGTTGGCATTCATCATACTGTGGCTGAGAGAAGCCATGGCATTTCACCCCACAGATCTGTGTGAGAGGACCAAATGTGTTCAAAGGCTACTTGAAAGATCAGGACAGGACAAAGGAGGCCCTGGACAGTGACGGCTGGCTTCACACTGGAGACATTGGGAAATGGCTGCCGGTATGTGTGTTTAAAATCATGGCACTCCAAATGTTCTGGTGGTGGGAGGTTATGTGATCTGGAACCTTGAGGCAGAAATCTTCTGGAGTAGAAGAAGGGAGATGTCTGGGAGATCTGAGAAGTGCTTGGAGCGGAGAGGGAGGATGCCTCAGTTCCTCTGACTCTGCCAGCAGTTGCTCTTGTCACCTTGAGCAAAGCCCCATCCCTCTCTTGGGCTCCACAATGACACACTTATAGAAAAAGAGAGCAAGCCTTCATAGCATTGTTTGATCATGGTCCACAACTTCTATCCAAGTCAAATTTGCCTTGTTCTTTCATTGTTTAAACTGGAATAGTAACATTAGTTGCTGTTCTGAGGAACAAATGAAAATATCTATAAAGCACTTAGGACAATACCTGGTACATAGGAGATACTTTGATGGATGTTTTGACTAGTAGAAGGCTCTGCTGCCAACATGGAGAGCAGCCCAGTCAGGAAGGCTCTTCAGTGTCTGGAAAGTTTTCCTAAGGTTTGAACTGGACATTGAGAGGCATTAAATTTATCAGGCATATGAATGATATAGATTCCTGTCTGGACCCTGTGGACTGGCAGGCCAGTTTGCCCTTGCTTGGATCTATATGCTTCCCTTAAGAAACCCTCATGCCTGGGGCAGACAGGAATTTATGCCCAGTGTATGCTCTGGGCCAGGGACTCTGTTCAGGGACACATATTTTTCAGCATTATCCAGCCTGATGTGATGGGCATGAGCAGGGGAACATATACCTGGGGAAAGGCAGGGGAGGACAGGTGCCTATTGGACCCAAATCTCAGAATAAGCCTTGATCTAAGATGAAAGCAAAGAGTGAGAAGCACAGGCTAGAGTAGAGATAGAGGAGGGGTATAAGGCAAACAGTTCCAACTGAAGGCCCACAGGTATGGGGGAAGAGAGGCCAATGGGTCCTGTTCACCTGCAGAGGGCAGACTGTCTCATCAGCTATGGAATTTCAGCCTTCAGGGGCTCTCGCTTGCATCCACACCTTCCAAAGCCCTGCACTTTATTTTATATTAGAAGGCTCTCAAAATTGTAAAAGTTCAAAGTCCCACAAAACTTAGATATGCTGCTGATGTCCTGAACTTGAATAAAACCACCCACCCCACAGGGCAGGTGAGAAGCAAGCGAATCAGTTCATGTGAAGTTCCATGCACTCCAACACAGCCTAAAACAGCAGGCAGGAGGCCTGTGAAGTCAGTTTCTAAAGTTTTAATTTTTAAATGATGGCTGAATTTTAATTAAAGTTGTTACTATAACAATTGAAATAAATATGTATTCTTTCTAAATTTCTCATGTAAGACAACCATGCATTCCTGGCACTTAACCATGATACGGTTTTCTTCATATTGTTTTTCTAAAAATTGTGTTTGGCCTTTCTACTTATACATTTGATTGGTCTGCAATTTTCCTTTTATATACAACTCTATTATGGTTTTTGAGAGTAGCCTGTAATTTCTTTTTATGTACAATTCTATTATGAGTTGATGAGTATTTTGACACATCCCTTTTCCTGTGTTTTGGAAGAGTATCTGCAAGGTTTGAATGTGCCATTCTTGACATTTGCTTTGGGGTGAGGTTGTAGCTTAGTGGCAGAGCACTTGACTAGCTCGAGTTAGGCACTGGGTTCAGTCCTTAGCATCACATAAAAATAAACAAATACAAGTTCTGAAACATTTTTTAAAAAAGACATTTGCTTTCAGAAATCATTATTATTTTATAGCATTAGATAGATCAAGGAAGAGGTATAGTTTTCTAATTTAGAAAGACCTTAATTCAAGTCCTGATCCCCCTGCTTCCTAACTGTATGGCTTTGGGAGAGTTACCTGAACTGTCTGATCCTCATCTCACCTGGGAAACAAAGAGTGACAACTCCCAGCTCATGGGGTGCAATGAGAACCAAAGAAACCAGTATAGGAAAAGCAATTGATGTCCACCAGGGTTTTGAGCAAAACAGAGCCTGCTTATTTTTTGTCTTCTAGAGGTTGCTCTGGCTCTGTTAGCTCAAACAGATCGAGTGGGGACAGAGTATATGCAGAAGTCTGGTCAGGATGTGGTTTTGGTGGGAGGAGGCAGTAGAGAAGAAAGGGATTTATGAGTAAGGATGGATGAGCCTCACAGCTAAAGATCCAGGAGAGGCAAATATCAAAGCCAGGTCCAGGTTTGGGGCTCGGTGGCTGGAACAGTTTTGAGGAGCTTCATGTAGGGTGTGTTGCATCCTGCTGGAAAAACAGCCTAATTTTTGAAGCATTCTGAGAATAGTGAGGTTCTGGGAGGTCTTTATAAAAGGAGTGGAGATCTTAGACAGATGTGGGAGTAGCCAAGGAAGAAGATAGGATAGTGAGTACTCAGGACTCAACAGAGCTCAAATGTCACTGACCTGTGATACACAGCAGGAAGGAGCAACTTGGGGAGGGGGTCTGCAGGGTAGGGAAGGGCAGAGTTGAGGGACTCTGTCTTGAGGTATCATCTTCTTAGGAAGCTGTTTTTCCAACTCCACAGGAGGGAACTCTTAAAATTATTGATCGGAAAAAGCACATATTTAAACTTGCTCAGGGAGAATACGTTGCACCTGAGAAGATCGAGAATATCTATATCCGTAGTGAACCTGTGGCACAAATCTATGTTCATGGGGACAGCTTAAAGGTAAGGCTACCCATGCTCTATCCCTTTTGCAAGCACAGGACTGCTGAAAAATCTAAATTAAATTTTAGTTTCCAATCAGACACCAGGATCCACCTAAACAAGTCCTTTCTAAGGAAGAAATCTTGATTACTTGTAGTTTGGTTAACTGCAGTTAGGTCAAATAAATTGTTTGAAGTAGCAATCATAAACATGCCCACTACTTTTAACTTATGTTCCACTTACTTCCAAGAGAGATTTTTGAGATGAAATGCAAAAACAAAATTTTATAGATAAATGGGTATAGCATTACAAATAATGATACTGATGATAATATAGTTTATTAGATTAAATTATTTGGGGGGGGTTATACTTATTTTACTATTATTATTATTTAGATCATTAACATGCTATCAAAGTTATCAAATGTGTTCTATGTTGTCATTGCATGAATATAATTAAATATTAAATTATTTTTGAAGAAAATACCATTCGAATTTAAATGAAGTTTTTTATGAATGAAGTTTCATTAATGTAAAAATTTCTAAATGGTCTTAACCATGGAAAACGTGTTTTGGATCATAGAATTTGGATCATAGAGTTCTTTGATTAACATCAAAAAATATGCAGGTTTAGGATTGGCATGAGAATCAAAGTTGGGATATCAGTCTAATTTTACTGATTCTTGATGTTCTTAAATATCCATCATATCAAATGTAGGGGGATATATCAAGAAATGAACAGTCAAGAATGTGTGATATATTAGAGAAAATGTTTTATAACATGAGAGAATGTTTCATAAGCATATGCTTATTTTTAGAAAAGGGTGGAGTCGAGGATACCAAGAGATTATTTTTAATGCTGGATCACAAATAACCACTTTAAAAGCTTTGGTCATGATTATGTTTTCCTTTGGGCATTGTAGGCCTTTTTGGTGGGCATTGTAGTGCCTGACCCTGAAGTCATGCCCTGCTGGGCTCTGAAGAGAGGAATTGAAGGACTATATACAGATCTCTGCATAAATAAGGTCAGTATCTTAGGGCTGTTTCCTCAAAGGCTGTTGAGTGTTTTATGATGCCACATAAGAAAAGGACAGAAAAACTCAAAATTTGAACACAGAGGGAATTTCTAATATTACTTTATATACAGTGGAAATCCTAAACTAGAAGTTTGTCTTTTAGTTACTATTGAAGAAGTTCATGTTTCTTGTTGGAAATTTGACCAGCTATTGGATTTTAGAATCAAGAGACATATAGCTGGCAAACAGCAGAGTCTGATGCAAGCCCAGGCTTTCTGACTCACTGACCATGCACTCTCCAAATGTGATTTTGTATGTTCTGGGTTAATAGAGATAGTCGTGGAATTGAAACAGGAACACAGTTCTTTCTGCTTAGAGCATTGACCATTCCCACCTTCCTGAAACCTTCTCATAGTACATGTTGGAGGAGGACTGCTGCTCTCTGACCTTAGCATTAGCCCTTCAAGTCTCTTGGTCTATTTCTGAGCAGCAGCCATATACCCCCCACCCCACCCCAGGCCCTGGGCTCATCTGGGGGCAGCAGGATTCACCAGGCTGACCAACAGGCTGCTTTAAAATTAAAAAAAAAAAAAAATTCCTTTTTTTTTTTATCAGTCACTGAGCCTGTTTATGGCCACTCCTCTGGCCATTTGCAGCCCTTTTTTGTCTGATGCAAGGTAGTGATTGAGACGCTGCCAGGGAGCAACACCTCTAGATGGCAGGTGCAAGGGATCAGATGTCTGCACCATCACCAGTTGCTCTTTACTCAAAATATGTTGTTTCCTCTATGCCCATTTCAAAATATGTTCTTATAATTTTATTTCTGTGATTTTAATTCAGGAGCTGAAGAAAGCCATTTTGGAAGATATGGTAAGGTTAGGAAAAGAAAGTGGCCTCCATTCTTTTGAACAGGTAACTATTACCCTCCCTACACTCTTTATAGCCCTTTAGTTAGTGATGAAAATTAAATTAACCCAGTGGCAACTCTAACCTAGATTTCCTTACCCTTTATGGTGTGGAAGCCAGCAGGCTGTGTACCAATGGACCCCTGAAGGCCTGTTTGGGTTGACTACAATTGCCGCTTCCTGAATTAAAATAGGTCATTGGACAAGTGAGACGGTGCTTGTCCTCATAATCTCATGCGTTCATAAGGCTGAAATATTACCCCCACTGTCACTAGTAGATCATGTGTACCTGGTCTGTTTCCCAAGATGCCTGTAATACTAAAGACCAGAGTCCTATATTTTTTTTAATTTTATGGGGACTGTCTTCTTGGCTACAATGGGTACGCTTACTTGCTAAGACATTGGATAGATTTGGGTCTTCCCTCAGGCCATTGATATAACTGAGCTCATAAGCATGTACATGGTACATGTAAGTACTTACATGTACCATTTATACAACCTCCTTTGTCAAAAATTCAAGGAGAAAAATTCTCTAAAATCGTAACATCTTGATTTAAAAATGTTCTTTGTATTTAAAATAATTTTTTCACAAAAATGAACATCCTGTAAGAATTTTTTTATACAGTTTTGTTTCCTCAAATATATTGTGGAGGGTCTGCAAGGTTTATGAAAATTTTAAATTTTTGTCTGTTTATTTGATGATAACCTAGAAACATTTTAAAAATGAGTTTTAAATATAAAATTCTTGTAATGTATTGATTTGCAGTTAAAAGACATTTTCACCACGCTGGGATTATAGCTCAGTGGTAGAGTGCTTGCCTAGCACATGTGAGGCACTAGGTTTGATCCTCAGCACCACATAAAAAGAAATAAATAAAATAAAGGTATTGGTTCCATCTACAACTAAAAAACATTTTTAAAAAAGCATTTCCACCAATCAAGATTTTAGTGTCTTAATTTCAAACTGGGGAATCTAAACATATTTTTAGGATCTAAGAATATTGCTATTTCTCTCTACATGGATGAATGTAAACATCTGTCAGTATGTTTTTAGGACAATTAAATCTTGGATAAGTAAATCTTGAGGCATTCAGGCAAGTTACATTTATTTTTCTAAATGGAAGGTCAATTTGGGGTACATAATAATAATTTAAATTTACAAATTTTATAGAACTAATTTCATTGCCCTACCTTGATGGGGAGTTGTGTTACTGGATCACATGTGACCATGTAGTCCATGGGCCACAAAGGAGTGAGTGGTCCCAGACCCAGTTGGTCTGGGCCTCTGTCATAATTTGAAGGGCAGGCTGTAAGCCCTCTAGAAACTCTCTTGTAGGCATCCTTCCACATTAATAAGGCCTGCACGCCCTCTGCTGGCATTAAGATGCATGACTTCCCCGCTACATAAGAACCCTCCCAGGCCATCCAGATTCCTTTTCACAGAAAATCAATCAATAATCTCTTAAGATTGTGCTTAAAAGGGACCTTTGATTAAGTTTCCAGTGTTAATTATTGCTTGGTTAGATCCTTTACTGAGAGGAGACGTGTTCTTGGCTTTCCACATGCCTTATACAGTTTCATCTGTCTTCACCATGGTAACCTCAAATACAGAGCTGCCATGTGGCATCCCTGAGGGTCTTTAGTTATATTGCCAAGGTTGTCACCTCCAGGTTTTCTCTGTTCCCCTTCTCCTTGTTCCTCGGCTTCCTTCCCACCACAGTGTGCACTCTCAGCTGACTGTAGGAGAGCAAGCACCAGGCCTCAGGCCTGAGGAGGGCATGTTCCCGGTGGAGAGCCAAAGCTAATTGTTTCAGTTAATCCATAATCCATTGTCAGCTTGTCCTAGGACTTTTCCCTCTCAAAAATGAATGGTCAGTGAAGGCTTAACTCTAAACATACACATGCAAACAGCCAAGTCCAGAGTTTAAATAATTTATTAAAAGCTTTTAAAAGTTCAGATTTTCTGAGAGAGGTTAATTTCCATTCAACTTTAAACTACCAAAAAAAATTTTTTTTGATATACTGTAAGAATCACTTCCAAAACCATGCAATTCCTCAAATTAGGCCAATCATTATTAATTTATAGAGAGCTTTGGAAGATATATTTTAATGAGTAGATAATTGTATCAATAAATTATTGTATCAATAATTAAAATATGTAGGTGACTGGGAAATATTTGAGCATATTTAACATCATGATTAATAATTTTCTTGATATTTATGTGCCTTATGAATTTGCATAGGCAATATGAACTATCGGTGAGTAATAGATTTCTCGAATTCTAATTAGTGAAGCCCTCACTGGGAATATTTTACTATATTTCCTCCCACTGAATTGATTACTTACCTAGTCAATTTCCCTTTAACTCAGAAATGATCATTTTCCTAATTCATTTAAATGTTTTATCTTTTTTCTTTATTGCTTCTGTCCTAAATTATTCACTCTGTTTATTATCTACTAGCCATGTTGCGTTAAAGTTTTCATTGAGTGATAACTTTGAAAAAATTAAAATATTATATTCCTTCAAAATTGTGAAAAGCTCATGCTTTTATGAGTTGACATAAAAATTGGGAAGCCTCTTTCTTAGCATGTTTAACATTACTGGAGAAGAAGGATTCTCATGCTTTTTTTTACAGGTTCACAATTGGGCAGTTTGGTTCTTATTATAGAAAATTGACTTACTTCTGAAAAAAAAAACTATTGTTGAGGCTCACAGTTAAGGTCAGTCAAATGATTGGTTCAACTCATTTTTCCCCCACTTACTGACCAGACTTTTTCTTACTTAAGCAGATTTTATAGGTATTTTTATAGAAGAATTGAAATGGACTCAAGTGTAGGTCAGACTCAAGCAAGGACTGGCATCCTGGCAGCAGGGTTGTTCTAATCTACTCACTGAAGGACTGAAATGGGAGCTGAGTTTAGGCTGCTTGTTTGCTTGGCCTTTGCAAGGTTGTATTTGATGATATAGTCTGTTCTCAGGCAGAGCTATTTTGCAGGCAGACAGGTTGAATTGCAGATATCCCACTCAATCCCTGTACCAAGATTTGCTGCAGAGAGCTGGTTTGGCAGATTTTCAAAATGTACCTGTTTCCATTCTTCTATAAAAATACCTATAAAATCTGCTTAAGTAAGAAAAAGTCCTAAGATCTAAATAGCATTATGTAGCTCTCCCTACAAAATTCACCTTCCCTGTACTGTATATTTTATAGATTGTCACTGCCATATTTTCAGAGGTGTTTACCCTAAATCCCAGTAATGAGCATAGATCCTTGTCCCAATGACACAGTGCTTTTCACATGCTATTGGGAATGCAGATGAGCTAAAATCCAGGCTGCGTGGACACTGTAGAAATTATATATTGACTTGTGTGTCTCCTTTTAAAAATTATGTTATTAATTGATGAGCAAAAGAAGGAGGGGAGATGCTTTACATCTACTAAGGTCTTTATGTGATATTGTTTCTATCAAAAGAGAACTTTTGGACTGTTCGTTGTTCTTATTGACAGTAAATATGAGCTATTATACTACATCACATCAATTTATATAGAATTAAAAGTTACTTGAAAGCTTCTAAATTACTTTAGATTATGTTAATGTTTTCTGCAAGCTAATTAATTTTGTCACCAAATGGTGATTTCCAGACTTTTCAAAGTAGAAGTTAAATGACATCTTGTACAGAAGTTGAGCAGTACTGCCATTGTCGGTTTGGCGCTCCACACCCTGCTTCTCCCTAACCACTTAACTACCTTGCCTCTTCCCTCCTTCATGCTACCTCCACTGTCTCTGCCTCTGCCCCACCTCCTCCCACCACCCTTCCCCATGTCCATACCTGCTACCTCTCTACACCCACATCACATCCCCCCAGGATGACCTCTGTAGACTCCATCCTTCTCAGTATATCAAACTTCTCTCTTGGGACCTATTTTCAAAGAATTGCACATGTCCTAGGATGATTTATGCCTGATAGCAACAAAGGTCCAAAAAATAACATCCCTATTCCTGAACAAATGCTTGCTTCTTTGAGTAAAAAGTACAGGGAGAGTTTGCAAACAAAATGTTCTTTATAAGAACTTTAATTAATTTCGAAATTCTTCACAATACCAAACTTTAGCCAATAGCCTCAGATTTCCAGCTATTAAAGTTGGAAATCCAAGCAGGAATCCTTTCCACAAGTGAGGTGAAGTTAATTGGCTGCCTGTAATGCTAGCTGAATTTTTAGCATAATGTTTGTTCAACCCCTGACTTAAAAGGCTCCTAATGCTGTTTTACTGAAGTATGCTACTCTGAGACAAACATGTATCCTTCGTTTGAACAAATATCTTAAGAGATAAAGATGAATCTGATCTATTAATGCTGTACTCATCTGAAAAATTTCACATTCTTTAGGTACAAATAGGGGTAAAAATGGCAGAATCTGTTAGAATTTTTTATGGAGGATCATAAGTGCAAGGCAAGCCTGGACAACTTAGCAAGACCCCTTCAAAAATAATAATAATTTATAATAATAATAATAGATGGGAGATTAGTAGAGTAAAGCAAGCAGGTGGAGGAGGAGGGGAGGAGGGAAAGGAAAGGTACTAGGAATGAGATTGATCAAATTTTGTCAGGTGCATATGACTATGGCATAATGAATCCCACTACTATGTACAATTATGATGCAACAATTAAAAAAGGGCTGGGAATGTTGCTTCGAAGCCGAGCAACCCAAGATTCAATCCCTAGTACCAAAAATTAAAATTAAATTGATGAATGTATTGAAGAGTTTTCTGAGCAAAAAAATGTTTTGTTATCTTTAAATACCCACCTGCCAGGGTAGCAGACGGTTAGCATCAGAGAGTTTGAAAACAGTTATTGAAATTCCTTGCATACATTGATTTTTTTTTTAAATAAGCTCTTTTCTGAATTGTGTCTTTGGGCTTTTTGAACTGTTCTCATAGGACAGTGGCTTTGGACAGAGTGACCTCTCACTCTTCTTCCCATGGCTTCTACACACTTTAATTCCTCTCTGCTCCGTAAGTTACTCCTTCACTCTCTCAAGCCAAGGCTGCATCTCTAAAACATGTTCAAATGTTCAAAGTCCATTTTATCTCAGAAGCATGTAAATCTTAATATGAACACTTGATCTACCCACCTCTCTCTGTTCCTCCTCCAGTTTTTAACATTGTAGTATTTTCTCAAGCAGAGATCTAGAGTCATTCTGACCTCTCTTTCTTTACTACTTACCCAAACCAATAGACCAATTGCAAATGCTGCCTTTCTACTCCAAAGCTTTTACCCCCACCACCAACTTCACAGCCCAAACCACAATCTGTCTTGCCTGTTGGCTGGTCTTCCGTCTTCCACTCTTACCCTACTTCTTTCTTAACAGAGTAATCTTTCCAAAGAGCCCTTCTGATCCTGTTTCTTAATACTTGTTTAAAGAGTCATGTCCAAACTCCCTAGCTAGTTGTATTGCTCCTTTATGATTTGACCAGTTAACCTCACAAACCCTATTCCTATGCCTCAGCCTACACTGGGAGTGTTCCAGATATGTGTTGGCCCATATTGCCTCTCTGAGTATCTTGCTAACCACGGACCATATAGCAGGCACCCTCTCCCCTTGCTATCTTCATCTGTCTAAAGCCTACTTATCCTTCAGAGTTTAACTCAGGCATCCCTTTTCAGTGAATCCCACCCATACATGGCTTAGGTGGTATATCAGAAATGCAGTCACTTCAGGCATGGTGGACTCCTGTGGTCCCAGCAACTCAGGATACTGAAGCAGAAGGATTTCAAGTTCAAGGTCTACCTGGGCAACCGGTGAGACCTTGTCTCAAAATAAAAAATAAAAGGGCTGGGGATTTAGCTCAGTGATAAGAGTAACCCTGGATTCATCTCCAGTACAAAAAAAAAAATTAGAAATGCAATCAACTCTAACACACTCTCCATTCTGGTTTATCTCCACATTGGTTTATTACCTCATGGTCACAGAGTGGAAGCTATAGGTTTGGACATTGTCCACCTTCAAGAAAAGAAGGAAAATTGGTGTAGATAGCCACTTTAATAGTAAAGCAAAATTTTTCCTTTTTCAATAGCCAAAAATAGATCTCATGGCTCTCCCTTAGATGAAAATGGAGCTAAGAAATCAGGGAACAGGACTGTAATGATTGACATAGCTTGTTTTGGTCCCAAACCAAGTCATGGTTCTATTATTGTGGAAGGAGTGGGGAATGGGTACGTGGAAGCAACCATCTGCTTGCCATCAGTATCCCTCTCTGTGCTATGCCCATAATAGTTGTATCATACTGCAGTATCTCTCATTAGATTATAAACTACATGTGGGCAGGGATTGTTACTTAGTCGTCTTTGTATTCCCAAAGCCTAACATGGTACCTGACACATAGTAGTTGCTCAATAATTATCAACTACACAAAATGACGAATGAATGTAAGTGTGCATTTAGAACATATATTTTTATTTAATTCTTTGAAGTCTGCAGTACAGCAGTTTGCAACCTTGATTAAATATCACCACTATTTAATGAAATGAGTGTATCATCTCAACAAAATTACTGAATTTGGGTCCAGTTGTCAGGACGGTAACTACTTAGTGATGGTGTCACTTCAGGGTTCAGCCTAGCCAAGCCCAGAACATAGACTTTCAAAGAACTCACCATGAGCCTTCCTGCTGGAGCTGCACATGAGAGGAGCCTAACCATGCTCCCCTAGATCAGTCCCTTCCATCCTGTCCAGTCCTCATTCTGCTTCACAAGGAGACTGAATGAGGAGGCTTGGGTTCTGCCCCATCAGAGTAGGTAATGTGGACACTGTGATCTCTCCGTGCCTCCCCTCTGGTGAAATAAAATTCCATGGTGAAACTTGTTTTTCACTTGACCTTATCATATCCCCCCAGACTTTATATTCCTCCTGTGAATAACATCTCTGTCTTTAGGCAGCCATCGAAAACAGAAACCTGGAAATCCCAGAGGTTGCCTTCCTCTCTACTCTTCTTGCCAGTTCATCTCTGAGTGGTTAGAATTGCTTACTCATCTCTGTAGGCCTTTCACTCCTCTCCCATGAATTGCCTAGTCCTTCTGAAGAGTTGCCCTGCTTCCAGTCTGCACTTTCTCACAAACCACCTTCCCATTTCTCTTGGAGAGATGGTTCTAAGGTGTGTGTTCAGCCCTGCCATTGCTCTTTGTGAAAGACCCAACCTGAGAGAGTACTTCAAAAAACAAATAGAAGAGCTTTACTCAACCTCCATGTACCACTTCAGTACCACTCTATAGAGTAAGGTTGGGCTCCTGCATAAAGTGGCCCATCTACCACTTCAGCTTCATCCCTCACTTTACCTATTTTATACAAGAACCCCCTTGGATTTCCCTTCTTATGCTCTACCATTTCTAATCGTCCCGCAACCCCCACCCCCCCTTTTTTCTTGAGCCTGCCTCTACCTATTATGCCCTTCTCTACCCACCTCTTCCCCTTTGCTGGTTGACTATTACTCATTTTTCTAATCCTCACTGAAATGGGAAGTCTTCCCTGATGCTCCTCCCTCTCCCCTACCACTTACTGAACTCTGAAGGTCCTTCATCCCATGCATACCATGCTAATAATTGCCCAGCATATCTCTGTCTGCTCTGCTGTACGCTAATGTGTGCTCCCTGTGGGTGGGTATGTTCATAATACCTCTTTGTATCCTCAGTACCTGGCACAGAGTAAGCAACCCATTCACTTCTGTTGACTGGCAAAATAAGAAGGAAGGGGGGAAATGGCTTTCAGATACATCAAATGGGCTGAAATTTTTTGACTGAGCATAGTGTTTATCAACACATCTGTCTGTTCCTATATACCTGTTTACTTTCACCATGTATGCTCTTAATGCTGTGTTTTGTTCCTGTTAAAGATGTATTCTGCATTTGATTTTTAGGTTAAAGCAATTTACATCCATTCTGACATGTTCTCAGTTCAAAATGGCTTGCTGACACCAACACTAAAGGCTAAGAGACCCGAGCTGAGAGAGTACTTCAAAAAACAAATAGAAGAGCTTTACTCAACCTCCATGTGAAGTTCAAGGAAAGTTCTTCTCAGTATAATGGACTGTGCAGCAATATTATAGTAATTCTTGAAAGTTAACAAGTAAAAATGACACAGCTGGGAAATGACACAGCTGGGAAAGAATAAGCACCTGATTTTATGACTGAGCCTTTTCCTGTCCCAAGAGGTCTTTAACAATATTTTCTCTATCATCACTGAGTACACTTTATTTTTATTAAAATTATATTGTAGCAAGCTGCTAAAAATATTGCAAATGGCAATGTAAAAATTGACATTTTCTCAAGAACTGTGTACCACTAAAAGTAATATATTCTCAATGTTCACAGAACTATTAAACATAAAGGAAAAGCATAACTGATATTGTACTTAATTATTTGTGGAATAATAACCAGATACAGCAAATATCTAGGCAATGTCTACCTCATTCAACAACTGATTATCAAAACTACAATCAAGTCAGACTTAAAAAATTAAAATGACGTGTATAGAATCACACTAAAACATGATAACTCATTATTCATGATTTCAGATTTGTTAAACATGACAATCCTTATTGAGGTGGAAGTTTTATCTCTGATTTTTACTTTTATTCATGAAAAATTCAAATTCAGATATTCTAGAATATGATAATCATAGAACAACTTACAAAGATCTTTCAATGTTTTCTAATTTATTAGTGTCATTAAGATATTTAAGAACTACCTATAAAAAATGTAATGTAAAACTAATCAAATATAGTTTGCACATATTTGTGGATTTCTTACTCTAATGAATTCTAAAATCTGTTGACTCTATGATGAACAGACCCTTGGGGAAGACTTAAAAAGAAACATGGAGTTTCTTCTTCAGAATGAGGAGCAGTAATATACCTAATACTGGGGCCTTTCCCTCTTCCATTTACCAGGCCTGGGAAACCAAACTATGGCTGCAATTCTGAACAGTTTCACTTTCTTTCAATAAGACTATCAAGGTATGATATGGGGAGAAGTGGATATTATTTCCAAAGAAAATAATTTCTTAATAACAATTTTGAAGAACCTCTTTAAAAATGCCCTTAGAATACCTTAGGTCCATCATAATTGCCACTGCTAGTGGCACGATTCCATTCCCCGAATCTTTGAATGCTCCTTAGTTTAACCATAAAACTTGTTTTCTTGAATTATGTATTTGGATACACCCTGTACCTAGGTGCCAAGAATCCATATGACAAAAACCCTGATTTCCTGGGTAGCACATCAGTTCCAAACTATGGAGTGTGCATCTGAAAAAAGGCACTGTTCCTAGGAAAGTGTTTTTCTTCAGTAGGGATAGTACTCTGAAAAATGTACAAACAATTCATATGCAATTTTTGTGTGTTAATTCAAAATATGTGCTCAGTGTTTCAGGGCAGAAACTCCTTCCCCTGGAGGAAGTCCAAACTCTGAATGAATGCTGTCAGTTAAAAACTGCATAATCACATGGGTCTACTGGATGAATCCACATCAGTGCTTGTACACTTACATTTAAGTCTTGTCAAAAGTAGACAACAGCATCATTTGATGTATTTATTCAGTTTTTTTACATATTCCTTGGGCATAGTCTCTCTGAAGACATGCAAATTTGGCATTTAATAAATGAGTTAGTTCTGTGCACATTGTTATTGTTTTTTTTTTTCTTTTCTTGTTACTGGGGATTGAACCCAGGGGCCCTTTACCTCTTTATTTTTTATTTTTGAAACAGGGTCTCACTAAGATGCTTAGGCCTTGCTCACTTGCTAAACTGGCCTCAAACTTGTGATCCTCCTGCCTCAGCCTCCCAAGTGATTGGGATTGCAGGCATGCACCACTGTACCCAGTCTTGCTAAGTTGCTGGGGCTGGCTTCAAACTTGCAGTTCTCCTGCCTCAGCCTACTGAGTCACTGGGAATACAGGTGTGTGCCACCATGCCTAGTCTTCATAATTAATATTAATTTTCAAAGGCATTTCTAACTGAACAAATACTTAAGATGTCCAAAACCATATCTGTACAGCACTGGCTTTTAAAAATATTTAATATATATCTTACCAATTAAAGGTGAAAATCATTACCTAAATTGGAAATTCATACTATTTTAAGGGCAAGTAATGTAATTTAAGCATTTGAAACTTATTTTGATTCTATTTACACCTTAAAGCAGTTGATATGGACAGCTTAAGATTTCTTTTTTCTTTTTTTTTTTTTTTTTTTTGGTTACTCAAAAGATCCTGTATTCTAAAAGACTTCCTGATCTCTAGTTAATTATCATAGTTGGGCCCATTGGTTAGGGTTAGTGCAGATGTACTGAGAAAAGTAAACACTGGGCCTTAAATACATTGCATGTACTCATCTATTCTTATAATTCCACTTAAGTTTGTAATAAATGACAAATGAAACAATATGTACTAATGAAAAAAATATTTCTTGCTTCAGATTTTTCAACCTTATTTTGTAGAGAAAAAGTTTGTGTTTTTCTTTAACCAATATAGAAAAAAAACCAAAACTATGTACTTAAGAGTCATGCTCACTTTGGCCATTGGATCCTGTTTAAGACTAGAGGTGTAACAGAGAATCAGTTGCTTAAGCATAAATATGTTCCTAAATGTTTGGCCTTTTGGACCTGTTTCTCATTTTACAAACCAATCCTGTTGTATATATTATAACATGAAATATGCACCATTTTTTTCCTGTTGCCATAAAAATGTCCTTATATAGTATTGAGGCTTCCCCTCCAGGTGGGAGAGGAGGCTCTGGCCAGGTATAGTACCTAGGCCTAGCTCCATGTATTAGTAACTCAGAAGTTCAAGGATTACACAAGTCTCTCTTACATTCTAAATTTAGGTAAAATTAGCAGCATGAGAAAAACAATTTCCATTGGAATTTTTGTAATCAGGTAATGTTTTAGCAACCTGAAGTTAGCACTTAATTTGATTATGTCACCCGTCAAAAAATTGATTATCTTTTATTTTTCTGCTCTAAAAAAATGTGAATTATCTTTTCTGCTCCAAATGTACAAAGCACAAATGTTATGTAGTTTAAAATACAAGATACTATAAAAATGAGTGTGAAGAATGGGAAAATGTATTTTTGCATGAAAACCAACTACTTAGAAACTTGTTTAATATCTCAGGAAAAAAAAGAATGACTAATCATGTATGAAATTGGTGAACTATAAGTTGGCTGTGTTTTCTTGCCAGTTTTTTATTTTAAGGACATTTAAATGAAAAGAAAAAAGGATCCTAGTAACCTAAATTTGCTCTCAAATATGTTATATAATCCTGTGAATCTATAATTAACTACAATCAGGATGGGATTAGCATCCAAATGAGGATGAGGACCAAACTCCAAATGGGAAACTCTTCAGTGAGATCACTTTAATGGTTGTAACACAGAGGCAATAGGTAAATACTTGAAATACAAGCACTTCTAAACTTGGTCCCAAGAAAGTGTTTTCACAAAGAGACAATGGCTTTTAAACATTCATTGAACTGATTATTTTAATTTTCCTTGTTAAATCATTGCAGTAACTGCATGGGGGGTGGAAATGGATATTTTTTGAAGACTTGCTTATTCTACTTTCAATTTTTGAAAACTGAGGGGATTAAAATTACTTTTTAAATATGCATAAAAGTATCTTAACCAATTATATTTTCATTTGCTTTGTTATAGCATGCATACCAACTATAAAATCCATTTATGAAAACTTTTGTAAAAAAATAAAGACTTCATTTCTCAAAGTTGCTTACAATTACTATTTTATATATTTATATAACAGATTCCGTGATGAAAATGTATTTGGTAATCTTCAATCATGGTGCTTATGGCATCAGAGGATCAAGCTCCATTGCCAACCAGAATATTCTACATCTGCATCCTCTATAAGGTTCCCCAAACTCCAGAATCTTATGGTGCACCCAGGGACACTCTCTTTTGCCTTTGCTGGAACTCCTACTATCATCGATTGTGTCCTGGTTTTAAGTGTTTTTTTTTTTTTTTTGTACCAGGGATTGAACCCAGAGGTGCTTTAACCATTGACCCACATCCCCAAACTTAGAGACAGAGTCTTGCCAAGTTGTTTAGGGCCTCATTAAGTTGCTGAGGCTAGCCTCAAACTTGCAATCCTCTTGCATCAGCCTTTGGGTACATGCTGAGATTACAGGCATGTGCCACTACACCACCTGGATTTAAATCATTTTTATACTAAAAGAACAAAAAAAAAAAACATTGAAATTTTCAAAAATACTGTTTTTCCAAACAATATTTCCATAATGCCCTTTAATCATAAGTTCTTAAGATGGCACATTCTGTCATATCTAAATTATGCAGATGTCTTCTCCATCTATATGATATCAACCACTTCTCTCTATTCTCACAATTATTTGTGAAGTTTGGGTCACCCTCATCTCTCATCTGGATGGTACAGTTGTTTCCTTAAGTAGTCCTCATATTCCCAGCTCTGCTTCCTCAAATTTTACCATCCACATTTCAGCCATGGCCATCTGGTCATGCCACTTTCCTGCCTAATGCTCCTTTGATGACCTTCCATAGTTTTCAGGATCACGTTCACACTCCCTGGTTCAGCATACAAGGTCTAGCATCTCTTATCCTGACCCTTCCCCATGGAGGCTCAGCTCTAATCACCAGTTACTTTTGGTAGTGCCCTTAAAGCATTAAGCTATCCTGTGCTTCTGTGCCTTTGCACATACGTCCCCTTTCCCTAGAATCTCTTTCCTTTAATCCCTCAACTCCTACCATTCGTCTCTTAAAACTCAGCTTCAACTTAGAAGCTTCCCACATGGTTGATTGATTGATGTTCTCTCTGTCTCTACTCCCAGACTGAGTTGCTTCAAGTTTTAGCCCCAGTGCAGAAGATCTGGCCCATAGTGGATATTCAAGAAATACCTACTGAAGGAAAATCTTCTTGGTCCCCTTTTATATGTTGCAGAGTGTTAACACTGCAATACCTGAAAGTACATTTGATCCATTGCTATGATTTATTTCATTCTGGTTTTCAGATGGACCCCTAAAAACCCACAAGGCTCTTCTGTGGATTACTCCACAATAAACCATTAGGCAGAAAGACCTCCTTTGGGCTTTAAGCAATCTCAAACCCAGGGGCTGTTTTTCAGAATGCTTTCTTCAGAAATCTCATCAAAAATTGGAATTTGTTTGCCCATAGAAGTTAGTCTATCCATGACTGTTTCCAGTCTAGTCAAACCCATCATTTGATGAACTAAACACCATCAGTATAGACATAGGTATATGTCTGGGAGCACTACAATAGGGATATGGAAGTTCAACTTAATACTCATGACTGAACACGTGTACCGGTATCTATGTATTTGGGGTTGGAATCAGGGGAGACAGATGACTGAATTGAGATGCCTCTGCCCTACCTCACCCTCTTATAGTTAAGTCACTAGGAAGAGATAAGGCTGGGCAGATAGGGAGATGGGCCCATGAGTAACTTTCTGAGCAGTAGAGCACAAACAGCACCTATAGGTATTTGCTAAGAAATTTATAAAAAGGCTATTTTTAAATCAGGACCTGTGTCACTGGGGTTTATGCCTTTCCAAAAAAGGAAACACCTAATAGATATTTTGATTGGAATAAAGGGTGCATGGATATCTTGTGGACATTGAGTGTCTTACTCAGGATTGAGCAGAAGGTGACTTCTTTAAACCTATAGATCTATATAAAGCCCCAGACAATAGTCACTCTTCAGTATCTCTTGGGACTCCTCCTCCTTCAGGAACTCTGATTTCTATTACTCTAATAATCCTGTTACTTTGCTCTCACCCTTGTGCCATGGATTTTATTCTTCAAATTTATGAGACAAGAACCCAACCTTGGTTCCGTGCTATAATGACATAGGTTTCTTTTTTTCCATTTTTTAGGCTGGCTTTAGGCGAAGTTGTAAACAGATTACTTCTCTCTCTAGTCCCTCCCCTCCCTGGCTTCTGAGAGCTTCAAACGCCTGGCCTTGCTCGCCTACCTCTTTCCCAACACGTTAGAAGGAATGGGAACAGGTTGAGAATACTAGTCAAATACCAGGACAGTCATGGCCCCAATGTTAACCATCCCTTGTAAGGAACTTCCCTAGGCTGTGGTTTCCTCAGCTGCAAAACGAGGAACAGCTAGATCATTTCTAAGTGAAGGAGTGCTCAGTCACCTTCTTAACGAACTCCATTTTGTCCCTTTTTGACTCTGTCTTTTTAACTTTTTTCCCTCGGAGTCATTTTCTTCTGCAGTTTTCTTGGATCCCAGGACAATCATCTTTATGACAAAGGACTGACACTACCTCCAAGCAACTTCCAAACCTCATAATGAGATTGCCCCTACTAAGTGGGATTATTTACCCCATGATGAAACCAAAGCATCTCCCTACACGATCTTCTCATGTTGGGAACCAAATTGCCCCCTCAAGTGACGATGAGTGTCCCAGAGCTTCACAAAAACCAGTCCTGAGATAATGTTATCAATCAGACTACCTGACCAGGATAATTTATTCTGCTAGCTATGTAAATCTCCCAGCTATGCAAACACCCAATCCTTGCCTTTGTTCCCTTTTTCTATAAAATCTCAGTTGCTTTCATTCCTTTGAAGGCAGATCTCTGGTCACTGTTCGCCTACATGTGTTGTTCCCTGTGTGGCCACTTTGATTAAAAGCTCCTTTCTTGCCCTTTACCATTGCTGGTGTCTTTGATTGGCATCTTGGAACAGTGATAGAGCCTGGTCTGTTGGAACAACCAGAGCTGGGGCCTTTGACTAATGACTTAGGTAACATAAGGATTCTTTTGGCTAAAGAAACCATGCTAGAATTTATTTCAACTTTAAAATTACGCATTAATCCCCATAAATCTTTACTTGATGACACTTTAGTGACTGTGATTCAATGTAGTAAGGCAGAGTTCTAGGGATGAGCACCAGAGTTCTTGGGATGATCAACTTTTGATTTAAATTGTTTTCCATTTTTCAGTGTTTCTTCCATTTCTGGACCTAGTCCCTCTCAGGGTCCAGACCTCCCAAAGGTCATTTAAGAACTTTAAAGTTTTTTCACAAGAGCCCCTAAAGGAGAAAGGGGAGCTACAAAACTTGGCTTGTAGACTAGAGGCTATTAGCATATTATGAATGTGACTAAAGAAAGGATATTGGAATAAGATAATCACTTTATACTGTAGTACAACTGTGATGTTTTGCCTGAATGACTATTTCTGATGTACCTTTGTATCCCATCTACTACAATACCCAACACTGACAATACCTAACACTGAGTACGGTGCTCAGTAAACACTGATTCAGTGTCACAAAGCACTAGTATGTCTAACCAGGAAACAATGCCTACCCTCTGTTCTTTCTTCTTTTGTTATTGTATTTTGATGATTAATTATATATTAAATCAACTGTCATCAATGTTTCTATGAGAAAATTTTAAATACAAAACTTCAGAGTAACTTTATTACGAATACACCAGGTATATATGTGCTTATAGTCCCAGAAAAAAATCTCTGAGCTTTTCCTAATTTTATCTCTGCAGACTGCATTTTCCAACGCTGTGAAAAAAAAAATTAAGAAAAAAGGAGACTTGTTATAGTCGTGTGTGCAATATGCTTATTGGATGCAGCCAGATGGTTCAACCTGGGTTTATGGAGACAAGGGAAGCTCATTGAGTTGAGCCCCAAGGGTCGGGGAGCCCCTGAGGAGTCTTCTGCCTTGATCACAAGATGCCCAGATATCCACGAGGTAGCTTCTGGGCACAGACTAAGGGTCTCTGCCCTTGAGAATCCAGTATGCTGGAAGGCTTGGTTAGACTCTCAAGTGTCAAATAGATGCTCCTTATCGCCTTATTGTGCACTCATTCCTCTCTGAAGTTCCTGCACTGAGATGGGGCAGATCCCTAGCTGGACTTCCTGTGCCCAGAGACCTAAAACCCCATTACTAAGGCCTTATGCAATGCTAAAGGGAGTGGCGGAAGCATGGGTAGCCGGTGTTGGGCCTAACTGACTAACGAGTAAATGAAAAGTAAAAGAGTGACCTCCTTTCCCAAAAAACTTGGGTTCCGCTGGCAGTGAGACCCGCTGAGACCCAGCGCTTGCTTCCGGGGGCGGGGCCTCTGAATCCTCCGTCTTCCCAGAAGCCCTTGCCAGGCCTCAACGAGATTAAAAAGGCGGGAGGAGACTCCTTGGCTTTGGCTTTGGGGTGTTGGTTTGCAGGCCTGCTCTGTGCTTCTGACTGTAACTCGATTCCTCAGGAAAGGACGAGGCAGGACAGGATGTCGAGGGCCCCAGGGCTCCCAAGGCCTAGGAGTGGGATGGCCTTGTGGTCTTTACGGGTCTACACCTACAAGAAGCGGGCAGGCCAGAGGCTCAATGTAACTCCGACTCCTGACCAAGACCTGCCCCTGAGGACACAGGCCCGGCCAGGTTTGGGCTCAAGGCTTGTCCTTTCCATGGAACCCGGGAGGAGCTGCGAGGCTTCCCCGGGAGGTGGGGGGCAGGGCGGCAGGCCTGGGCCCCCGGCCCAGGGTTCCCCCAGGCCGTTGAGTGGGCTGCCAAGGTCTTTCCCTGAAATGTGCTGCCCTCTTGCAGGCCTGAAGGGGAAAGGCAAACAGCCGGGTTTGCCGAAGATAGCAGAGACTGAGCAGAGCAGGCAGGGAGCTAGCAGCTCTGCATTGCCAAGGTGGGTAGTCTGGGTGCAGTCCAGGCCGCCTGGCTTCTTAGAAAACCTCAGTTCTTTTTTTTTTTTTTTTTTTTGGCAAAGTAGCCTGCCATTCTAAGACTCAACAAAGAGAATAAATGGAATACTCTAATATTGTTTTACTTAGATGGAGAAATTTGACTTCACAAAGAATTTTGTTTAAAAAAAAAAGAAAGCTGAAATCTTGCCAAGTTATCTAAAGCAAGTGAAATGTGAAACCTCTAGGAAAGTATTTGTGGCGCCATTTGGGTATTGGTGCAAATCTCCTGGTCCTTACTTCTTCCTGAAGATGCTTCTAAAGAGCCTTTCAGGTTCAGAACAATATGAAGAGAGAGACAGAGTCAAATCCACATGGTGCAAACTAATTGTGTTGTTTATTTGTTAGCACTCAGTTAAGAATTACAGGAGAGACAAGCCTGAAAGAAAATAGCACTCGAGACGAGACCCAGGATGAGAAGATGGCTCCATTGAGTGTATGTATGTTTCTCCTGTGGTGGGAGGGTACACTTAGTGTACACACATGTAGTAGTTAATGCCCTTCCGAATGAAAGAATAAAATGGTCTTTGTTCAGTAGAAACTGCATAGCTTTCTAGTATTTTTATCAAGAGTGTTGTGATTTTTAGATAAGAAGACCTTAAATCAATATGATGTGAAGATATTGAGTCACATAATTAATGCTCTTTTATTCTTATTCCACATAGGACTCAGTGACTGAGGACCTCCAGGTTGATAGTAGTTCATCTAATAGTGAACTAATATCAGGTAAGATTATTAGATATGAACACCTTTTGCTTTCTGTCTTTCCTCCTAATCAGCATTCATTTGTATCTCTCTTCAGCTTTCTATTTCAGGGGAACATATCTTTCCTCTTGCCCAGTGTAAATCCTTCTGATTGTACTCTAGACCTCATCCCCAAAGCCTACAAGCACATACCAGTGAATATGAAATTGTTATTGTGATTAGTGTTACAAAAGGGAGATTGACTTGAGTGTAATTAATTGAATTTAATTAAATTAGGGAATGTTTCCTTGAGGGAATGGCAATTGAATTGAGATCTAAAGGAAGGAGGGTAGAAATTTACTATGCAAAGTGATGAGTAAAGAGAAATCAAGGCAAAGGGAACAGCATTTGCAAAGACCTTACCATGGGACTGACCATTATGTGTTCAGTGAACTGAAAGACGGTCAGTAGATGGAAATGTGATTACAAGACTATAGGACAACTATAGACTTTGTATAGCTTTGTATTCCATGTCAAAGATATTGATGTTTATCTTTGCAGCAGCAGGAAGCCATTAAAGTCTTTAAAATAAGAATGATATGATCACTTTAACTGTAAGTTATGAATGCCTTTAGGATGACTAGCAATGTCAAACGGGCAGATGGACATGCAGGGCTGGTGGTAGAAATCTGATTCATCTACATACTGATATAATTCAAGTTATTTTTGAAAAGAAAAAAAGGGTGTTTTTGGCACACCAGAAATACAGAGGAATTCTTAAAAGCAAATGAGATCAAATTGGTGAATATATCAAAAGTGGAAACAAACCACTGCAGAGGTAAAAATAGCTCTAGAGATATTCCAGCTTGACCAATAAATGCAAAAAAATAAAATAAAATCCTCCAAAACTATAATGAAGGGATCCTGAAGGAATTGTCAAGGTGATAGATTAAGAATTAATGACCTAAAACAAAAGGCTTAATGCTTAGTTCCTAGAGTAAGTATAAACCAAGAAGCAAACTGACTCAGGCTGTAGTTTCAGGAATTGGAGGCATCACATATTCCTGAATGAATGGGTATAGTTAGTGTTGGGACATATGGAAAACTTTTAAGGTAGCAGATTCTTTGATCCATGCTTGTGAAGGTAACTATCCTTCTGCCCACCCTGGCAGTTCATATAGATTGAAGCAGAGAGACTTGGCTAAGAGATATTAGGTGCTGCTCAAGGGAAAGATGCTATACTCAAAATTAGGGAAGGGAGTTAAGTGAAAGTCTCTATACTCAGTGGTAAAACCCTTGAACTCCTTATCCTACTCAGGCAAATACACCCCAAGGAGGAGATTAGAGGGTTCCTCCTTCTCTGCAGAGGAGATGACCTATATTCTGGCAGTAATAGCCTGGTCCATGTCTAAATACCTTTCAGTAAAACCTACCTCTTCTTAAGCCCTATTTATAATGCTTTTTTAATGCTTCATCCTTGATCATTGAAGAATTATCAGGCATTTGAAGAAAATCTTTAAAAGATACAAATAAAAAGAAATTTGAATGACACAGATAATGAAAAGGAAAGAGACCATTTAAAAAAAAAAGTTTCATTAATATACTTAGGGTCATGAAAAATATTTCCAAAAAACAAGTGTAGGAAACCATAAAAAAGGAGAATTCATAGAACAAAAATAATTTTAAAAATATAAAATCAGAAATAAAACATCCTATAGAAATAGAAAATAAATGTAAGGACACATTTGGGAGAATAGAAGAAATATCAAAAAGATGATTAAAAAATAGTGATAATGATGGCATAATTCTGTGAGGAGAGCAAAACCACTGAATAATACCCTTGAAAACAGTAAACCTTATGGTATCTGAATGAGCACTGTAATTAAAAATAATTAGAGGGTGAGACCAAGAATTATAATATCTGAAAAATCATGATTCCTAATATTATAGAGTAAACTCAAAAGAAATTTTTAAACACATAAGATTAGAAATATTTTGAGAATTAAAAATGGTCATAAGGACACATGTTGAAAGCACCTTTCAGATTCTAAAAAGTATGAACAGAGATGTCAAGAACAAATTTCAGATAGTATAAAGTATGCCATCACAATAAATGAAATAAAGACCCACACCAAGATACAACATTAAATAGTTTTATAACCCTGAGAATAAAGAAAAAAAAGTGTTTTAGTCATCCAGAGGAAAAATAAAAGCAGTTGGAAGTAAGTGATCAATAGTTTGATGACATTGGACTTCTGAAGAGCAACTCCAAAAAGAAACTAGAACATGGTGGGGAAAGTGCATTTACAATTCTGAAGAGAACTGATTTTGCAAGGGTAGAATGAAGACTCACCCAAAATTTTATTTGGATTTCAAGACCTATGATGCCATCTACACAAGACAGTTGGTTTTTATTCATATAATGAGTCTTTCTGGAGAGAAATGTGGCTCCCAAACAAGACTGAAAATGGGTTGAGTTAGGCAGGGAAAGGAGACTGGTCTGGGATTTTTATAGTGGTAAAAGTGACCAGAATGAGATTTCCCATGTGTAGTTTGAACTTTTTCAAATGATGAACACCAGACTTTCTTGTCACCTTGTCCAGATGTGAGGCAGAAGGGGAAGAGGGAACGATATGATTTAAAAGTTGTCATATATCAAAAATGTACTAATTGAATGTACTAATCTTGTATATTCAAATGTACTCTTGAATATACTATTCTCGATTTCTGTACCCAGCCACACTGTCGCTCAAATATGAAGATAGCTTGAAGAAAATTTTAGATGGGTCTTCTAGGCACCTCTTCTCAGGAAATGAAGGAAATGTTCTAATAAAATCAGTAAATCAATACAGAAATCACAGGATCCAGAAATTAAAGCCTTTAATACAGGAAACATGTAAATGAGTTTCTTAGGATAACAATAAAGGAAAATCTGAAGTAGATACCTGTCTAGAGGAAAACCAGTACAAATTTCAGCTAGCTTTTTCTCAGAAAAAGAAGCAATCAGTGAGGTGAATAGAGAGCTTATTAATTGGGAACAAATTTTTGCCACCTGCACATCAGATACAGCACTAATCTCCAGTATATATAAAGAACTCAAAAATCTTAACACCAAACAAACAAACAAACCTAATCAATAAATGGGCTAAGGAGCTGAACAGACATTTCTCAGAAGAAGATATGCAATTGATCAATAAATATATGAAAAAATGTTCAACATCTCTAGCAATTAAAGAAATGCAAATCAAAACTACTTTCAGATTTCATCTCACGCCAGTCAGAACGGCAGTTACCAAGAATACAAACAATAACTGTTGGTGAGGATATAGGGGAAAAGGCACACTCATACATTGTCGGTGGGACTACAAATTGGTGCAACCAATCTGAAAGCAGTATGGACATTCCTTAGAAAACTTGGAATGGAACCACTATTTGACCCACTCCTAGGTCTATACCCAAAGGACTTAAAATCAGCATACTATAGTAACGCAGCCACATCAATGTTGATAGCAGCTCAATTCACAATAGCTAAATTGTGGAACCAACCCAGAGGCCCTTCAATAGATAAATGGATAAAGAAACTGGTATATATACACAATGGATTATTATTCAGCATTAAAAGAGAATAAAATTATGGCATTTGCAGGTAAATGGATGGAGTTGGAGAATATAATTCTAAGCAAAGTAAGCCAATCCCAAAAAACCAAAGTTTGAATATTCTCTCTGATATGTGGATGCTGATCCATAATGGGGCCATGGGAAAAATGGAGGAACTTTGATTGGGCAAAGGGGAGGGTGGGGAGAGGTCGGGGTCTGGGGGCAGGAAAGACAGTGGAATGAAATGGACATCATTACCCTAGGTTCATGTATGATGCCCATATGGTGTGATGCTACATCGTGTACAACAAGAGAAATCAAAAGTTGTGCTACAATTGTGTAGAATGAATCAAAATGCATTTTGCTGTCATATATACCTAATTAAAATTAATTAATTAATTTTAAAAAGTAGAAGGAAGGAGAGAGAAATAAGAGTAAGGGAAAAAATAACAACCTGGTGTTTTTAAAAATATTGGAAGGAAATTTATGCTTTTGAAGAAAGTTGAGATGAAATAGTGGTAAGTACTTAGAAAATGAATTTTTAAATTAGGTAAGATTACTCAAAGGACAAAACTTGTGGCAATAGGTTGTGAATATAGTTCATAGATGGCTCCACTGTGAATATATTTTGACATTCAATAATAGAAACATTAAATGCATTTAATTTAGAAATATAAAGAATGTGACTATCAAAGAAACAAGAATAGATAGTAGAGGTTACTAGAAAGTAGGGGATTATGGTTGAGAGCTGAGATAAGAGATTGCAGCTTTTTTTTAATAAGCTTTTTAGAATTACTTGGCTTTTTAAAAATGTAGTATAATTTGATAAACCTGTAATTTTAAATGCATTTAAATATCTAACTTGTTCAACTCAAAGTGGATTAAGCACCTAGGAATTAAACCAGAGACACTGCGTCTATTAGAAGAAAAAGTCAGCCCAAATCTCCATCATGTGGGATTAGGCCCCAACTTCCTCAAATAAGACTTCTATAGGACAAGAATTTATATCAAGAATTAATAAATGGGATGGATTCAAACTAAAAAGCTTCTTTTCAGCAAAAGAAACAATCAGTGAGGTGAATAGAAAGCCTATTAATTGGAAACAAATTCATACCACACGCATGTCGGAGCACTAATCTCTAGAATATAAAAATCTTAACACCAGAAAAACAAATAACCCAATCAATAAATGTGCCAAGGAACTGAACAGACTTTTCTCAGAAGATGATATATAATCAATCAAATATATGAAAAAATGTTCAACATGTATAGCAATTAGAGAAATGCAAATCAAAACTAAGATTTCATCTCACTCCTGTCAGAATGGCAGTTATTATGCAAACAAACAACAATAAGTGTTGGTGAGGATGTGGGGAAAAAGGTACACTCATACATTGCTGTGGGGCTGCAAATTGGTGCAGCCAATATGGGAAGCAGTATGGAGATTTCTTCGAAAATTGGGAATGAGACCACCATTTGACCTACCTATCCCTCTCCTCAGTCTATACCCAAAGAACTTAAAAACAGTGTACTACAGGGACACAGCCACATCAATGTTTATAGCAGCACAATTCACAATAGCTAAACTGTGGAACCAACCTAGATGCCCTTCAATAGATGAATGGATAAAAAAAAATGTGATATATATACACAATGGAATATTACTCCACAATAAAAGAGAATAAAATCATGGCATTTGCAGGTAAATAGATAGAGTTGAAGAAGATAATGCTGAATGAAGTTAACCAATCCCAAAAAACCAAATGCCAAATGTTTTCTTTGATATAAGGAGGCTGATTCACAGTGGGATAGAGAGAGGGAGCATGGGAGGAATAGATGAGCTCTAGGTAAGGCAGAGAGGTGGGAGGGGAAGGGAGGGGGCAGGGGGTAATTAATGATGGTTGAATGTGATGATCATTATCCAAAGTACATGTATGAAAACATGAATTGGTGTGAATATACTATGTATACAACCAGAGATATGAAAAATTGTTCTCTACATATGTAATAAGAATTATAATGCATTCCACTGTTATATATAAATAAAAAAAGAATACAAACAACAGGCGTGCGGTTGTGGCTCAGTGGTAGGGAGCTCACCTAAGACATGCAAGGCCCTGGGTTCGATCTTCAGTACCACATGAACATAAATAAATAAAGTAAAGGTATTAAAAAAAAGGATACAACAACAATAAGTGTTGGTGAGGATGTGGGAATAAAGGCACACTCATACATTGCTGGTGGGACTGCAAATTGGTGCAGCCAAAACGGAAAGCAGTATGGAGAATCCTTGGAAAACTGGGAATGGAACCACTATTTGACCCAACTATGCACTCCTTTGTCTATAGCCAAAGGACTTAAAAACAGCATACTACAGGGACACAGCCACACCAATGTTTAGAGCAGCACAATTCACAATAGCTAAACTGTGGAACCAACCTAGATGCCCTTCAGTAGATGAATGGATAAAGAAAATGTGGTATATACACAATGGAATATTACTCAGCAATAAAAGAGAATAAAATCATGGCATTTGCAGGTAAGTGGATGGAATTGGGAATATAATGCTAAGTGAAGTAAGCCAATTCCCCCCAAAACCAAAGGCTGCATATTTTCTTTGATATGAGGATGCTGACTCATAAAGGCAGTGGTGAGGGAGCACGGGAGGAATGGAGGAACTTTAGATAGGGCAAAGGGCGTCAGAATGATGGTGGAATGAGTTAGATGTCATTACCCAAAGTACATGTATGAAGACACGAATGGTGTGAAAATACTTTGTGTACAATCTGTGACTTGAAAAATTGTGTTCTATATGTGTCTATATGAATTGCATTCTGCCATCATGTATAACAAATTAGAATAAATAAGTAATTTAATAAAAAAAATTTCTAACTTGTGACACAAGGAACAACCTCCCACTGATACAGCATGAACATTTATTTATTCTTTTCTTTACCCAACTACCCAGATGGTGAGTACAGGGCTTTTCTTATATCTGAACCTCACTTGAGTTTTAGGGTTTGGTGGAAGGAATAGCTCTGCTGAGAAGTATTCATGAAATTTTGAGCAGTAGAAGGCAAGACAGATATAACATATGAGTGGATGAAGACACAGAAAGAAGAGTGTGAAAGGTAGCAAGGACGGGCAGGTCACTCTAGGACATTTGGAGTAGGGAGGGATAACCTACCTGCAACAGTTGAAGCTATAAAGAAGGATGGTAGATTGGGTCAATCAATTTAAGTGTTGCAGTGGGTGTGGTTGGAAAAGATAAAAAACATTTTCCATCTTGAACAAAAAGGTTGGAATAGGAGAAAAAAGTGAGGGATAAAGGGCAAAGAGTTAGTTGTCTCAGAAAGGTAATAGAAAGACATAAGACATGTGATAGACGTAAGTGAGTTCTATGAAGGAAACAACAGGTATTCAGAGCAGTGTTCCCTTTTGATCCTTAACCTCTTCACCTCACCAGTTTCTATCAGTGTTGACATCTGTCTTGTCATGTTGGAAGTGTTTAATGAATGCTGACTAAATTTAACAGTATATTTTCCCTATTCCTATTAAACCCTCTGGTTTTCCTAAGCTCTGCATATTGTTTTCTATCTTCATTGGAAAGTTCTTCAGTCTAGTTCACTATCATAGAATTTATTTGAGGCCTCTTGGTCTGGGAGAGTCTTTGTTCAGATACTTCACCCATTTTTTATTGGGATGTTTGTTTCTGATTTTTGAGTTTTGAAAGTTCTGTATATGCTGAGATTTCATTTTATTTGCAAATGTCTCCCTATCTATAGCTTTTCCTTTCTTTTTAAGTTTCCTTTGAAGAGAAGTTTTTAAATTTGATTAAGTCCAATTTATCCTTGCTGTTGTCTTATGAATCATCCATCCTCTAGTGATTTATCAAAGAAATCTTTATGTAATCCAGTCTCACAATTTTTTTCCATATTTTTCTAGATATTTTATAGTTTTAGGATTTACTTTTAGGTCTGAGATCCATTTAGAGTTAATTTTTATATGATGATGGATACTGTGAATGTGAAGTTTTTTGTTTTATTTTATTTAAGCATATAGATATCCAGTTGTTCTGGTGCAATTTGTTTAAAAGAGTAACATTTGGCCACTAAATTCCTTTTAAAAATTGATTAAAAATAAGTTTCCAAAATGAATTTTTACTAATAGTTGGGATTTTACTGCTGTCCTCATGTAGCAGGTTCTTACTTTTTTTAATGTGTACTTCATTTTGTATGGAATAAATGGTATTTTCTATAAATGAAAAATAACCAGTTGCTTATATATATATGTGAGTCTATTCCTAGACTATCTATTCAGTTTCTTTGATCTGTTTGTCTATATGTAGACTCACTGTTTTTTAGATGAAATAACTAGATTTACCCTTTTCCCTCCTTAGCTAGTTAGCTTACAATTGATAAATTACTTGTATGTAGAACTTGAATTTTTAATCAAGAATCAAAATTGGAAAAGGAGTAAGTCATCAAACTAAAATTTGAAAAACAACAGATTATAATGATTTTGTTAATATCAAAAATAATTATTTCACCAGGTGCAGTGGCACACACCTATATTCCCAGCAGCTCAGTCGGCTAAAACAGGAGGATTGCAAGTTGAAAGCTAGTCAGGAATTTAGCAAGGATCTGTCTCAAAATAAAAATAAAAAGGACTGGGCTGGAGCTGTGGCTCAGAGGTAGAGCAGTTGCCTCGCATGTGTGAGGCACTGGGTTCTATTCTCAGCACCATATACAAATGAATGAATAAAATAAAGCTCTGTCAACAATTTAAAAAAATTAAAAAATAAAAATTAAAAATAAAAAAACAAAAATGGCTGGGAATGTTGCTCAGTGGTTAAGTGCCTCTGAATTCAATTATATATATAATCAAATTAAAGTGGATTTTAATATTTGGCTTTTAATTTGTTTGTGGAAGCAGTCTTATATTCATAGTGTACACTGCATGTACTTTTTATGAATTTGAATTCTTAGGATTTCAAGTCTGTTTTCTATTAAAACAGTTTACCCTTTTGTTTGTATTTGATTCTGTAGGACTAAGTTTGCCATGTGATGTTTCCAGTTCTCTCCTGAGCTGTTCAACCACAGAGTCTTACACAGAACACAAGAGTATTGAAGAGGAATTAGATAGTTTCTCATCACCTGAACTGTTCAGAGGATCAGATTATTTTGGTGAGAATATAATTTCAACCTTAATTTGCTGCACTGTAGAAATTATTCCTTTATCTACAAATCTTCCAGTGAATGAATGTTCCTTTTGAGAAGGCATACTTCTCTTCGATACCAACTCATCTATACCCTGACTACTACCATTGTGTTTCATGCTTAGTCACATAGGAATATACAGCAAGAGCCCTCAGGTCAGGGAAGAATGGAGAAATGTCATTTAGCACTTACATACACATTTTATTATTAATCAATTTTGTATGTAATGAATATATACTTGTTCTCCTGAACTTTATAGATTATCTATTATCTCATGTACTTCCTTACTTTTCAACAACATGGATTAACTGAGTGGTAACTGTAGATAGGTACAGGTGGGACTGGAAACAGTAAGTAGGTCACTGGGGATATGCTTCTGGGGTTTACTTTGTCCCCAGTGAACAATGCTCTCTCTACTTCCTTACTGTCATGAACTGTGCATCTTGCTTACACCATGCCTTTCTGCCATGATGTTTTGCCTTCCCTCGGGCCCAAAGAATGAAGTTGACCAACCATTGACTGAAACTCTGAAACCCCAAGCCAAAATATATTTTTCCTCCTCTAAGTAGTTCTAAGTAGACAATAAATGTCTTTTGGTCACAGAAATATAAAACTTATTAAAACAAGAAATTATCTGACAACTAATTCAAAATATTAATCATAAAGATGCCAAATGAAGCTCCAGAGAACTGTTTATTCAGGCCAGGCTATATTAATATGAGACATAGAAATGAGAGATATGGAAGGACAATGTGTAATGATAAAAGGGTCAACTCACTAGGGAGATATAGCGTATACAATGTATATATACACCTAACATCAGAGCACCTAAATATATGAAATTAAAATTGACATGAACAAAGTGAAAATTTGAACAAAGAAAAAAAATTGGTGTGGGGGGGGCGGGTTACTGGGGATTAAACTCAGGGACACTCGACCACTGAGCCACATCCCCAGCCCTATTTTGTATTTTTATTTAGAGACAGGGTCTCACTGAGTTGCTTAGTGCGTCGCTTTTGCTGAGGATGGCTTTGAACTCATGATCCTCCTGTCTCAGCCTTCCAAGCTGTTGGGATTATAGGCATGTGCCTCTGTGCTGGGCTAAGAGAAAAATTTTTAAAAGAGCCAAATAAATCTTGGAGCAAAATAACATAATAACTGAACTTAAAAATTCAATGCAGTGATTCAAGAATAAAGAATCAGTGGGGGTGGGGCTGGGGATGTGGCTCAAGCGGTAGCGCGCTCCCCTGGCATGCATGCGGTCTGGGTTCGATCCTCAGCACCACATACAAACAAAGATATTGTGTCTGCCGAAAACTAAAAATTAAATATTAAAAATAAATTCTCTCTCTCTCTCTCTCTCTCTCTCTCTCTCTCAAAAAAAATTATATTAAAAAAAAGAATCAGTGGGGCTCAGTGACTATGGCTCAGTGGTAGAGTGCTTGTCTGGCATGTGTGAGGCCCTTGGTTCGATCTTCAGCAGCACATATAAATAAATAAATAAAGTAAAAAAGTCCATTGACAACTAAAAAAATATGAAAAAAAGAAGCTGGTTTGCAGCTCAGAGGTGGAGTGCTTGCCTAGCATGTGTGAAGCACTGGGTTCAGTTTGGAGCTCCATATAAATGAGTAAATAAATATCCATCAACATCTAAAAAATATTATAAAAAAAATCAACATAAACATGGAATATAGCCAAAGCAGTACTTGGAGTTTTGTAGCAATAACTACAATAAAAAAGAACAATCTCAAACAAGGTAAAATTACTCATAAAGGACCTAGAAAAAGAACAAATAAATCCCAAAGTTAGCAGAAGGGAAGCTATAATAAAAATTAGAACAGAAATGAAATAGAGAATAGAAAAACAATGGAAAAAAAGACTAAGAGTTTTTGAAAAGATGAACAGCATTACAAACCTTTAGCTAGACTTACCAAGAAAAAAAGGAGATACAAGTTCATAAAATTATAAGTGAATGACAAAACATTACAACTGATGCCACAGAAATAAAAAGGATCACAAAAGACAACCATGGATAATTATGTGACAACATATGAAAAACCTACAAGAAATGAATAATTTCCTAGAAATATAACATACCAAGACTGAATCATGAAGAAATAGAAAGTCTCAAGAGACCAATGATAAGAAAGGACAATTGAATCAGTAATCAAAAAACCTCCCAACAAAGAAAAGTTCAGGACTACATGGCTTCATGAGCAAATCCCACCAAACAGTTTTTAAAAAGTAATGCCATTTCTTCAAAAAAAATTAGAGGAGGGTACATTTCCAAATTCATTTTACAAGACCAGCATTACCTTCATGCCAAAGCCAAACTAATATTACAAGAAAAGACAACTATAGATCAATATCCCTGATGAAAATAGATGCAAAAATTCTAACAAAATATTAGCACTCTGTATTCAACAGCACATTAGTAGGATCCTACACCATGACCAAGAGGCATTCATCCCTGAGATGCAGGGATGTTTCGATTACAAATAAATGTAATACATCATATAGAATGAAGGATAAAAATTGTATAATCATTTCAATAGATGCAAGAGAAACATTTGACAGAATGCTTTTATGGTAAAAACTTAACAAATGAGAAAGAGAAGTCAATTACCTCAACATAATAGAGACTATATAAGAAAAGCTCACAGCTAACATACTGAATGATTTAAAAAAATAACTGATGACGCGACCTTACGTCCGCCGGAAGTGCGCGCGGGAGTTCCGGGGAGCAGGCGGGCGCCGAGCTTCTGGTGTCCTGAGCTTCGCGATTTGAGTCCTGCTGCTGGGTTCTGGGTTGGTCGCACGGCCGTCGGGATCATGGTGTTCTACTTCACTAGCAGCAGCGTTAATTCATCTGCTTACACTATTTACATGGGAAAGGATAAATATGAAAATGAAGATCTGATAAAGTATGGCTGGCCTGAAGATATTTGGTTTCATGTGGACAAACTCTCTTCAGCTCACGTATACCTTCGATTACATAAGGGAGAGAAAATAGAAGACATTCCAAAGGAAGTGCTGATGGACTGTGCCCACCTTGTGAAGGCCAATAGCATTCAAGGCTGCAAGATGAACAACGTTAATGTGGTATATACGCCGTGGTCTAACCTGAAGAAAACAGCTGACATGGATGTGGGGCAGATAGGCTTTCACAGGCAGAAGGATGTAAAAATTATGACGGTGGAGAAAAAAGTGAATGAGATACTGAACCGATTAGAAAAGACCAAATTGGAGCGGTTTCCAGACCTAGCTGCAGAGAAGGAAAGCAGAGACCGGGAAGAGAGAAATGAGAAAAAAGCCCAAATTCAGGAAATGAAAAGGAGAGAAAAAGAAGAAATGAAGAAGAAGAGGGAGATGGATGAACTTAGGAGCTATTCATCACTAATGAAGGTTGAGAACATGTCTTCAAATCAGGATGGCAATGATTCAGATGAGTTCATGTGAAAGGAGAAAAGGATTCTGAAAGCTGTGAATGCAGAGAACTTTGCGGACCTTGTGATTTCATCTATGTTCTAAATTATTAACAACCAAAATTCTGCCTTCATTCTACACAGATATTATTAATTTTGGAGTTTTAAAAAAAATCCCTTTTTTTGCTGACAAAAAAAGAACAGATATATTAATATATATATATATATGTCATATATATATATATATATATATATATATATATATATATATAATAGTTGAACTTGAAGACAGCATATATAACTTTAGGAAAACAAAAATATTTTTGCCAGAACACGTCTCAGTACCTTGCAAGAGCTGACTGCCCTTGTTCTTGAGATAGACTTTAGAGTAAACCAACTCTGAAAAGTATTTTTGTGGCTGTGGTTCATCCCTGAAAACAGATGTCTTGAAATGCTTTTCATAGCCTAAAATACCTTCACTTCTGTTAAGAAGAATGTGTTGGTTGGCAATTCAGGCCAAGATTCTCCCACTCCCAATTTCCTGATTAGAAAAGCAGAGTTTTGAAGGTGATAGTGATATTTCAAAAGATTGCTGGCTTCAACATTCTCATTCCCGCATGTCGTCAGTCTGTTAGTGTAGTGGTCCTCAGCTTGTCCCAGCTCCTTTGTCCTCCCTTTTTTGAAGTGAGGGCCTTCATCTTCGTAGCATCATATTGAAAGAAATAGATGGTCTAAATCAGGTTTTATCTTGTGCACCTTGCCTGAGCACCAAGTAATCCAAGCTACAGGTGCGACAACTTCTAGGCTCCATTTCCGTGCTGAGGGGGACCAGAGGGTGCTCTGTGAACTGAGTGGGAGATACAGGTTACCTGATTTTTGTCTTGAAATTCAAGATGAAGCAAGAGTACACATTGAATTATCAAGCGTTTTCCTAGCCAGCCAAGTAATTTATGTCCTTACCTTGAAATAATAATTATTTTTGAGTTTTAACCCTTGAGATTGGATCTCTCAGTTACAGGCTCCTAACTTAGGTAACATTACTACTCGGCTGAAACACTGGCTACCCGTTATGATTCTGACCAGGAGATACATTTTTATTGCCACGTGTAAGGCAACCCCTGAAGGGAGTGACAAGACAAAACATCGAAAGAGCCTGCAGGACCCCCGCTTGAAGATTGTAACACCCAGAACCCTGCCTGGTGCTGTTATTCTAACTCATCAAAAGTGACTTTCAGCAAACCTTGTAGCTGCCTAGCACTTTGGAAGTGTGGGTAAAACCAGAAGACATTTTCTTTTATTCTAAGTTGGTGTATGGGCTTGATCTGGAAAATTCCTGAGGCATAACTCATTGGCCAGATTTTGAGGGGTATGAAAATACCAGAGGTCAGTGTGTGGGCATGTGTGTCTAATGTTTTAGACTGGAGTTCTGTGATTAAAAAATTATAATAAAGTATTGGGTTTTTTTTAAAAAAAAATAAATAAAATAAAAATAAAAAAATAACTAATATATTTTCCTTTTACCACTTCTGTTTAGCACAGTGTTGATCAATTATGCATCAAAAAGAATTAAAAGCATCCAAATTGAAAAGGCAGAAATAAAATTACCTCTATTTTCAATATATATGAACTTTGATCTTATATGTTAAAAAACCCTTAAGATTCCACAAAAACTTATTTGAATAAACAAATTTAGTAATGTTGCAAGATACAAAATCAACACAAAAGTCAGTTGCATTTCTTTACATTAATAACAAACTAAATAAAAAGTAAATTGAGGGCTATGGCTGTAGCTCAGTGATAGAGAGTGAGGCACTAGGTTTGATCCTCAGTACCACATTAAAAAATAAATAAAGGCATGCTGTCCATCTACAACTATAAAGAATTTTTTTAAAAAAGTAAATTGAGAAAATAATCCTATTTACAATGACATCAAAAAGAATAAAATATTTGGGGCTGGAGTTGTGGCTCAGTGGTAGAGTGCTTGCCTAGCACATGTGAGGCACTGGGTTCGATTCTCAGCACCACACAAAAAAACAATAAATAAAAATAAAGGTATTGAGGCCATATATAACTAAAAAATATTTTTAAAAGAATAAAATATTTAAGGATAAACTTATAGGGTTAAATTCCAAAACATTGTAAATTCTAAAATAGTGAAAGAAATTAAAATACAAGTAGAAAAACATCAGGTACTCATAGATTCACAGATTTACTATTGATAAAATGTTCATGTATCCAAAACAACCTTACAAATCCAATGTAATCCTTATCAAAATCTCAATGGCCCTTTTTATAGAAATACAAAATAAATCCTAAAATTCCTATGGAACCACAAAGGACCCCAAGTAGGCAAAACAATCTTGAGAAATGCAAATAAAATAGGAAAACCAGACTTCTTGATTTCAAATATATTGCAAATCTATAATAATTAAAATAATGTTACCATCATACTGTCATGAAAACAGTATGGCAGAAACATAGACTAGTAGGATGAAGAACCCATAAATCAACCCATATGTGTGTGTATGTGTGTGTGTATGTGTGTGTGTGTGTGTGTGTGTGTGTGTGGTCAATTGATCTTTGACAAAGTATACAATAAATAAAAGATAATCTCTTCAACAAATACCATTGGTACAGCTAGCTATTCATATGGAAAAGAATGAAATTGGACCTTTATGCTACACACAAAAATCAACTCAAAATGGATTAAAGACTTAAACATAAGAACTAAAACTGTAGAATTCCCAGAATAAAACACAGGAAAGGCTTCATGACAATTTTCTTAGTAAGGATTTCTTCAATGTGACTCAATAGTACAGAAAATAAAAACAAAAGACAGATAATAGTACATAAAACTATAAAACATCTTCACAGTAAAAGAAACAACAGTGAAAAGACAGCCTGAAGAATGGGAGAAGATGTTTGTAAACCATATATCTGATAAAGGGGTTAACACCTAAAATACATAAGGAACTTCTACAACTCAATAACAAAACAAAACAGTAAAATGGGCAAAAAACCTTGATAGACATTTCTTCAAAGAATGCACAGAAATAGCTAGCAGGTAAACAAAAAAGAAATGCTCAGCATCACTAATAATCAGCAACATGCAAATCCAAATCATAATGAGATGACACCTCACATCTGTTAAAATGACTACTATCAAAAAACAAAAAATAACATATTGGCAGGCATGGGAATAATCTATAACCCTTCTTCACTGTTGTTGGAGATGTAAAGTGGTGCAGTAGCTATGAAAAACTATCAAAGTTTCTCTAAAAATTAAGAATAGAATTAGAATGATTTAGAATGATCTAGCAGTCTCTTCTGTGTTGAAGTCAAGATCTCAAAGAATTATTGGTTCTTCCATTTTCTTGAAGCATTGTTCACAATAGCCAAGATATGGAAACAACCTAGAGGTCCATGGACAGATGAGTGGATAAAGAAAAGTTTGATATACACATACAATGGAATACTGTTCAGCCTTAAAAAAAAGAAATACTTCATTTGTGGCAACATGAGTGAACCTTGAGGACATTATGCTGAGTGAAATAATCCAGTCATAGAAGAACAAATATTCTATAATTCTATGTATATGAGGTATCTAAGCTAGATAAAATCATAGAAGCAGAGAGCAGAATGGTGCTTGATAGGAGGTGTAGGAGAGGAAAATGAGGAGTTTCTATTCAAGAGGTATTAAGTTGAATAGAAATTTTTTTACCATCATAATATCTTGTATATAACACTGTGCCTATAATGAACAATATTTAAAAATTTGCCAAGAAAGTAGATTGTATAAGGGAGCCAAGCAGAAATAAAAATAATAAGAAGAAAATATTTTTTAAAGTTGTCATTGATGAAAGACTTTCCCTAATTTGTTGTGTTCATTAAATAAGAATAGGATGCTATAAAAATAGAATATTGCCAGTAATTAAATGCAATAACAGAATGGAAAACTGAGTTAAAGGATTAAAAGATAAAGTTGAATAGATTTCCCATAAAAGAATTGAAATGGGGCTGGGGTTGTGGCTCAGTGGTACAGCGCTTGCCTTGGATGCGTGGAGCACTGGGTTTGTTCCTCAGCACCTACATAAATAAATAAGATAAAGGTATCATGTCCATCTACAACTTTAAAAAATAAAAAAAAATGAAATGGGAAAAGGGGGAAACAAAGAGATAGAAATTTGGAAGAAAAAAATGTTGGAGGAACCATATATGAAGTCCAACTTCAAATAAATAGGAGTTCCAGAAAAAGTTAATGAAAACACAGAGAGAAGATAATTAAATATCAAGGAAATAACTCAAGAATATTTTCTAGAGCTAAAGAACATTAGTTTGTGGATTAAAAGGACTACAGTGTGCTAGTACTCATTATGAAATAAGGCACAGCATTATGAACTTCAGAATACCAGGGAATGAAATTAATGGAATGGATTTGTACAGTTTGGAAGAGTTTGAGATTAAGTAGATGAAAAACACCCAGAAACTTAAAGCAATGAGAGAAAAAAGACTGACTTTAGGGAAAACAAAAGATGGTCATGGTACACCCCAAGAGTAAAGAGCATTTTAGTAATATTTTACCATCATAATATTTAGATTGAATTTTGATCTAACTGTAAGATGTGACAGTATATGGACAATGGAAACAGTGGGAACTGGGAACTGTAAGAGGAGAATAGCTTCTTTCCTCCATAAAGGGAAGTCAATTGAGAGCTTAAAACTGATATCAAGGAATAGCAGTATAGGTATGCTGCTTAGTTAAATGATATTTAATGGGATATATAGGCATAACATACATAAAGTATGAGAATCAGATGGTTGCATGTATGCTGTCTGTTTCTCAGATCAGTAATCTTTGTGGAGCAAAAATCTAGGAAGGAAGACAAAGACAGAGAACTGCAACAAACCATAGATTATTTCTTATCTTGATGGTGTCAAGGATTGTCTTTTGTTCTATTTCTTCCAAAACCTTTAATTACCCGACTTTGTTGTGGAGTGGGGCTCTAACTTGAGGAGGGGAAATAACCTGCCACTTTGTCATCTGTCATTGAAAGTTTTTAATCATTTCACCCCTGCTTTCTTAGATTGGGAGTATCCCAAGATGAAAGAACAAAAGCAATGCAAGAACTCTACTCTTCTGGATACCAGTAAAGCAGTAACAATAGAAAAGGTGCCACAGTTTTCAGACTTCTCTGCAATTCTGAGTGAGTTTTAAAATTCATTTATCTCATGTTACAGGGTGAAAATCCCTCGTCTATACTGGAAAAACAGCATATTTTTCCTCCTGAATATTTCTAAGATGAACTTACCAATTTTGATTAACTTTAGCAACAAATAATAATAGTAGTATAAGTATGCATGAGTTTACTTTTTATTACTTTTTATTTTGAACTAATTTCAGACTTACAGAATAATTTGTAGAAAAATGGTACGGGGATTCCACTATGTCTCTCACCTAGTATTATCTATCTTTCTTCCTTTCTTTTTTTTTACTTTACCACTGACTTACATCCCCAGCCTTTTTTTTTTTTTTGAGATAGGGTCTCACTAAGTTTCTTAGGGCCTTGCTAAATTGCTGAGACTGGCCTTGAACTTGCAATCCTCCTGCCTCAGACTCTTGAGCCACTGATATGACAGTCATGTGCCACTGTGCCCAGCCTCTTATGTTATCTTATTATAATGGTAGTACAATGATTAGAACCAGGATTTTAACACTGATATAGAACTATTGACTAAATTACAGACCTTATTCAAATTTCACTGGTTTTTCCACTGACGTCTCTTACTCTGTTTCAGGATCCTTATTAGGATCCCCTTTGCATTTATTAATTCTTCTTAGTTTCCTGCATTTTGTAACAGTTCTCAATCTTCCATAATCCGAATAGTTTGTTTTTGTTTTTTCATAATCTGAATAGTTTTGAAGATAACTGACTAGGTTAGTTATTTTGTAGAAGTTCCCTCACTTTGGATTTTTCTTTATGTTCTCTCATGATTGTAATTAAGTTATGCAATTTTTGGTAAGAATTCCACAGAGATGCTTCTGGGAATCTCCAGTATAAAAAAAAAGTTATTAGAAATTTATCACTTCTCCTTGCCACCCTTATCCCATTCTCTTCTTTTTACCCACTTACACTTGCTCCTTATAAGTAATCAATCTGTTTGGTTTCTGGTGTATCCTTCCTGTATTTCTTTTGTACAAACAAGTAAATACTGGTATATTTCTTTACATATTGCTGTTGTTTACATGAAGGATTTACACTATATAGGTACTCTTGTTTACTTTATATTTTCCACTTAACAGTCTATAGTAGAAATCATTCCCTAAAGGTTATAGAACAGTTTATAGAGCTCTTTCTCACAATAGTACTCTGTGTGCCTATTCCTTTTTTTTTTTTAACCACTCTCTTGTGAATTGGGTATTTAATTTTTTCCCAACATTTTTCCACCACAAAAATGCTGTGATGAATAAACTATGATATGGATTTTCTTATTGTTAGCCCAGAGGCAGATGGCAAGTTTGAAAGATAAGTGGATATATAGATTTGTTGGATATTGCCAAACTTTTCTCCAGAAAGGTCATATCAGTTGCTTTCCCACTAGCAATGTATGAAAGGGTGTGTCTCTCATATACTTGCCAACAGGATGTATTGTCATACTTTAAAATTATGCTACCTGAATGTGTATAAGTGATATCTCTGTTACTTAAATTTGCATTTTTCTGATTTTATGTGAGTTTAAAATTTTTCATATGTCTGAGGACCATTTTGAGTTTTAAAATTTTCATGTATAAGTTTTCTCTTCATTCATTTTCCCCATTTTTAACCTTTTTTTAATCCTTAATCATCAATATTTTTTATTCATTACTGGATCTAGGGCCCCAAGTATCCTAGGCAAGGGCTCTACCACTGAGTGACATACACTCAACCCTTAGCCACAGTTTTAACAGTTCTTTATATATTAAGGATATTAACCTTCTATCTGTGGTATAAATGCAGGTAATAAATTGGTATATTTCAATAAATTTGTGAGTCTTTTCTCCTAGTTTTTGTTTATGGTACTTTTTGCCATGCAAAAAAAAAAAATGTTTATATTGAGTTTACTTTTCTTGTACACCAGTCCAGTGCTTGTTTAGCCACTCACTAATGGGATCAAGATGCTAGGCTCTTAATATCTTTCAGCTACCAAGTATGTCAGCTTGTTACTCCATAGTTATAAAGATAGCTACTAAATCTCTAGGCTTTACAGCCATGCTGCTGGCAAAAGGAATGTGAAAGGGCAGTAGTAGCCATGCATATCTCCAGACAAGCAAAACCAATCCCAGAAATTCTCCCGCAGACTTATTGGCCAGAACTGGATCAAGTATCTACCTACTACTATGGAGGCTGAAACTAAGTATTTTAGTTTTCTAACTTCTGTAGTGGTAGAAGCCATTGGGAAAATGGAAAAAAAAATGGAGAGGGGGGAGTAGGAATGGATGTTGTCAGCCTAGTTGTTAGAGTTGCACTAGGTAGAAGAATATCAGTGTAAGAACTAAATGCTGGGTTAGGGGTTCTTATGGGAAAGTCTATAGTTTCCTGGGTGACAGTATTTATTACACGGAAAGCCTCTTCTTCTGTTTAGTTTGGCAACTTCTTTGCTGATATAAATTATTCAAAGAAACAACCTGTCACTTTAGCAAGTGTTTTGGTTGTAGAGTTTTTTGTCCATTGCTGATGAAAAAAACAAATTCCCTAACTTAAACTATATTCAGTTAAAAAGAGAATTTATTGCCACATGTACCTGAAAAACCCAGTAGTAAATCTAATGATGTGGAAAATGTAATCAAATTTTAAATAAATAAAAATATGCAAAAAATCTAATTGTATATACAGTTTGATCCAGGATTTCAAATGTATCAGTAGAACCAGATTCTTCTCCATCTCTTAGCTCAGGATTGCTTTGTGTTAGTTATACTCTCAGCCAAGTCCCTTCATGTAGCAATTCTTTCTAGCCCCAGACTTATATGCTCACAGCCTCAAATTCAATGAAAAAAGTGCTTCTCTTTTCTGACTGTTTGAACAGAAGCCCCAACCCTTCCACGTTGACTTAAATTGTTATATATTCCTATCCCTGACCCAGTGACTTTGGCCAGGAAGATGCAAGGTATAGACTATGGCTGGACAATCAAAAGAAAAATCAGGAAAAAAAGAGTAGATGCTGAATGATTAAATGACCACTCTATGTGTTGAGGACCTCCCTCTCAAGGAAGTGTGTCATCTCTCCTTAAAAGTTCTTATTTTTAAATTCTGCAACTTCTCTAACATCTGTAGACTAACTAATTATATTCCTAGGAACAGTAATATGTTGGTTGAGGCAGTAATATGTTGGTTGAGAGTCAGGCTTGTGATTAATTAATCTATTAGAATGCATCTCTAGAATTTGATATGGGGCTAAGAACCAAGAAGCCAGAGTTTAAATTTCAGGTATCTAGCTGTTAGTTTTGTAACCTGGCCAGTTATTTTCTTATATGTAAAATTAGCATAATAAAATGGTATATTTGACTGATAGGATTATTGTAAAAATCCTAAGATGTAAAAAGACCAAAATTATTTTTTAAAAACTGTCCCAATACAAAGTGACATGATTCCTGTATCTCATAGAATTTTGTAACATTTTTTGTTTTACTTTGATAATTTGAAAATACTTTTATCTAATTTAACTGGAAGGTATAAAAACAATATAATTATAAAAAAATAAACTGCATTATATCTATCTGTGGTTGGAGAAATATGTATTTTTACCTAGAGTAATTTTAGCTTCTGGTTTGTCTTAGAATTTATATATATTTCTAATATTGACTTTTTTCTTTCCTAGACACCTCTTTAGAAAACTATCAAAAATGCCACAGAAAAAAGTAAGAACTAAAAATTTTAAAGTTGTTCTTTTTTTATACTTTATTTTATTTACTTGCTGTTTATGTGGTGCTAAGGATTGAACTCAGTGCCTCACACATGCTAATAAGCGAGCGCTCTACCACTGAATCACAACCTCAGCCCCTAAAGTTGTGCTTTTTAAACCCCTGTATTCTAACAGTTATATGGCAAGTATGTTGGTCAGTCTACAAACTCAGAAGTTCATTCATTCAGTATTTGTTGAGGCCTCATTAGTAACTGGATTGTTCTAGTTGTTGGACGTACAGTAGTACACAAAATTTATTAAAAACTTTTGGTTTTAATTCTAGTTAAAAGAGATGGACAATAAACAAATAAGCAAATGGATTTATACTGTTATATTGTATTGAATGATAATGGAGAAAAATAAAGCAAGATGGGGACCAGGGAATTTTGAGGTGGAAATTTGATATTTTAAATAGTATGGTCAGGGAAATTGTCATTGAAAAGGCAGCTTTGGGGCGGATATTAAAGAAAGAGATATTGTAAATTGAGGAAAGCACATTCTAGGAGAAAGAAAAGCCAGAAGAGGGCCCTAAGACAAGAAGGCCTGAGCTTCTGGAGTGGAAAGAGAAAATGAAGTAAGAGAAGCAGCAGGCGGCCAGGTGAGTTATTGTTGTTACATTGTAGGTCAACGGAAGTGAACTTGGAAACCTTTGAAATATGACACAAGATGACATGTTTTAGAGGAATTGCTCTAGCTGCTGTCAATCAAAATAGATTATGAGGAGGCAAGGAATTAGGGAGATGATAAGAGGCTATTGCACTAATCTAAACAAGGGATATTAGAGTTGGACTAGAATGAGAAGAGCAGAGGTGGTGAGTTATGGTTAGATTTTTTTTTTTTTTAGGCACAGTATCTTTATTTATTTTTATGTGGTGCTGAGGATTGAACCCAGGGCCTCACACATGCAAGGCAAGCACTCGATACCACTGAGCCACAGCTCAAGCCCTATGGTTAGATTTTGAATGTATTTTGAAAGTGAAACTAACAAGATCTGGTAGTGGACCGAAAGGTGAGGTATGGGAAGATATAGTTAAGCTGATTCCACAATTTCAACTTAATAGATCTATAAAATAGCATTTTGCAAAACTCTTCTAATATACTTTTTATCTCATTGAAGTTATTTGGTTTAAACTCAAATAGCATGTCTAAGTTTCATTTGTAGAAATTAGTCAAGTGTTTATTTATTCACATTTGCCATTAATAAGCAAATTTGATTTTGCTTTAATGTACTAATTGTAATAACTCCAATCTTGTTCTTTCCTTCCTTGTTTTTCTGTTAGTTTTGCTTTCTGCAAAATTATAAAGTTGACATTCTAGTCTAGTCCTTGCTCAATTTCCAAAATTATTTCTCTTTTGCTCTTAAAGCAAGAAGACTGCAGGGTTGGGTTGTGGCTTGGGTTGTGGCTCAGCAGTAGAGTGCTTGCCTAGCATGTGTGAGGCCCTGAGTTCAATCCTCAGCACCATATAAAAATAAATAAATAAAATAAAGTTAAGGAAAAAAAGACTGCAAAGCACATTTTTTTGCAATTAAGTTTTTTTATTTGTTATTTTTAGATACAAATAACAGTAGAGTGTATTTTTGATATATTATACATACATGGAGTATAACTTATTCTAATTAGGATCCCTTTCTTGTGGCTGAACATGAGGTGAAGTTTCAGTGATTGTGTATTCATATATGAACACAGAAAAGTTGTGTCCAGTTTATTTTACTCTTTTTTATTTCCATTTCCCCTCCCTTCCCTTCATTCCCCTTTGTATAATTCAAAGAACTTCTGTTCTCCACCCTACCTTGTTGTGTGTCAACATCCACATATCAGAGAGAATATTCAGCCTTTGGTTTTTTTGGACTGCCTTATTTCACTTAGCATGATGTTTTCCAGTTTCATCCATTACAGGCAAATGCCATAATTTCATTCTTCTTTATGGTTGAGTAATATTCCATTGTGTATATGTATCACATTTTCTTATCCATTTATCTTTTGAAGGGTGTCTAGTTTGGTTCCATAGCTTAGCTATTATGAATTGAGCTGCTGTAAACATGGATGTGGTGAATCACTGTAATATGCTGATTTTAAGTCCTTTGAATATATACCAAGGAGTGGAATAACTGGGTCAAATGGTGGTTCAATTCCAGATTTCTTAAGAAATCTCCATACTGCTTTCCCTAGTGATTGCACCAATTTGCATTCCCACCAGCAATATATGAGTAACATTTTTCCCCACGTCCTCACCAACATTCATTGTTACTTGTATCCTTGGATAATTGCCATTCTGATTGGAGTGAAATGGCAGTCTCAGTGTAGTTTTAATTTGCATTTCTCTAATTGCAAAGAAATGTTGAACATTTTTTCATATATTTGTTGGCCATTCATATTTCTTCTTCTGTGAAGTGCCTATTCAGTTATTTTTCCCCTTTATTGATTGGGTTATTTGGGTGGTTTTGTGTGTGTGTGTGTGTGTGTGTGTGTGAAATTTTTTGAGTTCTTTGTATATCCTGGAGATTAATGCTCTGAGGTACAGGTGATAAACAATTTCCCCCATTCTGTAGGCTCTCCACATTCTTGATTGTTTCCTTTGTTGTGAAGAGCTTTTTAGTTTGATACTATCGCATTTATTGATTCTTGATTTTACTTCTTGTACTTTAGGAGTCTTGTTGAGGAAGTCGGTTCCTAAGCCAACATGATGAAGAGAGAGTTGGGCCTACATTTTCTTCTAGTAGGCACAGGGTCTCTGGTCCAATGTCTACGTCTTTGATCCACACTTTGAGTTGATTTTTGTGTAGGGTGAGAAATAGGGGTTCAGTTTCATTCTGCTACATATGGATTTCCAGTTTTCCCAGCACCATTTGTTGAAGAGGCTATCTTTTCTCCAATGTATGTTTATGGTGGCAAGGCACATTTTCTTTGCTAAATTGAAATGCACTATTGTGGGAAAATAGTCAATACTATGGATTACAAATAATTGTATCATTTTTACTAAATTGATTTAGACTTATAATTCTTTATATTCTTAGTAGTCTGAAAAATAATCTGTTCATTGTAAATTACCAAAAAGACCTGCCATCCCAGTGTAGTGTTCAGTATTGCCTTAGGAATTTTCACAAAATACACACTGTAGCTTTGTTAAAGCTTAAGAAAAGATTGACTTTTGTTGACTCCTGGGAACAAATAATGATGAATTATGCATGTAATGGACTTAAAAACATTATATCTATTAGGATTTAATTCAAACAAGTCTGTACCAGATGCAATTACTATTGTTATTCAAAAAATGATGTCAATATTTCTTGCTTTGGGAGCTCCTTCAAGGAAAAAAGAAAAGAATGGAGTTACCAATTATTAAGACAGGGAACACTGAGGACAGGCATATTAGTAGAGAAAGAGTTTTATTTGTGGCATGTGGACTAAATGGTAGAGGGTGCTTCATGAGAGAGACAAGATGTAGATTGAAGGAGGTGGTCACAGTCTGGATCATGTATGACCTTAAGGCCTGGGATTTTTTTATTTTATCCTGAATGTGTTGACAGCCTCTGACCAATTTTCAGTAGGACTGTAGCACATTATGAAATTTTAAAAATGTGTTAACCCTCAAAGAATTTGAAAGAACTTACAGAAAATTCATATAAGTTTAAAAACAAAGATAGGAGACACCATCAGGTAGATGAAAAAGACAAACCACAGAATGGGAGAAAATGTTTTCAGATTCTATATCTGATAAGGGACTTATATCCATAATATATAAAGAATTCATATAACAATAAAAGGACAAATAAGCCGGTTTAACAATGGACAAAGGATCTGAACATGAAAAAATGTTCAGTATCATTAACCATTAGGGAAATGAAAACCAAAACTACAAGATACCACTTCACACTTTCTAAGAAAGCTAAAATCAAAAAGATAGATTGTAGGGGCTGTGATTGTGGCTCAGGGGTAGAGTGCTTGCCTAGCTCACATGAGACACTGGGTTCAAACCTCAGCACCACTTAAAAATGAAATAAAGATATTGTGTACACCTACAACTAAAAAATAAATATAAAAAAAGACAGGCGATAACAGATGGAATTATTGGATGTGGAGAAATTGAAATGTATTCTTCCTCAGACATTGCTGGTAGGAATTTTAAATAGTGAAGCAGCTTTGAAAAAATTTGGCAGTTTCTCAAAATGTTAAACATGTAGTTACCATATGATTCAGCAATCTACTTCTAGATACACAAACCTAAGAGAAATAAAAACATATGTCTACACAAAAACTTACACATGAATGTTCATAGCAACTTTATACATAATTCCCAAAAAAGTAGAAACAGCCCAGCTGTTGATTTACTTATGAATGAGTAAATATTATATGGTATATACATATAATGAAATATTGTTCAGCAATAAAAATGAATGAAATACTGGTGTAGGCCTCAACATGAATCAACCCTGAAATTATTATGCTAAATGAAAAAAGACAGTCACACAAGACCACATATTTTATGATTATATTCATCTGAGGTGTCCATAATACACAAATAAATGCAGACAGAAAGCTGGTTAGTAATTGCCTAAAGCTCAGAGGTTTGGAAAGAAATGGTGATTAACTGCTAATGGAAATAGGTATAATGTTTTGTTTGGGGGTGATGAAAATGATCAAAAATTGGTTGTGATTATGATAGATACATAACACTATGCATATTCTAAAAACTATTGAAGTTTACACATTAAATTAATGAATTGTATTATGTATGAATTATATCTCAATAAAGCTGTAAAAAATGATCAAATAAATTAGTTTTTTATAGGAGGGAGATATATATATATATATATATATATATATATATATATGGAAAGGGAGTTAGAACAAAAATAAATAAGCCATAAGAGTTAAAAGTCAGAAAAGACCTCAAGAATGCCTGTTTCTTTAATACTAGTTATTTGTGTCATGTACAAGGAGTGTGCAGATTTTTTTCCTCATCTCAACACAAGTAAGAAGCTTCAAGAGGACCATTTAGAACAGTCAACTATATCCCTTGGAATTTAGTTGCTGACTCACACCTGAAAAATCTAAAGGCAAGAGTTAGATTCTTTGAAATGGAAGAATAGGAAGTTAGAGGTACTTTCAGAGTTTGTCACAACAAAGATTTGTGCACAATACCTATAGGTCAGACATGAATTCTAAAGAAGGGAGCCAATTTTGGACCTCTTTGAAAGAGATCATGTCCAGTATGCCTTAATGCAAAGGGTAAGGTAACAACCTCAATCTAAAGAGGCTGACTGGTCTGTCATCAAAGGAAAAAACTGAGATCAGAAACAGCAACAAGTGTAAAAGCCCCATTGGTAGGGAATTCTCCTACAAACCCCTTGAAATACTTAAAAGTTGGAAAGAATCAGCATTTGGTTATCTCTCACACCCAAAGGATACCAATGGCATTTTATAACAGTATCAGTCAAGAGCAACAAACCCTTTCTACAGCTCTTTTCTTCTAATTCAATGCCAGAAGAACCAAAAAAGCAGAGGGGAAAGAAAAAGAAACCAACCATGTTGCTTTCTCCACTGCATGTTCTGAGTGTGATGTTGTATTGTTTTTTTTTTTTTTTAATTACCTTAAAAAAGTGTTTTTTACAAGAAAATACCCTAAAAGTATTAGTATAAAAAACCCACTTGATAGTTCATTCAGAGCTGAGAATGAGCTTAAAGGGAAATAAGAGGGGAATAAGAGGGGGCTATGGCTGTAGCTCAGTGGTAGAGTGCTTGCCTTGCAGGTGTGAAGCACTGGGTTTGATTCTCAGCATCACATAAAAATAAATAAAGAAAGAAAGATATTGTGTCCATCTACAACCAAAAATTTTTTTAAAAAGAATAAGATTATTTTCTGATGAATTTAACTTTTTAGTTAACTGATAGTAGGAGTTTAGAAAATTATCTTCTTGAATTTGGTTTTCAACTTTCTTAGTAGGAATCCATTGTTGATGTTTTTATACTCCTCTTATAATGGCTAGTCTTCTACATGTTTAGTTAGAATTAAGCATGGTCTTATTTGTGGAAATAGAAAAGAGAAAAGGATTTATTATATTTGAAATCCTAACCATAAGAATCCTGGGAAACAGGATTGATATCCCTTTTGCATAGATGAGGTAAACAAGACTTAAGACAGGTTAAGCAGCTTTCTCAAGGCCACACAATTATAGGTAGCAAAACCCAGTTCTGTCTGATTTCAAACACAATTAATTGTCCTCACACTGATAAATGTATAAACATGTTGTCTTTTCTTATGAAATTATTTGTTCCTATAGATGTGATGATATTTTTTTCTAACCAATTTTATTTTTTCTACAAAATAATTAATTACATATGAATGTCTTTATTTTAAGTAATATCTGAGGAGTCTTCAAAGTTACTGAATGATAAGAAAATACTATTAATTTGTTCTTATTACAGAGTGATGACATTAGCATACCAATGTATTTCTCCAAAACCAAAGTTTACTTCAAATTCAAAATCAGGTAATAGTGAAATGAATTATTTTCATATGTCTTTTATTTTGTTACAGTATAACTTATACTAACAAAATAGTTACCCCAGGAAATTGAGGGCTTTTTAGCATGATTGTATTTAAGAAATAAAGATATGTAGGGTCTTGACTATCCCTACAACAGCCATCATTTATTCATTTAATAAATATTTACTGATTATGTCCTCTAAGGCATTATTATGTATACTAGTGGGAAGTGACATACTTTCCCTGCCCATGTAAGTTTCAGTACTAAAAAAGGACAATAAGAAAACTGATATATTGTGGTTATATGAGATGATTGAAAAATAATGGGATCAACAAAGTGTCTTGCATTATTGGCACTTTGTTATTTATTTTATTATTAGAATAAACATAGCATGACATTTACATCCTATTAACTTCTGCTATATATTAGGTTTGTATTATAATTTTTTCCTGTCACAAGTTTTATTGTGTCTCATTGAGAGTATGCGTATAAGAAATGCTGGTTGTACTTTTGATGGATATAAGTTCTTGTATGGACTAAAAATATATTTTTATTTGTATAGTGTTCACTTTAAGAAGTTGTTTTAATGAGAATTTACTAAATGCCAGTCATCATTTTAGGAATATTTAGCTAGAACTGAGGACAATGTCATTTGTGGAAGTGTAAAAGAGAAAAGGATATTGATTTTAGTAAGTTTTCTCTCATATTTAAAATTTATATTCTAAGTATAAAAATGATTAAGATCATTTCTGTTGTTAGCAAAATTAGTCTAGTAATAAAAACTAAACTTGTAAAAGTACAGATCCTGAAAGGAGTAATAGTAAGTGTAAATATTAAGAGACTTTGTTGGGCTGGGGTTGTGGCTCAGTGGCAGAGTGCTTGCCTGTCATGTGTGAGGAACTGGGTTCAATTCTCTGCACTGCATATAAATAAATAAAAATAAAGGTCAATCAATAACTAAAAATACATTTAAAAAAAGAGACTTTGTTTTATAGATTTAAGTGTAAGGGGATGTGTGAATAATAGAAGTAATGAAAGGGAAAATGATAGATACCGATACAACCATGATTTTTCCTTGGTCTTGGCAAAACAAATATATTGCTTTGGCAGTAGAAAATATTGTTTATAAAGCATGGGGATAAGGCAGAGTAGTGATTCTGGAATAATGTATGCTTTTGTATTTACTTTTAAGTGTTGATTAACTTGAAATTTGCAATTAAATAAATCACGTCTTGCTTCATAGACATTTTTTACACATTCCTTAATTCAACAAATCCAAATATGTTTCATTTCTTTAACGGCTCTTTATTAAGTGTTAGAAAATTGAGAAATTATTGTATTCCTGCTCCCAAGAACCTGTAGTCTAGTAACAGAGACAAACAAAAAATTACTTCCTAGGCAACTCCTGCTGAGGCTCCTTTGCAATCTTATCTATTGCTGTTAGTCTTTAAGTATGGAAAATTTTCATAGCTACCTCCATCTCTTTTTAACCTACCACATGATGTGTAAGTATAGACATTCTGGCCTATAGGCAGGCTTTCTAAGTGTTCCCTCAGCCTAACTCTCCTCTGAGGTTCAGACCCTTTTATGTAGCTGCTTTCTGGATATATCCTCTTGGTTGTTTCAGAGGCATCTCAACTCACCATTCAGTTCCCTCAGCAAATATTAAGTACCTACAATGTGACACAAACTATTTTAGCTGCTGGGAAACATGACAAGGTTCTTGCCCAAATAGAGTTCATGTATAGTGGTGGGAGAAATATAAAAAAAAAGATAAACTAATAAATTTATATCATCAGGTATAAGTAGAGTAATAAGTAAAAATAAGGGTAAAGAAAGTAACTAGTGTGCTATTTTAGGTAATCAGGATAGGCCTATTTGTGGAAGTAGCATTTATGCAGAGCTAAATAAAGTAAGAAAGTGGGCCATGTGCAAATCTAGGGGCAAAAAGACCATGAGATGTGGGATGTGCTTGGCATGCTTGAGGAAGAAGAAAGAGATTAATGTGGCAGAAGTAGAGTAAGAAGATGAATGGTTAAAATTGTGGTCAGAGAATTAGTCAAGTAGTATAATGTAAAATCTCACATGCTGTGATAAAGACTAAGGATTTTATTGTGAATGTGTGTTAAACCATATTAGTGCAACGGGAGGATGTAATCAGGTATATATTTTAATTTTTAATTTTAAGTCACATCTCATTTTAATTAATTTAAATTTAAATAGCCTCATGAGACTGGTGCCTACCACATTGTACACCACCATTCTAGGGTATTCATATATCTTGTGGTGAGGTGAGAAATAATCTAAATATCTGGAAGATTGCTATTTCTCACTGATCTAACTGTTAAAACCACCTCCTCAGGGGAGAAAACTCCAAGCTGAAAAAACTCCCAAGTTTCCAACAGCCTTTGGGTCCTATGCACCTATGTTCAATGTTTCTATGGTCTTGATGTTTAAAGTGGTATTATTATTCGATGTTCTAAATACTTAGACATATGTTAGAATTATCACTCTGGCTACCACATAGAGAACAGGCAAAGGGAAAGAATGTAAACAAGGAGAGCTTGTTAAACTATTGCCCTGGTCAGATAATAGTCTCATACCAATATAGTGGTAGTAATCATTTGAAATCTATTCTAAAAACAGATGTGCCAGGATTTTATGGTTAATCTGGATATTAGGTAAGAGAGAAAAATAGAAGTATAAGGTAAATATTAAATTCTTGGCTTGAGCAACTAGCCACTACATGAATGGTGTTACTATTTATTGAGATGGAATCAATATAGGGCAGAGTAAGTTGGGAGAATGATGAAGAGAGCTTGTTTTAGACATATTAAATTTGATCTGTTAGCTTACTCACATATGTTGCATGAAAGAATATTGGCACAAATATGTACGTATGTGTAATTCTACATCTTTATTTCCCAAATCCAGCAAGTCTGGTGGCTAATCATTCATGCCATCTTCATCACCCATGGTAAAAAGAAGTAGGTGGGTTTGAGAGTTTTATGAGAGATAAAACTGGTGCCAGGATTTTACAATTGGATAGATAGAAAAGTAACGAAAGGGAGTGTTGAGGATCACTCCCAGGTTTTTGGCTAATTTGCTCAAATTGGGACCAGATTAGGGATGTGACAATTCTCAGTCCTCAATTCTCACTTTATTTAATCTTTTGATTACTTTTGTAATTCCACTTACTTTAAGTTTAAGAACAGGCAAGATTATAGAAGTCAGAGTATTGACTTCTGTAAAGGGGTGCTAACTGGGAAATAATGCATGGAAAATTTCTAGGGTTCTAGAAATGTTTTATATCTTGATGTGGATGGTGGTGACATTTATGAATACATATACGTATAAGACTAGTGACTATTACAGTATATATGATATAGCTTGAGAAAATATTTAAAATTTGAGAGGTTTATTAGCCTCCAAGTTGAGATAGCATGAAGGTGGTTTGTGACACAGGAGCCTGGAATTTAGAAACTAGGACTGTAGATATATATTTAGAATTAGTATTTAGATGTTTAAGGCCATAGGATTAGATGAATCATGTAGGAAGTAAAAATAAATAGAAAAGAAACATGTAAAAATGTAAATGGGACCCTTCAACATTTAGAAGTGAATAAAGAGTGAGGTGTCTACTAGCAAAGTTACTGGCTAGTGGCAGTAGTAAGAAAACCAGGAAAGAATGGTACCTCAGAGGCCATGAGAGGAGTACCTCAGGAGGGAGTGATCCCAGCTGTGACAAAAGTAATCAAGAGATTAAATAAAATGAGAATTGAGGACTGAGAATTGTCACATCAGTAATCTGGTCCCAATTTGAGCGAATTAGCCAGAAACCTGGGGTGATCCTCAACACTCCCTTTTGTTACTTTTCTATCTATCCAATTGTAAAATCCTGGCACCAGTTTTATCTCCTATAGAACTCTCAAACCCACCTACTTCGTTTTACCATGGGTGATGAAGATGGCATGAATATCAGCCATCAGACTTGCTGAATTTGGCAAATAAAAATGTAGAATGCCCAGTCAAATGTGAATTCAGATAAATAGTAAAAAAATAAATACTTTAATATAAGTATGACCCAAGTATTGCACATGCTTATACTATTACATGGAATACACAATATGTTTATCTGAAATTCAGATTTAACTTGTCAGCTTGTATTTTTTTTTTTGGCAACATTGTTAGTCTCTGTGATGAGCTGAGGAATATGTAAGCAATATATAAAGCACAAAAAAGAAAAACTTTGTATGCCAAATTAAGGAGTTTGCATTTTAACTTAAGGATAGTGGAAAAACTTTGGAGAGTTTTAAACAAATGATAATAAGTTGTATTTTAGGTATACATGGAAGACAATGGACTGACTACAGAGGGAGGTGAATTGAAAAGCTACTGGAATAATCTAAAGACAAATCTTTTGGTGCCTTCAATCAAATTTATGCTGTAAATTATAAAGAAAGATAATATGCTATATTAAGTACATATGGTAGTTAAAATTGGCATGTTATAGGTAGACATTCAATATATATAGTTGTTTGGGGTTGAGTCTGGAGAGTAAGGAAAAGGGAAGACTGAAGAAAAGCCATCAAGAGGGCCAGAGAAGGGACAAGTTCATACCTGTTTGTATTGAGGGCCAGTGACAGGAAAGGTTTCTGCTCTTAGTGGGACATAGGATATGGGATACAGGGAAAGTTTTTGATAAGATAAGCAAGACTTGGGGCTGAGCTTGTAGCTCAGTGGCAGAGCACTTGCTGGCATTTGTGAGGCACTGAGTTTGATCCTCAGCACCACATATAAATATATGAAAAAAAAAGGTACATCAACAACTAAAAAATATTTAAAAAAAAAAAGATAAGCAAGACTTGAGTTTGTTTTAAATACTGATATATACCCTTAATCCCAGCTGCTCATAAAGCTAAGACAGGAAAAACCCTTGAGCCCAGGAGTTCAAGACCAGACTGGGCAACACAGCAAGATCCTGTCTAAATAAATAAATACTTATAGAAAAATTGCAATAGAAAAGGGGACCCTGAAAATACAGTCAGGTGAACATGGTACAACAATGAATGAAGAATTTTAATTACATACACGTTTGTCACTAACTGAAAGGAAAATCTCCTATACATTGTTTACTGCTATGAAACCTAGAGCTCTTGAGATAATGATATTTGTATGATTATCTTCTCCTGAGGCAAATCAGACTATTCAACATACAGTAAGTTTTTCTTCTTAAATTATGACAAAGGCACAGTAATTAAAATCAAAGGCTTTTTTCTTAGTTTGTTTTTAATTTGAAGTCTCTGTCCTCCATATTTAAAGTTAATGGCAGAAGAGAAAATAGGAGTAAAGAAAAAAAAGTTAATGGTTAAATAGAGTATTAAACTGTGTATTTATTTACAGATAATACAGCTTGTGAGGTTTTACTTGCTGAAAAAACTTGCCCTTCAACTCCTGAAAAAACAAAGAAGAAAGCAAGTATTGAAGTAGAATAACTACTTAAATCATAATTTTTTTAAGTAACACTTTTATAGGAAATGTACTTCAGCTATTTAAGGCAATATCAAAAGCATTTTTTGGAGTTTAACAATTAGATTATTTAATATTGTGAAAAACCTATGTAATATATAAATGAATATGTACTCTATATAAGTTTAGTAAAAGAAAATTAAAATGTATTTTGCTTTTTTCCCAAAATTTCCTTTTACTATTTGGATGTCCATTCGTGATTAAGTTAAAAATAAGGCATATTAATGTTTTCTGCTGAAAATTATTTGTAAGCCAGGATGTTAGATTGGAATTTAAGGGTATTAGGGGAAGAATTTGGGCTTTATTTTGTATGTAGTAAGAACTTTGAGTGACTTTTCACTAGTTTTATATTTTCGTTTTATCAGTCTGGTAAGGTAAGTAGTTTTTTATTTATTTTGTTATACATATTGTATAGCTGAGAAAACTGAGTTTTGGATTTATATTAATTTTTTCAAGGAGTTTTGTAGCAAATCTTCCTGATATAAAACCTGTACTCTTTCCATTATACTATACCAACCATTGCATAGATCAGAGTGCAAATTTAAAAAGAGCAAAGGTGCTAGAAGGAAGACCCATTTGTAAGAAGTTAAAAGCATATTGGTGAGAGATTGTGGTGGTTTTGATTGGAGGATTTTATAAGAGAGATGGGATATATGCAAAGATTCAAGATAATTTTTTACCTATAGAATTGATGGATTGATATACTGAATGAAGGACTGAAAGGTTTTAAGAAAAACCTTGAGCAGCTTTGGTAGATAAAGGTGCTGTTTAATGTGATAGGAAAAATAGGAAGTCTGAGGATACTTGAAAATGGAAGGCTACTGGCTGTCAATCTGTAGGACAGGAAAAAACATAAGAGATGTACTATTTTATAGATAATTTCTAAAATCATGGAAATGTATGCAGTCACCTGGGAAGGAATATCTAGAGTAAGGAAGAGAATGGAGGTCCAGGATTAATCATAGAAAACTCCACAGACAAATAGATAAGAAGAATGGCCAGAGAAGGAAGAAAATAAACAGAATATGGTGTCATAGAAATCAAGAAAGCAGAGCATTTCAGGCCCCAAAAGGGAAGTGGTCAACAATGTTGAATGCTGCTTAGAGGTCCAGTATTATACAAAATTATTAAAAATCAGTTGCAGAGGGGCTGGGATTGTGGCTCAGCAGTAGAGCACTTGCCAAGCACGTGCGGGGACACTGCGTTCGATCCTCAGCACCACATAAAAATAAAATCAAGGTATTGTGTCCAACTACATCTAAAACAAAATAAAATAAAACAAAACAAAAAATCAGTTGCAGAATTTCTACTTTCAGATCTACCATATAAGTATCTTGAAATCTTAGAAATTGCCACTCTGTCCTAACAAGTAAAAAAAACTGAACAAACTAAAAGATTTTCAGCTTTCTTAGGTCTGTCAAAAAAGTGAAGTCACAAGGCAAACTGCTTTATCAAGCATTGAGAGACAGCCTTCCAGAATATAAACCCACAAGCATAAACCAATGGGAACCATTGCCAGATAGGAAAACCTAAACTGTATTTATGAATTTCTGGAGGCTCAATGTGGACAAATCTGATAGTTAAAAACGTCAGTAAAACCCAGTCATAGGTTTCCCCTATTTTTGTGAGCTTTATCTCTAGAAACTCTCTACCAGGTCTTCATAGTGAATAATGGAGTGAAATTCCCTCGTGCTTCTGGCTTAACCAACCTGGGGGATGGGAAATGCCCAATTCTACCTGCCCCGCTCCAGCCTTTCTACCCTACCTAAGGGGAGAAAGAAAACCAAACAAGAAGAACTGGTGAAGTTCACAGTCCAGGGTTACAGATGCACCAAAAGTCCTATTATCTTAGGACTACAGAATGTTTCCCCTCTCCCACAACTTATCATTACATTAGAAAAGGCTGATTTATGATGTTTTCATAGCATGTTCTTCTTTCAACAAAAAATTACAAGATATACTAAAAGTAAAAAAAAAAACACAGTTTGAAGAGACTGAAAAAATATCACAATCATAGTCAGCTATGGCAAAAATGTTAGAATTATCAGAACAAGAATCTTTTAAAATAAAAATGAGTAATATTCTAATGGCTTCAATGCACAAAAAGTAGACAACATGAAAGAACTGATGGATACTGATAGCAGAGAAGTGAAAATTCTAAGAAATAATAGTAAATAAATGCCAAAGATTGAAAACACTATAACCAAAATGAAGAATATCCTTGGTGGGCTCATAGTAGACTTGACACAACCAAAGAAAGAATTGTGAGCTTGAAGATTCGACAAAAAAGACTTCAAAAACTGAAAAGCAAAGAGAAAAGAGATTGGGGGAAAAACAGTTCATAACATCCTAGAGCTCTAGGACAGCTACAAAATATGTCATGTACGCATAATAAAATAAAGATAGTGAAAGGAGAAGCAGGATCTACCCTGGTATTTGAAACAACAATGATTGAGAATTTCCCCAAGGTTAATATCAGATACCAAACCCCAAGATCCAGGAAGCTCAGAGAAAACTGAGCAGAATAAATGTACAAAAAACAACACTAGTCATATCATATTGAAACTTAGAAAACCAAAGATAAAGAAAAAGATCTTGAAAGAAGCCATAGGGGGGGAAACCCACCTTATCCATATAGAAGCAAAGATATAAATTACAGACCTCTTAGAAACCATGCAAGAAGAGAATGAAGTAAAATATTTAAAGTATTGAAAGAGAGAATTCAGCATAGAATGCTATATCCTACAAATTTATCTTTTAAAAGTGTAAAAGAAATACCTTCTCAAACAAAATTGAACAAATTCATTGCCAGTAGGCCTTCCTTGCAAGAAATGTTAAAAGATGTTCTTCAGAGAGAAGGAAAATGATATAGGTCAGAACTTAGATCTATGTAAAGAAAGGAAGAGCATCAAGAATGAATAAGTGAAAACAAAATAAAAACTTTCATTGTTCATATTATTTTTACAGGGGGTAAAAACCTCAGGGTGCTTTATTATACACTCCAGCCATTTTATTTCTTTGTAATTTATTTTTTTTTAATTTTTGAGACAGTGTTTTGCTTCTAAATAGCACATAGATCAAAGAAGAAATCACTAAATAAATTTCAAGATATTTTGAACTGAATGAAAATACAGTTTACTAAAATTTGTAATATATAGGAAAAGCAGTGCTTAGAAGGAACTTTATGGCATTGAATGCATGAATTGGAAAAGTAGCAAAGTCTAAATCAATATTCAAAGCTTCCGCCTTAGAAAACTAGAAAAAGAAGATTAGATTTGAAGTAAGCAGAAGAAAAGAAATAATAAAATTAAAGTAAAAAAATCTGTGAAATCGAAAACAGGAAATGAATAGAGAAAATAAACCAAAATCAAAAACCATTTCAAAAAATCAATATAATTAATGTTTTTAGCAAAGCTAACTAGGACAAAGAAAAGGATTATACAAATTACCAATATCAGAAATGATTGAGGAGACATCACTACGGAGCCTGTGATCATTAAAGAGAAGTGAAGGAGGGGCTGAGGTTGTGGCTTAGTGGTAGAGCATTTGCCTTGCATGTGTGAGGCACTGGGTTCAATTCTCAGCACCGTATATAAATAAATGAATAAAATAAAGGTCTATCAACAACTAAAACAATATTTTTTTAAAAAAGTAGTGAAGGAATATTATGAACAACTACATGTCCATAAATTTGACAATGTAGATGAAATGGACCAATTTCTTGATAGATACAGTCTGCCAAAATTCACACAAGAGGGAATGGATATAGGTGTGTGTATGTGTGTATGTGAGTGTGTGTGTGTGTGTATTTCCTAACTCATTCTATGAGGTTATTATAGACCAAAATCTAATGCCAAAATCAGATGAAGGCATTACAAGAAAAGAAAATTACAGAACAATATTTCTCATGAACATAGACCCAAACATTCAACAAAATATTAGCAAATTGAACAATACCTAAAAAAAGACTACATACAACAAACTAAGTAGGATTGACCCCAAGTATGCCAAATTGGTTCAACAGTTGAAATTAATGTAATTCATTACATCGGAAAAAAATCACATGATCTTTTCTGTAGATGGAGGAAAAAGCATTTGACAGAATTTAACACCCATTCATGAAATTCTTAGCAAACTGTGATCAGAGAGAAAATTCCTCACCTTGATAAAGAACATCATACTTCACTAACATTATACTTACTGGTAAAGGAAGTCTAAGTTTTTCCCCTAAGATCAGCAACAAAGCAAAGACATCTTTTCTCATTAGTGCTTTTTAGCATCATACCGAAGAAGGTCCTATCTAGTGCAATAAGAAGAGAAAAGGAAATAAAAGGTATATAGTTCGGAAAGGAAAAAAGACAATTTGAAGGATTTACAGAAATCCTCCTGAAACAAATAAGCAATTATAGTAAGGTTGTAAAAAGTTAACATATAGAATTAAATGCTTTTTTCTACTTAGCAATAAACAAGTGGGATTTGAAAATAAAAGTACATTATGATTTACATTTGCCCCCTAAAAATTAAATAATGAGGTATAAATCTAAAAAAAATATAAGGTCTATATGAGGAAAACTAGAAAATTCAGATAAAAGATAGCAAAGAAGAAATAAATAAAAAGAGACATATTTAATGTTTATGGATAGGAAGACTCAACATTATCAAGAGGTTAGTTTTCCCCAGCATGATCTATAGATTCAGTGCAATTTCAGTCAAAAATCTGAGCAGGTTATTTTGTGGATATTAAAAAAAATATTCAAGTTCATATAGAGAGGAAAAATACCCAGAATTAACTAATTCAATGTTGAAGAAAAAAGTCAGAGAGCTAACACTACCCATCTTTAAGACTTACTATAAAACCATGTTATGGTTTTGATACTAGGTATCCTCCAAAAACTCATGTGTGAGGCAATACAAGAAAGTTTAGAGGTAAAATGATTGGGTTTTG